TCAGTGCTTGAGGATCCCAGGGCATGGTGGCGGCATGCCATTGGAAGCGTGGCACGAGATCTGCGAGCAGCGGCAATGGACGTTGAGCTGACAGGGCTGTCGCAATCCCTCCAAGCCACCCTGCGCCTGCAGTACGAGAAGCAGTACAGCGACTTCGTTGCAGGGCGCTGCTGGTCCGTGGCGTCCGCTCAGACGTGCCTGCAACAGCTGGAGCAGCAGCTTGGCACGTTCAACTGTGCGCTTGTGCGGTTCAGAGTGGCGCTGGCAGCAGAATCCGAGGGGTTGTCCCGCAGTGAGCCCGCATGGGATCAGCACATGGCCAACGTGAGAAACAAACTCCAGGATCTGAACTATTTGCTTTCTGGTGGCTCTGTTCCTGAGCCTCAGGCAAATAAGCCAGTCCTCGAGGTCAGCAGCAGGTTTACCTGCCCCAAGCTGTGCGTCTTGCTGACATCAGCGTCAGACCTCGATTGGGGTGCTGAGGTGTCGCTGCATGAGGTGGCGCTGAGGTTCACAGAGAGGGGTTCTCTTCATGCTGAGGTGTCATGCAGGGAGCTTTTGGTACGGAACTTCTACGTCCCTGAGAGCGAGTTAGTAGGGAACATCGTGCAGTCTCTCAGCTTCTCCCAGTCCTCTCCCTTGCCTTCCTCCACAGCCTCCACACCTTCCGTTGCGCCTCATCCCTCGTCCGCATCAGCTTCCATGCCTGGCTCAAGTCAACCTTCCCCAATGCACCCTTCCCCTCTAAGGGGTGCTGCTGTGCCTGCTGCAGCAGCTGGGGCTGCTGCATCTTCCTCCTTTTCCTCGGGCTCCACACCCACTCCCTTCTTGGCGGTCTGTTTTGTCCAGAGGTACGGCTCTCAGCCCCGTCCCTGCCAGCTGCCCACCTGTCTGGTCGGCATGTGGCATCTCTCCTTCCCCTCAGAACTCAAAAAGCCAAGATCAGGCCGTTTCCTCCAGTTTCTCCGGTCAATCCGGTCCGACAAGTACGCAAAGTCATTGCAGCAGAGCCAGAAAGCTGTGCAGACACCAGGAGAGGGGCAGCAGCAGCAGGATCTGAAGGATCCAGCGGAAGGGGTGGAGGAGAGGGAGCAGCCAACACATCAGACGACGGAGAGAAGCAGGAGAAGTACAGGAGAACATGGCGAGGCGAAGTGGAAAGGGGAGCGTGAACTGGGCGTGTTAGAGCTCGGGTGGGGCGAGGACGAGTTGCAGCGGCTGCATACTCGAGTGGAGGCGCACATGTCTCCCCTTCGAGTCTTCTTCGACCGCCGATGGCTTTTCCAGCTCATGCAGCTTCTCTCCTCGTCTCCCTCGACCCACTCGCAGCCAATTGCGGCCAGCGAAGGCAGAGTGCCAGGCCACTTGGCCTCACAGGCTGGGAAGGCTGTGACTAGCCGTGCTCAGGTTGGAGCTGGTGGAGGAAAAGGATGGGCTGGAGAAGGAGCAGGGGGAAGAGGTGGGGAGATGGCAATGAGGGACGCAGCTGGTGGTTCAGGTGACAGTGAGTGGATGCCGGATATCACCAAGCAGCAGCACTACCTGTACCACAGAAGGGGAGACTCTGCAGGCCTGGATTTCAGGAGCAACGGTGCTGCTACTAGTGCTGCTGAGAGGCGCCCTCCAGACACACCTGGTGGTGGCACGGGACAGAACCATGGTATCAGTGATGGTGGTGCGGCGTTGCTGAACCTGGCTCCGTTCACGGATCTGCAGGATTACGTGAAAGAGTTTGGGCAGCACATGGCGAGGAAGCGAGTGCAGCATGTCAGGGATAACCTGCCAGAGGTCGCCGCCCGGGTTGGCAGCATACTCTTCATCATCCCTTGCCGTGACATTGTGAGTGTGAAGTTGAATTTTGAAATTATGCAATTTTGAATTGCGAAGTGCTCGTGCTGGTCTTTCACAGCTTCATTGCACCAGCATGGTTTGACTCCTTTCTGATGCGCGTTCATTACAATTCCAACCCGTGGCACTGTCCGTTGCCTCCTCTGACAGGGCGTCATGCCTCATCCATCATCATCCGCATCAGCATCGGCCGGCCCTCAGCGCTCATCGGTGCCGTCAGCAGGAGGTGACGGCGACTTTCAGGCATTCTTTGGCATGGGGATGGACCACCAAGCACCACCATCACAGCCACAGCGGCATCATCAGCATCACCGCCAACAACAGCGGCCACAGACACAGCAGCAGAAGATGGCTCAAGCGTGGCAAAACCAGGGAACAGGAGGAGCACAGAGAAGGAGGCCTGCAGCACTGACCACGCCCCTGCTGGTGATATCCCTCTCAGAGATCGTTCTGGACACAAGGCCGACTGAAAGGTGATAATCGCGCAAACTAGTTTGGATCCTCCTCCTTGTTGCGTGGTTCATGATCCTTCCGCTTCAGCTTTCACTGCCCCTTTGTGGAGAAGCAGTCACCTGATCTAACTCTGTCCCTTTTTCCTCTCTCCTTCTTATGTCTTGATTTTCAGTTCCATTCTTCTGAAGCAGGATGATACCTCAGTATCAGCAGCGTCGTCCAGCGACCAATCCCTAGCTGCCACGTGGCGCAAGGTGGTGGCGTCCATGGCATCGCACAAGGGATGGATGCAGCGGCAGCATGTGGGCCCACTGCCGCCCAACTCACTGGAGCAGGTCAAGGTGGAACTCACAATGGAGGCTTACTTGACCCGTGCTTCTCTCTCCAATGTTGCAGATTTGCGGGAAAGGTAATGATTGCCTGAAGCTAAAACGTTTTTTTGGTTCACATGATTACATTGGTTGCCTTCATGTGGATCATACATGAGATTTTATGTCTCAGATCAATGTTGTGCGTGGTTCATGCTTGGGTGCTTGGCGCCTCGCACGCACACTGTTGGTTTGTGTATGCATATATGACATCCATCCATCCATACGACACGATACATGCCCTCCTTTTTCATTGCAGGGTGGACTTCTTAAAGTCAGTGTCAGTCAGTGCATCCGTTTGTCGCTGCACTGAACCTATTCGAGAAACCGCAACCACCGTAAGGCCCCTCCTCCAGATCATACCTTTTCCGCTCACTCCTGGTTTTCCTTCAGCTCTTTCTTTCGCTCGTCCATCCTACCTTCCTCTCTCCTTTTCTCACATGTGCTTACAAGTTGCCCTTATCTGCCTTCAACTGTGCAGCTGCTGAGTGTGGAGGTGGTCACGTCAGTCTTCATCGTTCAGCTCTCCCCGCTCATTGCCAAGGAGGTGTCCCGCCTCGTGCACACGTAAGCAACCGACTTTGGCCTTTGCATTGCACGATCCAGTAGCCAGTAATGCAAGACACACACGTTTCAGGCGCATCAGCCCACTTTCAGCACACTCCTCAGCACACCTGGAAAGCCCACTTCGTAACACACTTTCCATCACGCCTATCCTGTCCTCGTCACCCCTCTGCACCTTCCCACTTTCCTCTTGCAGTTTAGACGAGACCTTTGCAAGCACCGGAGACCTCTCCTCAACCAGCAAGGAACCGCCACCACCCCCACCTGTTACACCTGGAGCACACCAGCTGGGTTGGAGGTTCTCCTTAAAGGTACACGCATCTCTCGCAGTATGCGACAGCTCGACTCTCCTTTCCAATCTCAGCCGTAGCTTGTTTGGTTGCCAACTCTCGCTCCTCCCCGTTTCGCATCAGTTCTCCCCAAACCCACACACTCCCTTCTTCTTACCCTCGCTCTCCCACCTCCACCCCCCACCTCTCACTCACATCATTTCCGCCTGTCTGCAGGGAGGTGGCTTCCTGGTGGAGGCGTGTCAGGAGATGGTGCCGCACAGCAAGGCTGACTGCCCGTACGGCGTGTGCCGCTGCCGCCAGTGGGTGCCCTCGTCTGACACCGCTGTGGTACTCGTCTCCACCGCGGAGGACATGCAAGGATGCCCCCCCAGCACTTCCAAATCAGTTCCTCCACCTGCTGCTGCTGCCTCTCCTTCTGCTGCTGCTGGGGGTTCTGCTGTGGAAGGCCAGCCCCGTGAGCCAGTGGTGGTGGTGTTCCGAGTGAGGCTGGACAAGATTCGAGTGGAGGCAGAGCAGCACAATGATAAGGTAAGTAGTTGTCAGAGCACCTCAGGTGTACTCCGCCTGCCTTTTGGGCTTCGTGAATTTTTGCCATATCCATCTTGTAACCTCAGAAATCGCTACTTGTCCTTCCAAATCTCACTTCTCATGTCCTTTCTTCCTCCATCAACAACCTTTGTCCTCCCAAACCAGTTATCTCTCCTATTGCTACTCAGAGGACTCTCCAGTGGTCGTATCCTCCCTCCTGTAAGTTTTATCTCTCTCCCTCTGTCCCCCCTCCTCCCCCACCCACCCCTCCTCCCAACCTTCACTTTACACATCACCTCTCTCTACCTCTCTGACGCTCCCTCACTCCTTTCTCCTTCGTTTCAGCATCCTTCCCCTCATTTCCTCCTCTCCCCATCCGCTAACACTTCCTTCCCTTTTCTTTGCAGATCGCGATGGTGCGGGATCTGTTTCCTCCTGGCAAGGTCATGATAGCACGGGTCAGTTCCAATACTGCTGGACCCACCTCAGCTTGCCATATGAACAGAACATAATTTTCTACGTTTGATCCGACTCCACATGCATGTCGATTTGTAAAAAAATAAGTTCCTTCCCCCATCCGGACCACTGCGCTGTTGCTATTCTCTTAAACCTCACTGTTGTTCCTTCCCCTCCGACATCAAACCCAGGTGTTCTACCGATGGCGCCTTCAGACAGTGGTGGCGAGGGGTTACAGCGATGAAGCCATATTTGCTGCCTACGAGTCGCTCCAGCGGGCCAAGGCTCAGGTGCAGTGCAGTGCAGCAGGGTTCATTGCCTGTAGGCTGCAGCTCAGTGCTGGGAATCACGGGAATTCGTGTTAGTGCACGTTGGTTGTGTTCGTTGTGCTTCCTGATAGACATGAGCAATGTCTCCATTGACATTACACTCGTCCTCTGTGTGTGTGCACGGGTGAATGGCTGTTCTACTTGGCTGCTCTGCTCGGCAGGTTGCTGTTCAGCTGCAGGAGGCAGGAACATTGCATCAGGTGGCTGTGAAAGTCGCCCTCCTCCCATTCTCCTGGTACATCCCTTTTCCACCCCTGAAACAGCCAATTTTCGACCTCCAACTTGAACCTCCAGCTGTAGACGATGTTGCTTCCTTCTTCCACATCCAATTCATCCTCTCCCTCTTTCATCTCACTTGTTCTCTCTCATCCTTGTCCTGCAGTGACACCAATAACCTCTCCGCGGTCCTCACCTTCCTCACTCACCTTCAAGCCGCTATCTCTCGGACCACCTCTGCTCCACCGGGTGCCTCAAATCCCCAAGCTCGCCAGATGCTGACTTTTGGAAGCAGCGAAGTGGAGAGGGACTCGTGGGGCGAGCCCACACCCACTTCTTTACCCTCCAGCCGCCTGAATTCTTCGTCTGGCCGGTCTCGTGTGTCTTTTAGAGATGCCGCGGAGGACGACGTGGAAAGCGAAGATGAGAAGGAGGAGGCACAAGGTGGTGAGAGGTGGTCTGGGAAGCGTGTGGGGGGTGGAAAAGCAGATGGTTCCGAGTTCGGGCCTCGCGTGCGGAGGACTGGGGGTGGGAAGCGGTTGAGCATTGGAGAGCTGCCTGTTGACGGAAGCGAGGTAGACACGGATTCTGACGAGGATAATGAGAGGGGTGGAAAGAGAGTGTCTCTGGATGATAGTCCTCTGGACATTTTAGGTCCGAGTTCTGAATGGCACTCTCATGGAGCGCCACGGGAGGGCATGCGTGAGATGAGAACGCGAGGAAGGAGTAGGGATGGTGGAGAAAAGGACGGGAGAGGTGAAGGTTGCCGTGTGTATTCAATGAGTGGGTGGAGGGAGAGGCGGAGGGGTTGGCAGGGAAGCAGTGGGGAGGGAGAGGTAGCAGGAAGCGATGCAACGAGTGAAGTGTGGAAGCTGCAGGCTGAGCTGGGATGTGGAATGGTGATCATGTCCATAGAAGGGGTATCCTTTGGCAGCGTCATCATGCAGAGAGTGAAGGTGGATTTGACCTCGCAGCCAAACGCAGTGGATGTGGATCTCACAGTTGGCGATCTGGATGTGGTTGACATGCTCGCCAACTCCAAGTGAGTCCACCCAACTTAACACACTGCCCCAGTCCCGATGTCTGATGTGTCCGGTCCGGCACCGCATTCTCTGTATCTCGGTCCGATCCGAGGTGCAGGCTTCACCGATCCGAGCTGCAGGCTTCACCACTGCTTCACTGATTCTTTCTCTGTAACTGTAACCATCCCTCCTCTGGTGCATGTCCATCCTTGGGATTTTTTTCCCGACTCACCTTCGTCACCAGGCACTACGCTCACATCTTTGAGCCCAACGGAGACCTTCCAAGCCTTAACCTCGTTGTTCGGCAGAACATGGTGCTACGAGGGCCCAACCTACCTGCCAAGCCTCAGGTATGGCAAGAGGGTGTGACACGATGCTGTACTGATCTGATACACTAAATATCATGTTCTCACACTCGCTGCCATTCACGATTAATGCGTGCGCCCCCCTGGTGGGGAGCCCCAACATGTTCTTCCCTCACGGTCCACCACTACTAACTTCTCCCCACTCCGCGGTCACCCTATGTGAGCCGGCAGGTGTGTGTGTTCGTGGAGAGCCAGCAGACAAGGATAACTGCCATCTTCCGCTTCTTCAACGACTTTGCTCTCTTCGTGGAGCGCATGGCCCCCATCTTCTCACCTCCCCAGGTATGCAGCCCACCCACAGAAGCCTTTTACTTCTCTCCAAATCAAGGTACAGCTTCTAATCTATTTGCCATCCACATGTGCTGCTGGCTTACCCTGTCCAAGGTAGTGCATGCATCTGGTGGAAACCAGCTGCCACCTCACTGCGTATGTGCCAACACATGTGAAACCGTCTCCTTTTGTCTCTGACACCCCCTTCTGACTTGCTCGCACTGATCTGCCACAGGCATCCGGTGCATCTAAAGAAATCGGCGGCTCAGCCAAGGGCCAGGATGCCAAGAGGGAGCGGTCAAAGCAAGGGGAGGGTAAAGCAGCTGGGGATTCCGAGGGAGGTGATGCACCCCCACTGGTGTTCCTGCACATCTCTGACCTGTCGCTCTGCCTCCCAGTGTAAGTGATACTGGCTTGATTTGTACTAGTGTGGTGCCCTGTTCCTCCTGTATCTCTGCTAAACTCTGCTGGTTGCGGCACATGTGTCTCCGCTCCTCTCCTCTCCACCTATCTCCCCCATGTCAGGTCGTCGTGGAGCGAGGAGTCTCTGGATGTGCGAGTGGAGACCATCAACCTCATCGTTCCCACTCCGGCTTCTCAGCGCCTGTCCCAGCACACACTGCTCAGGTGCATGCTTCGTTTGACTGCACTGCTGCAATCAGGTAGAGTCATTTGTTTTCCCTTCTGTGTCTCTGGCCCAACGCTCACCGCACGAATACCACGCACGTCCATGCAATGCACCACACCACCAATGCATGCACTCACCTTCATTTTTTTCCCTTTTTTCCCATCAACCCACCTTGTTACCGTCGTTGCAGACTTGCGACAGGCATCCGCCCTCAGGACCCCTCCTTCTGGAAGCCGCTGGTGGATGCTCTGGACCGCTCCCCCCCCTCCTGCCCCGACTCCGTTGGCATTCAGCTCTCCCGCTTTGGGGCCTACTGGTCTCCTTCTAAGGTCAGATCCTGTGACGGTCACTCCATTGTAATCTCTTCAAGGCAACCGTATGTGGTTGTGCTGATCCAGCTAATGGGTGCATGCATGCCCCTCTTCATCAATGCCCAGTTGCTTTGATGTGAACTTCTCTCTTGGAATAGCAGACGCCCTGTGTATGCAGCTGTTCTTCTTACCATCTGTGCCCCCTCCCCCCTTCTCCTGATCCTTGCCTTCTCATCCCTGTGCGTTCACTCGCCCCACTCCCTGCCATGCCTGCTTGTCCCCCCTCTCAACAGACCATCACCCCCAAGGTGGAGCGGAACATCATCTCTGAGAGTGGTGTCTTCATCTCCGTGCAGGTACGGCTTGAGTGGTCTGGAATTGGGTTTCCCAATGCGGGTATGGGGTTTACTGATACTACAACCTATTGTCACGATGCACCTCTCTGCTCTCTGCCCGCTCTCCACTCGCTCTCCTTCCCATCCACTGAGTACTCACGATTTCATTCCTGTCTTCTCTCTTTTCACCTTGGTGCCCTCTTTCCACTCTCTGTCCCCATTCCCTGCCAGTCCAATCCATCACGAGTGCACGTGCACTGGCCTCAGGTGGAGATCCGTCTGGGCCCCACTCAGTACAACGCCATCATGACCCTCATCTTCCAGAACCTCGCAGAGGGCTGCTCCTTCACAGGTAGGCTTTGGCACACTGCTGCAGGCAGGAACATGGGTAGTTAATACCACTGTGCATGCACAGGTAGTTAATACCGTAGTAGTGTGGGCACATGGGCACATGGGCACATGGGCACTGTGCACAGCGAGCCATACCACTCATCCGTACCTGGACATATTTTCTTCTCCTCCCAGCAATCTATCCGACCCTTGTCATGTTCCACAGTCCACCTTACATTCCATGCCATGCCATGCCAACCAAACCCCTGGCGGATAACCAGGTGCACAACCTGCTGATTATGGAATCACCCTGGTTCTTGTCGCTTTCCATCGTACCCCATGCCCATGCCCATGCCCATGCCGACCTTACCTCCCCTCGTCCCCCCATCAGACGACCAGGTGCACAACCCGCAGGTGGGTCGGCCCTTGGGCGGCGAGGCTGCTCCTCCAGACCCCTGCATCAGCCTGGCAGGGCTCACCCCCGGCTTGGAGATTCAGCTGGACTTTGGCCGCGCTGTCATCCACGCCGAGATGGAGCACCCAGCCACTCTGGTTGAGAACGGGTGCGTGTATGGGAAACATTCGTTATGGTGTCCCTGTTTTTACAACTATGGATGAGCTCTCCCTCCCGTGCTATCTGTTTTTATAAAAAAACCTGCTTCTTTCTTTTCTCTTCGCCAACCAACCAACTACCCCTGTCACCTGTGTACCCCCAATCAACCAGCTTCGGCGACCCCCTTTTGTCCTTGAGAGCGCACCGCCTCACCATTGTCTACTCCGACTACACTGATGTGAGCCTGCCTCCTTTCCCTTCCAATTTCCAACTACCCCGAGCCAAACTCTTCTGCGTGGCCTCCTCTTCCATCTATTTGGCACGCTTTGGCGCCTCTTGCAAGACACTCAAAGAAAATGCCACCTTTCTTTTCTACCTGCGTTCCATTTTCTCATCCTTCTGCACTCTGTTTTTTTTTCTTCCTCTCCAACTTATCCTGCTGCTTTCTGCCCCATCCCACTCCCCTCACCCCCCTGCCTCCTGCGTGGCTGGCTTGCTCTCCAGTTCTCGCAAGTGACAGTGAAGGCGTTTCGCCTGCTCTTGGTGGACGACCGCTTCCTCAAATTCTCCCAGTCGGAGGTTCGCACACTCCCTCTATCTATCAGTTTCACCTGTTGCACTTCTCTTCATCCTACCAGTCGTCGTGCTCTCCCCTCCACCCACATCCACTCTCAGACAACCAGTTTTCTATATATTATGTTTCCTTACTGCTCTCCCCACCCCCCTCTTTCTCCACCCCCCACAATCCCCCCCCCCCCCCCTCCCCTCCTCTTCCCCCCCCACTCTTTTCTTGATTCCCCCTTTTCCCATCTCCAGCTGGCCCTTGTGGAGACCAACAGCTCGCGTGCCAAGCCATCCCCCACCTCAGCTTCCACATCCACCCGCCTCTCCACACCCCCCAACCACCCTCTGGGAGGCGAGTCCGGACAAGGGCTTGGGTGCGACCTGGACAGGTCGTTTCTGGTGAACGTGGTGATGAAGCAGGAGGGCACGACGGGCGTGCAGGTGGTGTTTGAGCGCACCAGCATCGTGTGGCCCTTCTACACGGACCTGTCTCTAGTGTGGGAGTTTCTGGAGGTTGTGGCTGGGTACTTTCAGAAGCCGGGGTGTGCGCTCGGGCCTGCCAGCCTGCAGCCAGATTCGTGGCTCATGGTCAACATCCTGCTGCACGTGAGTAGCAGGAAGGGTTGTGCTCCCAGGAAATTTGTTTTTAGCTACGGGATGGAACCACAGTGGCTGTTCACTTGGATGGGATGCAGATGGAGTCGTTTGAGAGCCTTAGCACCCGTTTACATCCCTATAACTTCTTTCCTGACTGCCTGCGGTCTTTTTCAGAAATGCTGGACTCACTTGTTCCCTCTCTTTCCCTGCACCCTCCCACCACCTACATCAGGACTTCGATCTCTTGTTGCCCGTACCAGAGGAGAGCCTCATCAACGTCTGCCCGCCTCCCTCCAGCTCCCAGCACTCCAGCCCTCGTTGCACCGACCCTCCTCTCGCCACCCCATCACCAATCACCGCTGACTCTCCTGCCTTCCACTCCGCCCAGTCCCGCATGCCTCCTCCCTCCACCCCGCCTGACCGCTTCTACGATGCTTCTGAGGCTCTTACTGCCAGCCGACGCAGCAGCAGTACTGGTGGTGGTGGTGGTGGTGGTGGTGCTGCCAGTGGCTTTGGCAGGAGTGGCAGTAGTGGCAGCGAGCAGTTTGACAATGCGAGGAACACGTTTGAAGAGCCAGTGTGGGTGCCAGAGCTGCAGGTGTGGAGCGACGATGTAGACCTCTTTCTCTCGGAGCTCAAAGCCCACGGGCTCAAGATCAGGGGACAGACTTTGAGAGTGGGGCATTTTGCAGGAGGGGACAGGGAGAGCAAGCTCCTGGTGGACTTTATCCGCGTCAGCAGCGTGTTCGTCCACCAGTCTCAGTACTTCGCCCCTCACGATTTGTTTGGGGAGTTCACTGCTCAGCTGCTGTTCAGCCAGCACTCTCCCAAGTGCGCCAATAGGCAAGCCAGCCTGCTGTCGCTGCACATCACACCTGATCTCCATCCGTCTTTCTCCTCAACTGCACCTTCGCCGTCTGCGACTGCTGCTGCTGCTGCTGCTGCTGTTGCTGCGTTTGCTATGTCCACCACCGGAGGGCAATCTGGCAGCAGCTGCATCAAGTCTGGTCGTCTGCCTATCTACTTTGTTTTCTCCGTGAGTCCCCAACTTGTCTCCACAGCACCTCTTCCGTTTCTTTTCAAGACCAAAATATGCCTTTCACATTGTCTATGTGCCCGTCCTTCACTCAGCCCACTCTCGCAGCACCCTTCTACTTCCCAATCCTCTCACCCGTTTGACTCCCTGACACCCGCCCCAAGCAGCATCTGGTGGTGTTCAGCTCGTTCCTCCGAACGCTCAGCATCCGCCTCAAGCGCAGCGAGGGCAACCTGCTGCATCAGAAGAATCTCGAACTGTACGGGGACCCACTGCCGCCCGCCTTCGTGCCGTCCAAGCTGGCCATCAACCTTCAGATCCACGAGCTCTTTGTTGCTCTCATCGACGACAGGTGAGGAGGAGAACAAGGGCTGGGTTCTGAGGAGCCACAGATACCGACACGCATTCTTCGTGCACACTCACAAACACACGCTCGTACTGGCTCGCAAACTCTGAGTCCCATGCACCTTGCTCTTTTGCCCGGCCACCCCCCTGCGCCCCACCACCCTATGTTAGGAAAGACGCGTCCTGCGTCCTGGACGAATGCGTCCAGACGCATGCGTCCAGACGCAGGACGCGTCACCTGGACCTGTAAGACGCACCAAAAGACGCAATCTCGGGCAGGGCAAAAAAAACCCCCGGGCAGGCCAAAAAAAAGTGTATAGGGCTTGACAGAGGAGGGGGGGGGGGACGTACCACACTTTTCAATGCAAATTTTTCCCCAACCTCAATTTTTTCCCCCAAAATTTTTACTAAGGTGAGTCACGCGTCACGCATGGGTTGTGAGTGAATTCTCAATTTGCATGAGTTGTTATGAAATGTTGGGGGGGGCTGGTTTACAATGGCGAATTGGGCTTTGGGGGTCGAAATTTCGCGATTTCGACATTCGCGCCGAAATCGCGAATGTCGAAATCGCGGAAAACCTTTTTTTTTCGGGCTGCCCGAAAATTTTTTCGCCGTGCGTCCTGCGTCTGGACGCGCGTCCTGCGTCCTAGCGTCCGGACGCTGCGTCCAGACGCAGGACGCAGCGTCCTGGCTGCGTCTTTCCTAACATAGCCACCACCCCCCTGCACCCCACCACCCCCCTGCTCTCCACCCCTCCCCACGGCCCACCCATGCAGGATGGGGAACCCCACGTCAGTGCTGGAGCTGGTGGCCAAGGGCATCGTCTTCAATGCCAACAGCCAGATACTCACGGAAGGAGGACCCGAGCTGCTCTCCTGCCGCCTCTCCCTCATTCTCCTCTCCAACTTCCTCAACTCCGGCTTTGAGGTCCTTCCTTCCCAACTATCTCTTTTTTTGCTGGTGACTGTAGTCTACTCCTCCCTTCCCCTGCCCGTCTCTTGCATTCTCTGCTGTGTCTATTCTTCTTCTGCCATTCTCTACTGCTCACCCCCCCTGCGCATTCGCCTCCTGTCCCCCTCCCACCGCCACAGATCATGGAGCCGATGACCGAGTCCTGGCAGCTGGGGGCGGACGTGAAGTCCACGGGCAACCACGTGACGATAGCGGTGCAGTCACACCAGCTGCTGAACGTCATGTTCACGCCCATGCAGCTGCGCTCGCTGGGAGACGCCCTCAACTTCTACTCGCTGCTCTCCAACTCGCTGCCCGTGCTGCCGGGGGGGAGCCTGCATGGTGGAAGCGACCGTGACGAGGTATTGGGTTGGGTTGGGTCGGTGCAAAGGGTGCAGTACATGCGTGACATGTGTTCGTTTGGCTGGCTGTCTGTATGTATAGAGTGCAAGTGGCGCTGTCTTTCTCTTTCATCAGGTGTTGTGGATGGGTTTACTTCAATTCCATCTGCCCTTGACATGTTTCCATCTTGTCTTTCTTCTCTTCGTGCCCCTCAATGCCCTTCTTCCCCTTTCCGTCACTGTCTGGTTCCCTTTTCTCCACGCTGCAGTTGGGCTCGGGAGCGTCTTCAACAGGTCATGGAGGATCCGTTACACGGGCTACCTCCGCCCGGATGACTAGAGTGAGACATCTGACATAACATCAGGCTGGCTGGGGGGGAACAGGGTGGGGGAGGTTCGTGGAAGGGAGGGGAAGTTACCTACGATATAAGCACCATTGTGTGCTTTGGGAGAGTCAGAGACACAGTTGTCTCCTTTGCTTATTTCGTCTGCCTCGTCGTAATCACTTCCTCCCCTCCCCCCCGTCTGGCCATGGGACCTGAACCAAATTTTGGGGGGATATCTTAGCTTAGAAAGTGCTTGATTTTCTCATTACATTGCTTTATATAAAGATCAACGTCTGTCCTCCTCTCCATGTGGCTCCCTCCAGGCGATGAGCATGCTGAGGGCTCGCGAGTACTTCCCCAAGTCCGGAACCCTTGCAGAGGTCCGTCCGTACACTCCCTTCATCAGATCCTGCTTGTACAATGGATGGATGTTTTTGCTGCCGCATTCGCCCTGTTGTACCCCTCCTCCACCCAACTTGACAAATAGTGCAAGTTTGGTTTCGATGACCCTTTTCTCCGTGCAAGCCTTCTTAGTCCAGGTGTGGTGCTCTCCCAATCCAACGTCCTGTCCTTCATCTGAGATCATCTCCTTTCACACATCACACAGTTCCCTTAACCAGCACCACCTCCTCACAACACCACCGGGCCCTGCCCAGTGTGTGTAACACCATTGACCCACACAGCAACATCCCCTTTTCCCCTAATCCCCATCATCCCTGGATCCGCCACCACGCCTCTCGTCCATCCTCGAGCAGACACTGGAGGCGTCACTGCAAGAGGTGGCGGTGGGGATGGTGAGCTACAGAATGGTCAACCTCTCAGGCCACACTCTCTACTACTGGACCGGTGCGTGCTGTCTGAACGGTAAACCCTGCCTGGGTGGCCGTGTCTTGTAGGTACAGCATAGATATTTGGGCCAAACGAGCATTAACTCGAATCTGCCAGTTGACCTTCGGAAATTGAGCTTGTTTCTGGCGTGCAGAGAAGGATGAGGAGAAGTCCAAGACGTACTCAGTGGAGGAGGGCGAGGAGCAGGTGCTGGAGGTGCAGCCGGTGCAGAAAGTGGTCACTCTCCGGGACACGCGCAAGATTCTCGCGCGCACCATCTGTGTCAAGCTCAAGGGGGACTGGCTGCCCATCAACGACATTGTCATGGACAAGGTGAGCTGCTCTCATCTCGTGGCGCCTTGGCATGGTTCTGAAAGCGCCCACTTAGTCAAGCTCAAGGGGGACTGGCTGTTGATCAATGACATTGTCATGGACAAGGTGAGCTGCTTTTTTGACGCAGCTCTCATGCGCGCATTTTGCCAATTTCCTTTCAGCCCATATCATTCACCCCCAAATGCAAGGAGACCGGAGTACGTATGAGCTTTCTTATATTCATCTTCAAATGACCTCATAAAACGTAAACCTACCTCTGCCCTTCCCCTCCTCTCCCCCCCTCCCCGCCCCTACACCCAGGTGGGCAAGTACGTGATGGACCTACGGTTGCCGGGGAGCACAGTGGTGCTGCCGGTGGTGTTTGACGTTACGCTCAAGTCGCGCACCAAGATCATCACCGTGCACTCCACCATGCACCTCCGCAACGACCTCGACGTGCCGCTCGTCTTCTTCGCCCTCCTGCCCAGCCCCAAAGAGACCGGAGGGGAGAATGCCAAGTCCTCCTCGCAGGTCTCCAAGTTCGCGCTCGGTGGGTTGCTCTGCTCTTTCCTGCTGCAGCGCTGCTTTTGCAATGTTGTTCCTCGCTCTATAATCTGCTCTACAGCACTGCAGTTGCGTGCCGATCGGCTCCGCTGTGCTGCATTGTTTTTCTTCCTCTCCGCGATTACTCATGTCTTTTCAACGGTGCCCACTTTAGCTGTCGGGCTATGGTAGCAGGTTGGCATTCGTATTGAGGTTGTTGACTTCCTGGTTTGCGCACATGTATTGATTCCCCTCCATGCTGAGTCTTTCCTACCCTGTGCAGGCCCCATACATCCCCAGCATGAGATCTTCATGCCCATCTTTGCAGCTCTGGGAGGCCAACTCATGGCTCAGGCACAGGTGCGTGATGGCATGGGTGCGTGATGGCATGGGTGCGTGATGGCATGGGTGCGTGATGGCTTGGGTGCGTGATGGCATGGGTGCGTGATGGCATGGGTGCGTGATGGCATGGGTGCGTGATGGCATGGGTGCGTGATGGCATGGTTGCGTGATGGCATGGGTGCGTGATGGCATGGCTCATGCACAGATTCGTGATGGTGTGATTCATTACAGTCACAACAACTTACCACAGATTGATTTGACGTGCAAATACTGCACTCTCCACTAGTGTCTCGTCGTTTACCCAACCACTCCCCTGTCTTCCCCTTCGCTTCTCCCCCCATTCGCCCCACCGCCTCCGAACACCTCGTGGCAGGGCTTTGCGCGGGCAGAGAAGGACGTGGTAGCACTGGACCCAGAGCACCTGCTGGAGCAGCAGGGCCTCCTCGAGTTCCCCATCCTCAATCAAGGCACCCGCTCCCCACTCGTGGGCAGAGGCAGCAGCGGCGGCGGCAGCAGCAGCAACAACAAACTGCTGAGCCGCTTTGGCAGCATGACACGGAGGCACAGTGACGGCGGGGGGAGTGTGAGACTGAGTGAACTTGGGAGTGTGAGGAGGGGGAGCATGGCGAACGGAGGAGAGGACGAGTTTGATAGGAGGAGCAGTGGTGTGGGTACATCGGAGGAGGAGTTTGACAATGCGAGTGATGTGAGGAGGCCGTTCTACTGCTGTCTGCAGGTCATCTCGGATCCTCTGGCACACAGTGCGAGCAACGGGCTGTATGAGGAGTTCACGCTGTCCTTTGTGCCCCCTGTGGCCATCCAAAACGGGCTGCCATATCACTTGGAGGCGTATGTGTGGGACGTGGAGTGGGGCACGCGGCACATTGTCTACGTCCCTTCGGGTCAGTTCCCTCTCCTATAGCTACAGCCACTACTACTGCTGATGCACTGCAACACTTCTGCACGGATTCTAGTGCTGCTTCCTTCTGCTGCAATCTCTGCTTGCTCTCCTTCCGGCTCCAGTCTTAACTGAACCTGTTCGTGTACACGATAAATTCTCTTCGCTTGTTTCTCTTCTCTTTTGTCCCCCCCATTCCCGTCAGGCGAGTCCCGAGACCTCTACCACGTCAGCCTGGACCACACGCTGCAGATGCACATCGCTGTGAGCCGCCTCGCTCCTTTGTCGCACTGCTGAATCTGTGCTAAGCAGACGCTCTTAGATTAGAGGGTGCACTGTCTTGCTGAACTCTGATTTATTGCGAAGAATGCAGGTAGTGGTTCTGACCTGATGCCATATGGATCCCTCTTGGGTGCGCTTGTGCTGCTTTCTAATGTCTTTTCCATGTCCTCAATGCCCTGTTGCAGCTCTTCGTGCCAGGCGGGGAGTACAGGACACGTCGCCGGTACCCCATCCACTTCCCTCCCAAGTAAGCTCTCCTGTCAGCCCTCGAGCCCTCTATTTGTACTCCACAGGCATCGCAACCTCCCTTAATGTAAGTGTCTTCGCATGTCCGTTTTTCGTTCGCGTCATCATGCTGTTACCCCACCTGCTCGCTCCTCATGTCTCACCACCACCATCTTCACATAATTTCATCCCGTTCCCATGCCCTTCTCGCCCATTGCTTCCACTAGTGGACCCTAACCCTCTCCCCCCTCCACCCCCTCTCGCCAGCCCGCTGCTCCAGAAGCAGTTTGGCAGCCGTGCCTTTGCCTACGACGTGCGCTCTCTCCGCCTGGCGGTCAAATGCCGCCTCTTCCCGCAGCACGCTCCTACAGCCTCGCCCATCACGCTCTCCATCGACAACCGCCACAACTGGCAGTCGCGGAACCGCAGCATCGCGCTGCTCGCTCACTACTGGGTCATCAACCTCACCAAGTTCCGCCTCAAGCTCTCCTCTGGATCCTCCAATAACCCCCTCGATTGCCCGCGGTACCAGGAGGGCCAGCCCGCCTTGCTGAACGTGCGCCGGGGGGCAATCACTGCGATCAGCCTCGATGGCTATCATTGGTCCAAATCGATCTCGATAGATTCTGTGGGGATCAAGGGGTCGGTTGCGGTTGCTGGGCCTGCGTCCACCATGCTCCCACAGAACCACCAGCATCACTCGCTATGGCATCATGTGGATTCGTCAGCAGATGCTCCGTTGCTTCGGCAGCAGACGGCGGAGGAGTGGGAGAATGTGGTGCAACTGGATGCCCCTGCTGGCACTCCCTCTCGCCACACCACCTCCTCCATATCACCCTTCCCAGTCAGTTCCTCTGCCGCTTCAGACCTTTTCGAATGTTTTAGCAGATGCCTGAACACCTCCATGCCCCCTTATCCCCGTCGCCCATATCGCTTCCTCTTCACCCCTCCCATTCACCACAAATTCAACTCACCTTCCGCCCACCCCATAGACAAACACATGCACACATACACGTGCACCCTGCTTCAGTTGCTCCCCCATTTCCTTCACCAGCTTCTCTCCGCCCTTTTCGCCACACTTGCACCAGTCCTGGCTAGCACTCATGCCGAGCTCTCACCCCAAACCCAAATGCACATCGTTCTCGTCACGCCCACCCTCCGCAGGCCCTGCGGCGGTTCGAGTTTGGGGTGGAGGTGCGGCTGGCGCCGTCACTGTGCGAGGGCACGAAGCTCGTCATCATCTCGCCGCGCTTCATGGTGTCAAACCAGACCGGGCAGCCCATGCAGATCGCCCAGATCGGCACCACCACTGCCCGGGTACGTGCATACAATCGTCTTTCTCCTTTGGCCGATAGACCCTCTGCTGTATGCACCAGCATCAGCAGCATCACACTTTGATTTTCTCCCTGTTTGGGTTTGAAACGCCACTCCCTGCACCGCGCTCCCCTGCTGCTGCATTTGCCGAGTCTCAATGTTTATGTCTGCGTCTTTTTCTGCTGTGGCAGGTTCTGGCGGACAAGATGCGGCAGGCGTTCCACTGGGATGACGAGAAGCTCGGGACGTACCTGGTGGCTCGGTTGCTGAACAGCGATGAGGCGGAGGAGGATGATGTGGATGATGGTGATGAGGAGGAGGAGGAGGAGGGGAAGGAAGGGGAGGAAGGGGAGGAAGGGGAGAAAGGGGAGGAGGAGGATGGGCACAGCTTGAGTTCTGATGAAGAGGATAGTGAGGGGGAGGAGGAGGACGGGAGAGGGGAGGGAGCGAGGGAGAGTCGCGTAGCAGGTGAGGTAAGTGGGATGCAGCGACTGAGGAGGGACTCAGAGGATTCGCACGTGTCGTGCGAGTCGATGGAGGGAAGAGAGCAGGTGCAGGCAGGGGTGAGCAGCATTGGTTCCGGAGGGACTGATGATGGTGGGGACAGCAACGGTGATAAGTTGACGAGGTTGCCTAAGGGCCAGGAAATCGCAGCAAGTGGCAGGTTGCAGGGTAGTGGTAGCGACAGGCAGCAGCAGCAACCCCACAGTGGTGGCAGTGGCAGCAGGCGTAGGCAAGTGGAGAGCAACAGCCGTCAAAAGGGGGATGGAAGCCGCGGGAAGAGGGAGGATGGAGGCAAGGGCGGCAGCAAAGGCGGGACTGGATCTCGAAAGAAGAGTGCAGGAAAAGGACGGGGGAGCAAAGGAAGGGAGATGGACGTGGATTGGGAGTGGTCTGGTGCGTTTGATATTGACAAGCCGGGAGAATCAGCGGTGCGCATCAGGCACAGGCGCAAGAAGGGCAAGTATGCCATCCTCTCCATTGACGTCTCGCTCAACGGCGCGTCTGCGCTCGTCACGTTTGACACCTGCAGCTCCAAGCACAAGCCCCCGCCCTATCGGTACGTGCCATGGCGCCCTCGTTTCCCACACATGCTTCCTTGCATTGTGCATGCCCATTGACCTTCTGCTTGCGGGCTTTTGGATTTAGGTCCTCCGTTTGGATCTGGGGGTCTCCTGGTCTGGTCACACGGTGCCTGCAGAATGACACTTCCTTGCGTCTGGGTTCATGCACAATCTAGTTCCCGTGTGACCGTATCGTCGCGCGACTCATTCCCTGCGTAATGTGTCGCCTCTGCTCATCCCCATTCCCATGGCGTGGCAGCATTGAGAACCACTCGGCCTTCATGAGCATCAAGTACGGGCAGCTCACCACCCCCACGCGGCAAAGGCTGCCCCCCAACCGCTCCACCAACTACGCTTGGGACCAGGTGTGATCCCTCAGATGCCGTAAGGGGAAGTGAGAGCTGCTGATGTTTTACTGGTATAACCACTTTGGTTGGTTGGAGCCCATACACCACATCCGCTTTTTATCAGGCAGATGCTGTCTTCTGGATAGGTGAAGTGTCAATCCCGCACCTCTCATCCTGACAGTAATTCACCAGCAGCCTCCTTTCCTGTTCATCTGGGATTCAGAAATTCCATTGACCAGCGCCCCTCCGTTCCCCACCCTCCCCACATGCCACACCCCCCTTTTTCCCTCCCTCTTCTCCTCTCCGCCACCCTTCCTCCTGCCAGCCGCGCATGGCCCAGCTGCTGCAGGTGGAGATCGAGGGGTTTGGTGTGACCCGTGAGTACGACCTGGACGGCATCCGCGAGCTGCCCACCATCATCCTCTCTGAAGACGACTTCACCGGCAATGCATCGCTGAGGGACAGGTACTCTAGGTCTGGGAAGGAACAGCAAGGAACTGGGGGCTGGGGGTAGAGAATGGTGAAGGGGGAGGGTGAAGCTGCCCACTATCATCCTCTCCGAGGACGATTTCACCGGCAACGCATCGCTCAGAGACAGGTAGGTCTGCGGGTGAAGTGATAGCTTCTAAGGAGGAACAGCAAGGAACTGGGTGGGAGTACAACCTGGACGGCATCCGCGAGCTGACCACCATCATCCTCTCGGAGGACGACTTCACTGGCAACGCATCGCTGAGAGACAGGTACAACAATTGTTCTGGGAAGGAACAGCAAGGACCTGGGGGCCGGGGGGAGAGAATGGTGGGAGAGGGGAGGGGGGGGGGAAGCTGCCCACCATCATCCTCTCTGAAGACGACTTCACTGGCAACGCATCGCTGAGAGACAGGTAAGTCTGCCGGTGAAGTGAGACGAAGTGGTGAGGAGGAAAGGGTAAGGGACTGCCATTTTCAGTCAAACCGACCCTTTTCCATCCCCCCTTCTCACCCTTCCAACTCACCTTTACTTCCCTTCGCCCCGCTCCTGTTCCTTGCCCCATCTCGCCCCACAGGATGTTTGTGATGGTGGGGACGCAGGCTCGAGCGGTGGCAGCGCTGTACGTGAACGTGTATGCAGACGGGGCCACCAGAGTGCTCTCCTTCTCCGATACCAAACACACCTCCAAGTGAGCCCCTTCATACTATTGACTCTGCGTGTGACCGACTTCGCTGTGTCCCTTTTCCACCACCCAATCAAAGACATGCTTTCTCTGTCTTTCTGGGTCGTCTGTGAGCCCGTTCCTGTGTATCTGCTCGCGCTGCGTGCAGGGTGTCGGAGGTGGACGGGTTTTGAAGCGTCTAAAAACATCATTCTGAGGCGTCTGTAGGCGCCTAGATGATTTTTAATGTGTATCCGCCCGCACTGCGTGCAGGGTGTCGGAGGAGGACGAGCGCACCACGCTTCAGGAGAAGCTGCAGGTTACGAGCGAGCGAATCGACTTCGCCCGCAAGGTGCTTCAGCGCACTCGTGCTCTCGCAGGAGAATCCCCACTGGATGCTTCGGAGGCAAAGGTGAGCCAGTCTAGGCAAAGGTGAGGCAGTCTATGCGAAGGTGAGGCAGTCTATGGGTGAGGCAGTCTATGCGAAGGTGAGGCAGTCTATGCGAAGGTGAGGCAGTCTATGCGGGGGTGAGGCAGTCTATGCGAAGGTGAGGCAGTCTATGCGGGGGTTTGTGGGTAGGTTGACGTGATTGTGTAGTAGGGAGCTGAGCCTTGTGTGCAGAAAATGGAAGTGTGGTATTTCAAGAGTTTACAACCTGTCTGTTAATGTGGTTGGAATTTCGATTAACACCCATCATTATAACCTGTGATTGTCACCACCCATTTCCTGTGGTTGTCTGGTCACGGTGCAGCCATCATACATGGAGACTCCCGAGTACAGTGCAGCCATGGCCAGCTTCGCACCCAACCACCACCCCTCCGTGCGCTCTACTAGCAGCAGCTCCTCTGCTCGCAGCAACAGGCACCTCCGTCGCAGCAGTAGCGACACTCCTGTCGCCTCTACAAGCAGGAACCCCTCTGCTTCCGTCGTAGCTGCCACTGCCACTGGCAGTGTGAAGGAGCAGTTCTTTTCCAGAGAAGATTCAGAGGGCTCCTCCCCTCGCACTCCCCCAGAGACCTTCCACGTGTTTACTGGCAGTAGTTCCGAGCCTTCTCCTGCCAGTCAAGCCGCTGGTGATCCAGATCCGGTCACCACACCGCCCAGGAGCCCCCTCCAGAGAAGCTTTGCCCTTTCCTCCATTGCAGCTGCTGCTACTGCCAAAGAGGCCCGGGCTTCAGGCCTCGCTAACAGCAGAACTGTGAGTGACTGCTCTGATGCCTCTGCTGAGCACGTGAAGTCACAGCCAGGCAAGGCAGGACTCCGTAGGAGTAGGAGTCAAGAGGCAGCGGTGTTGCAAGCAGGGAAGGGTGAGCTATCTGCCAAAGGAGAGGGAAAGGCAGAGAAAGGAAAGGGTGTAGCGAAGGAGGATTCAGGAGGTTCGGAAGTGGTGGGAAAGGGTGGTAAAGGGGAAGGGAGCGGTGAGGAGACCCATGCAGAAGGCAGCAACTCACATTCTCAAGAAGCACCCAGAGAATTCGGTCTTTCACGCCCTGAAGTGACCAAGGCAGGGGCAGGAAGCAGTGCCAGTTCTGGGGAGTATGCAGGCAGGGCAGCAAGGCTGAAAGGGCAGCAGGCGCTTGACTATGTGTACCTTCCTGCAAGCGCGGCCGCCGTGCCTGAGTACCCGATGAGTCTGGTTGAGGCAACGGCGTATGGCGTGCAGGCAGGAGTGCTGGTCGTGAAGGCAGGGATGGGGGTGCTGGAAGGGGTGGGGGAGGTGGCAGAGGAGAGTGTGAAAGAAAATGTAGGGCCATGCGTCGGAGCTGTCAAGTCATCAGCTGCTGAAATACCAGCAGAGATGATTGTGGAAGGTGCCAGGTATGTAGGATCCGCAGCAGCAGAGGCGAAATGGATGTTGAAATCAGCAGTGAAGGTGCTGTCAAAGGAGAAAGCGGATGGGGCAGCAGCTGCAGAAGCAGAGGAAGGGGTGAGTCAGGGGGAAGGGACTAAGGAGGCAGATACACCAGAAGCAGCAGATGCAGCAGCACGTGTAGACGCCTCAACTGCATCTGGAGAATCACAGGGTGCCTCAGCTTCAGCCGCTACAGTTGGAGGGCTAGCTGAGTCTGACACCTGCGCATCTGCTGCTGCTTCTCCTGGCGCATCTGCTGCTGCTTCTCCTGGCTCATCTGCCACTGCTGCCCCTGGCGCATCTGTTATTGCTGCATCTGCTACTGCTGGTCCTGGGGCATCTGCCACTGCTGTTCCTGGCGCATCTGCTGCTGCTGCCCCTGGCGCATCTGCTACCGCTGGTCCTGGCGCATCTGCCACTGCTGCCATTGTGTCAGGTGATGGTGATGCTCCGATCGGTGCTGGAGGGGGCCGGTGGCAAAGAGTTAAACAGCGATTGACGTTCATGGTTCAGGGCAAGGGGAAGGAAAAATCACAGGTGCCAGAGTCGAAACAAGATGAGAGCGATGGTGAAGACATGAAGAGTGGGTATGGTGGCGGGGGGGAGGAGAGGAAGCCAGAGAGCCGTGTGCAAGGGGCCAGTGGCGAGGAGAATCACCAAGGACTTGAGACGGATGAGGTTTCTGAGAAGGCAGGGAGCCTTTCCCGTGTGAGGGAAGAATCAGAGGAGGAGTTGAATGAGGGAGGAGAGGAAGGAGTGGAGCAGGGCAGCTGCAGTGATGCAGGTAGAGAACAGAGTGCAGTCATGGATGCTGGCGTGACTGATAGTGATGCTGGGAGAGGCGATGGTGACGAGGCAAGGGGAGCAGAGAAGGAGGAGAGCGTATGCATGGTAGACGCTGGGGTCGAAGGACAGACAAGTGGAGCGCAGAGGGAAGAGGGGCAGGGGGCAGACGCGGCAGTGGAACAGGGCCAAGGGGAGGAAGCTGAGGGCAGGAGCGGAGAGACGGAGGGGGTTGGAGGAGGAGGAGGAGGAGAAGGAGGAGGAGGAAGTGAGAGAGTGGAAGCGCCTGTGTCTGCATCTCTCCTTGGTTCCTCGCTGGCTGCTGCTCGCTTTGTCCTGGGGTTGAAGAGAGGCAGGGCTCGTCGTACAGGTGGCGCCAGTGAAGGAGAGCGAGGTTCTGAAATACAGCAGTCGCATCCTGCTGCTCATGCTACCTCTGGTGATGCTGCTGCTGCTGGTAGCGCTGCTGCAACAGACGAGGCACGTGTTGATGCTGAGGCGCAGTCCCATCCTGCTGCTGATTCTGCATCCAGTTCTGCGGCTGCTGCTGGTAGTGCGGCTGCTGCAGGCGGCGCTGCGTCTGCAGCTGTTGCAGAGAGTGGTGATGCGGATGCTAGCTCATCTGGTTCTTGTACTGCCACTGGTTCCGATGAAGGGCGTGCACGGGGAGATGCTGCTGGTGGCGCTGAGGGGGATGCTGATGTCACGGACTCTCATGCTGATGTCACGGACTCTCATGCTGATGCCCATCCCAGTCAGCATTCGGATACTAACACACACGGAGCAGCGGGTTCAGAAAGTGTGCCTGCCTCAACCGCTGCCAAGGCTATTGCTGGTCAGGTCAATCCTAGTGATGGCAGTACCACTGCCTCTGCCTCCGTCCCAGCCGCAGCTGCTGCCACTGAGCCTGTTGTAGTCACTGCTGGTGGAGCTGCCACTGCTTCACCCACTGTAGCGACAGGTGCTACTGCCACTGCACCCACTGTAGAGACAGGTGCTGCTGCCACCGCGGCCCCTGGATCTACTGCTGGTGCCGCCACAGGTAACAGCAGATCGACAGGAAGCAGGCTCAAGTCCAGCAGCAGCTTCAAAGTGTCATTGAGAGCAGCCGCTGCACGAATCATAAAGCCTGCGGCTCCCAAACCCAACAGACCTAGATTCTCGGAGGTGGTTGCTGGTGCCGTGGCTCGATCTGCTGCCCCGGTCGGTGCTTCTGTGCCTGATACCTCTGTTCCGGATGCCCCTGTTCCTGCACCTGCTACTGCTGCTCCTGGTGATCCCGTGTTGCCAGCGGCAGCAAAAACAGAACCCACTATTCACCTGGATTCTCTCTCCTCCTTCCCCCCTCTCAATTGCAACCGTATCCAAGCCACTCCCCTCAGCGCGCCAACAGCAGACCCCAACACTCGTGGTGCTGCTGCTGCCTCCCTCTCACCCTCCAGCTGCAGCCTTGGCGAATCAAGCAGTGGTGGCAAATCCAGCGATAATCTCTCTGCAAATATTGCCAGCGATGCTGCCAAAGTTTCCACTGTCGCTGCTGCTGCCGCCGCCGCTGCTGCTCCTGGTGATCCCGTGTTGCTAGAAACCGCGGCAGCCAAAACAGAGCCAGCCATTCACCTGGATTCTCTCTCCTCCTTTCCCCCCCTCAATCGTGATCGTGACCAAGCCACTCCCCTCAGCACGCCAACAGTAGACCCCAACACTCGTAGTGCTGCTGCTGCCTCCCTCTCACCCTCCAGCCGCAGCCTTGGCGAGTCAAGCAGTGGTGGCAAGAACAGCGATAAACTCTCTGCAAATGTTGACAAAGCTTCCACTGTCGCTGCTGCTGCCGCCGCTGCTACTGCTGGTTCTGCTGGCACTTCTGGCACTGCTGCTGGTACTGGCACTGCGGCTGCTGCTGCTGCTGCTGCAGGTGCAGGTGCTTCTGTTGATGCGGCCACAACTGCAACTGTTGATGCAGACTCAACTGCTTCTGTGTCTGCCCCTGCAAGTGCCCCTCTCGCTCCTGCTGCAGCCTCTGCTGGCTCTGGTACCGCAGACCACAGCAGCAGTGACCTGCAGTTGCCTGTGAATGTCCAGCCTTCTGAGTCAGCAGAGTTGGAACACCACAGGTCGCACTCAACTGAAGTTGCTCCAGCACTGGCAGACGTAGCAACAGGAGGCGCAGCTGGCGAAGCAGCAGCATCTGAAACACCAGCTGTTGATGATCCGCCTTCAAACAGCTTCCAGCCATCTCCTGAACTTGATGCAAGGCCTACCCGAGGCCGCGTGACTTGGAAAGGTGTTGTGGGCCAGGTTGGTGTTGGCGCCACTGCTGCCGTGGTCAACACAGGGAAGAGAGTGACAGGAGCGGCATCAGCTTTGCATTCCGCTGCAGCTGCTTTCCTCGATGGCACTTCAGAGAAAGTTCAGGAGAAGTTTCACGAGGCCCAGGAGGCGTTTGAGGAGGCAGAGGAGAGGGCGGGGGAGTGGCGGGCTGATGAGGGGTTTAAAGCGCAAGTGGGGGCGATGAGGACAGTGCGCTCTATGGAGTCATTTTTCGGGAGACAGGCGGACAAGCTGATGGAGGCCACACACGTTCCTGACATAATTAAATCTGCAACAGCTGCAGAGCTCCGGGCACACTGGCCCCATGACAGCTTCAGGTTGCCGTCGTCGAGAAGCGAGGGAGGAGAGATGGTCAGCGACGGGGAAGGGAATGAGTTGATGCCCGTGCCCACGCTTGAAGAGCTTCAGAGCATGGCGGGGGCGGTAGCAGCTGCTGAGTTGGAGTTTATCGGGCGGAATAGGCCGACTGGATTGGTCAAGAGCGCGAGTGTTGCCTCAGGGCAGATGGCAGCAGTAGCGAGGCGAGGCCAGGATGTGGTGGCGAAGGCAGGATCCATGGTCAAGGGAGCAGTTGGGAGCGCCCTCGCTGCCGGCTCGGAGGCGGCTGTAGCAGAGGGTAAGGCCTTAAGGGCCGGGGCGTCTGTAGCGCTGAGTGTTATGGGCGGGAGGCTGGGGGAGATCAAGGAACACGCTGATCAGGACTTGCAAGTGAGCCTCGCGGACTGGCGGAGACGAATGCAGGAGGCGGGGATAGGGGTGGAGGAGGAGGAAGACATCAGTGAGTTGCGGCAGGAGCGGATCCAGCTGGGCAACGAGGAGTACGACGCAGGGGCGATCGTGGGAGGCGACGTGACGGTTCACGTGATTAAAGCCATGGATCTGGGGCTCCGGCCGGAGAAGACGCATCCGTACGCGGTGGTGCAGGTGGAGGGGCGGCGGCTGCGGTCGTCAGTGTGCAAGGGCACGGTATGTCCGCAGTGGGACGAGCTGCTGGTGTTCAAAGGCGTGTCTACCGCCTCCAGCATGGCTATCTCCATCTTCAGCAGCGAAACCATCGGCTCACACAAGTTCCTCGGCCAGGTGAGCCGTGGGGTCGGTGTGCAAGGGGTCAGTGTGCAAGGGCACAGTGTGTCCGCAGTGGGACGAGCTGCTGGTGTTCAAAGGCGTGTCTACCGCCTCCAGCATGGCTATCTCCATCTTCAGCAGCGAAACCATCGGCTCACACAAGTTCCTCGGCCAGGTGAGCCGTGGAACAGTTTGCCTTGCTCGCCCTTGGTTCACTCACAGTAGCTCCGCGAATTGTTCTTGGTGCGTCCGGTCCGGTGTGTCAGTTTTTGATCAAAATCGTTTCCTCCTGCTTCTTTGATATGCTACCCCCACCACGCTGCTCCGCTGTGCCGCTGCCCTCCCCCCAGGTGGTGCTGCCGCTGGTGGACGGCAGGGCTCTGAACCGCGAGCCCGGGTGGCACAAGCTGAGTCGGCGCACGGCACATGAGACGGTGACAGGCAGGGTGTTCCTGTCCACGTCTTGGGACGCCACAGAGCTCGAGCTCATGGCGCTGCAGGTGGGTCAGTTGTGCGTGCATTGTTGCACGTGTGGTGCCTTGTGTTGTATGCATGTGTGGTGGCTTTCACGTGCACACGAGACGGTGACAGTCAGGCAGGGTGTTCTTGTCCACATCGTGGGACGCCACCGAGCTCGAGCTCATGGCACTGCAGGTGGGTCAGTTGTGCGTGCATGGCTGCACGTGAGGTGCCTTGTGTTGTATGCATGTGTGGTGGCTTTCACGTGCACACGAGACGGTGACAGTCAGGCAGGGTGTTCCTGTCCACGTCTTGGGACGCCACAGAGCTCGAGCTCATGGCGCTGCAGGTGGGTCAGTTGTGCGTGCATTGTTGCACGTGAGGTGCCTTGTGTTGTATGCATGTGTGGTGGCTTTCACGTGCACACGAGACGGTGACAGTCAGGCAAGGTGTTCTTGTCCACATCGTGGGACGCCACCGAGCTCGAGCTCATGGCGCTGCAGGTGGGTCAGTTGTGCGTGCATGGCTGCACGTGAGGTGCCTTGTGTTGTATGCATGTGTGGTGGCTTTCACGTGCACACGAGACGGTGACAGTCAGGCAGGGTGTTCCTGTCCACGTCTTGGGACGCCACAGAGCTCGAGCTCATGGCGCTGCAGGTGGGTCAGTTGTGCGTGCATTGTTGCACGTGAGGTGCCTTGTGTTGTATGCATGTGTGGTGGCTTTCACGTGCACACGAGACGGTGACAGTCAGGCAGGGTGTTCTTGTCCACATCGTGGGACGCCACCGAGCTCGAGCTCATGGCGCTGCAGGTGGGTCAGTTGTGCGTGCATGGCTGCACGTGAGGTGCCTTGTGTTGTATGCATGTGTGGTGGCTTTCACGTGCACACGAGACGGTGACAGTCAGGCAGGGTGTTCCTGTCCACGTCTTGGGATGCAACAGAGCTCGAGCTCATGGCGCTGCAGGTGGGTGGGTCCTTTGCGCGTGCACGGCTGCTTGTGTAGATTATTGAGTTGACTAGAAAAAAGAGGCTGGGGTGGCACACCTCCCGAACTCACACCTTTGCCTGAACGCACTGGAGGGTGCTTCCTTCCATCATTCACTCCCTTCCTCTCCTTCTGCCCACTGCCTTTGCCTGTGCGCCCATTGCCTTTGCCCCTGCAGCTGCGTGCCAAGGAAGCGGAGCTGGACGCACTGGAGCAGCGACTGGCGCAGGAGAGGGAGGCACGTTAGAGGCGCAGAGAGCGCACCTCCCCTCCCCCCATCATTCCCTGCTTCTCCGTTTGCCTCTTGCGTGTCCCTGTGCCCGTTCACCCCTGCAGCTGCGTGCCAAGGAAGCGGAGCTGGACGCGTTGGAAGAGCGGCTGGCGCAGGAGAGGGAGGCGAGGCCCAGGGAGGCCGTCATGGCAGCAGAGACCCTCGCCAACCCGCACCCACTGCAGCCCCACACGCCCTCCTCGGCCCTGCGCACGCCCACGGGGGGCCCCATGCTGCGCCGCATGTTCACCCTCAGGGGCCCTGGGGGGATGGGTGCAGCGGCTGCCTCGTCCGTGTCGCCTGCTGTGGTGCAGCAGCATGCCGCTAAGGGGCAGCTCAAGGTGAGAGAGGGGAGGGGAGGCTGGGGGAGAGGGAAGCGGGCCTATGCTGCGCCGCATGTTCACTCTCAGGGGCCCTGGGGTGATGGGTGCGGCTGCCTCTTCCGTGTCGCCTGCTGTGGTGCAGCAGCATGCCGCTAAGGGGCAGCTCAAGGTGAGAGAGGGGAGGGGAGGCTGGGGGAGAGGGAAGCGGGCCTATGCTGCGCCGCATGTTCACTCTCAGGGGCCCTGGGGTGATGGGTGCGGCTGCCTCTTCCGTGTCGCCTGCTGTGGTGCAGCAGCATGCCGCTAAGGGGCAGCTCAAGGTGAGAGAGGGGAGGGGAGGCTGGGGGAGAGGGAAGCGGGCCTATGCTGCGCCGCATGTTCACTCTCAGGGGCCCTGGGGTGATGGGTGCGGCTGCCTCTTCCGTGTCGCCTGCTGTGGTGCAGCAGCATGCCGCTAAGGGGCAGCTCAAGGTGAGAGAGGGGAGGGGAGGCTGGGGGAGAGGGAAGCGGGCCTATGCTGCGCCGCATGTTCACTCTCAGGGGCCCTGGGGTGATGGGTGCGGCTGCCTCTTCCGTGTCGCCTGCTGTGGTGCAGCAGCATGCCGCTAAGGGGCAGCTCAAGGTGAGTGTTGGAGGGAGGGAGAGGGCGGCGGGCCCATGCTGCGCCACATGTTCACACTGCAGGGCCATGTGCAGGGGATGGCTGGGGGCGCCTCTTCAGTGTCGTGCAGCAGCATGCCGCTAAGGGGCAGATCAAGGTGAGAGAGGGGGGACAGAGGGATGCGTAAGGATAAGGGGTCTTCTTGTATAGACACTACCTTCCGGACCTGCCTCTCCTGCTTCTTTTCCTGCCTGGGTCCTGGCAGAGCCAGCTGAGTGGCTGCACTGCTTGTATTTGGTTCCATACTTACTCTCACCACATTACTCACCCTCTTTTCTCATGTGGCCATCTGCAGGTGAAGGTGGTGGAGGCAAGGCACCTGGCAGTGCCAGCAGAGTGTCTGCGCTCGGCGTGTTTGGATCTTCTCTTCCCTTGCTTTACTCACCCCTCTACTCACTCTCCGCTCACCCTGCTCCTCCGTCCTCCCATGTGCAGGTGAAGGTGGTGGAGGCGAGGCACCTGGCAGTGCCAGCGGAGTGGCTGCGCTCAGTCTGTTTAAATCCCTCCTAAACACCATCTCTGTTTTACCCACCACTCTACTTACCTCCCTCCACGCACCCCTCTCTTGTCTGCAGGTGAAGGTGGTGGAGGCAAGGCATCTGGCAGTGCCAGCGGAGTGGCTGCGCTCGGTGCACCGGATGCGTGCCTTTGCTGCGCTCTCCGTGGTGTCCCCCTCGGGCACCAGCACGCTCCCTGTGAAGACGCGCGTCATCAACGGCACCTTCTTCCCAAAGTGGAACGAAACGTTCTCCATCAACGATGCTGCTCTCGCCTCCTCGCTGCGCGTGCAGGTATGGCTTGAGTCAGGTGGTTCTCATTCAGGTGTAGGCTGGTTCAGGGGGAACTGGTGCAGGTTTGACCTGGGTCAGGTGGTGCAGAGTAGTGCAAGCAGTCCACAGATTGGTTCAGCTGGGGCCGGACTCGTGTCACTGCTTGAACGCCTTGACATATTGGTTGCAATCAGATGTTTGCTTGTTTCGCTAGCGAATTAAGTCGGCCTCATTTCTTCTCAAGTCTGTCCTTTCCGAAACCCCCCTAGGCTGTTCCTCCATGCCTTCACGGTTCCCTTGCCTTCCCAATGCTCACCCCTCCTTTTGTACCATTGCTCCTGCTAATCACCCGTTTTCGTCTCACCCGTCTGGTGGCCACGCCCCGCATCCCCTACAGGTGTTTGACAAGCCAAAGCTGGGCAGCCCGAACCTCCTGGGCGAAGCTACAGTGGACGTCACCACCTTCAAGGTGTGGCTAGACACAGACAGACAGACAGGATGCAGATGATGAGAGATTCCGATTCGAATCGATCACTGATTTGAAGGTCATACCAACCCAATCTGTGCATGAATTTGAAAGCCAAGCCAAAGCCACATGGCTGAGAGTCATAGCATGTTCTCCATGCCTCGCCCGTTGCTCACATTTACGAGCAGCTTGTCTCGCCCCATGCTTTCCTCTGCTCTATTTCAATCTACTCTTTGCTATTCTTTGCTTTGTCCCAGGACGGGCTGCCACAGTACATGCTGCTGACTCTCAAGCGAAGTGCTGGGAAAGAAGGGGTGCGTATCTGCCTGTTCCTGCCTCCGTTTTCCTTTTTCCCCACTTTCCTTGTGAGGCCATTATTCCCTCCTGGCCTCCTCTTCACCTCCACCCACTATTTCCTCCTCTCTTCCCGTCCCTGGTCCTTGGCTGCTCGTACCATGTGCTTGCCATTTTGACGCATCCCCTCCCAACCTCCGCTTCACCTCCACCCACTATTTCCTCCTCTCTTCCCGTCCCTGGTCCTTGACTGCCCATACCCTGCACCTTGTGCCGACCTCCTGCCGCCCTTCCTTTCCTTCACCTGCAGGAGCAGGAGGCAGTGGGCGGCAGCATTCGTCTTCGAGTGCACTGGATGGTGGACCATGGGAAGAAGGCAGAGGAGAAGACGGGAGTCAATTTTACGGTAAGATGGAAACTTTTCACACTCTATGTCGGTCTACTCGCTGCGTCCCTGTCCTCATTTCATCCCGCTTTTGGACACCACTTCTTTCATTCCTTGCCTCTGTTCAAAGCCGTCTTTCTCCCCAATCTCTTCCTCACCAGCCTCTCCCCTGTTGGACCAGCAAAAGCTCCATCCATCCCTGCCCATTGCCCCACACTTCTTCACCTTCTTGCCTCGCTTCCCACCGCCCCTTCTGCCTGACTCCGTCCATAATATTCCTCGCCTTTTCCCCTCACCCCATTCCCCATCCCACCCCATTCCCCATCCCACCCCCTCTCTCCCCCCACACGTGCCAACTGCCCCCAGTTGAACCTGCACGGGATGACCGTGTCCGTAGTGGACCGCCTGCCCCGAGAGATCATGCTGCTGCTCCTGGAAGACATCTGCTGCTCCTGGGAGGAGTCGGTGAGCCGCATGCGGAATGGGGGAGAAAGGGGGAGTGGGGGAGAGGGAGAGAGCTGGCTAGACATGTGAGAGGTGGTTGGGTGGAGGGTGGGTACGTGAGAGAGATCATGCTCGTGGTGCTGGAAGACATCTGCTGCTCCTGGGAGGAGTCAGTGAGCCGCACAGGCACAGGGGGAAAGGGGAGGGTAGAGAGGGGGAAACGGGAGGGGCTGGCTAGGCATGTGAGAGGTGGCGAGCAAGCAGCAGTTGGACAACCAGCTGCTCATACCCACCCACCACCCCTCGCCACACTCCCTCCCCAATTCCCACCCCTCTCCCCTCTCCCTCCCCCTTCCCTTCTCCCATCCCTGCCTGGCGCACGATGTATGGGGAGCAGGTGAAGGAGGTGGCGGGCAAGGTGGAGGTGGGCAAACTGCAGGTGGACAATCAACTGCTCACGGCTCGCAACCCTGTTGTGCTCTCGCGCACCCAGGTCAGAGCCTCGGCTCAGATCTCCCTGTGCTTTCTTGCAACATGCTTGAGTTTCACCCCCCCCCCATCTCCCTCTCGCGATTGTAAGAAATATGTTGACTCTCTCACGCTTGCATCCACGCTGGCCGGCACACTGACTTGTAATTCTTCTCTTTGCATTGCCCCTTATTCTCTCCCTCCCAGGCCTTCCCCGCAGAAGCCCTGTTCATGGAGCAGAGCAAGGAGCTGGCGAACCAGGCATCGCTAGCGAGCATGCTGAGCACGGACCCCAAGGAGAAGGAGAAGGCGTTCGTGTCAGTGGAGTTCACGCGCCTGCTGCAGCACCCCTCCATCGTCTACTACCGCCGCTTCCTCTTCCAGCTTCAGGAGTTCGACCTGGTTTTGGAGGAGGATTTCGTGGACACTGCAGTGGCGTACCTGCAGCAGCTGCCTATGGATGATCTCTGGCAGGAGGCGGAGAAGCGGGGTGGGAAGGAGGAGGAGGAGAAGAAGGAGGCGGACGAAGATTTGGTGGAGGATATGACCGGCGCTCCCATCACCAGGACTTACCTGGTCAGTGTGGACCTCTGTGGTGTAGCCCTCAGTGCCATTCTCACCTCACTGCCGTATGGCCTTGCGCCCGTTGCACCCTTACTTGCCATCTCTTCCTGCGTTGATTCCCTCCAAAAAAACCTTGTTGCAAGCAGATAACACATTCCCTTCTCCACTTCCTCCTCTGGCCGGCCGTTTTTCATCTAGCCTGCCCCTTTTCTGTCTGGCCTGCCCCTTTTTCCTCCTCTCCCCCTCTCCAGCCCCGTGACGCCACCATGGTGTCCCCCACATCCCGCCGGCACTTAGTTAAGTCGGAGCCGTTGGAGCCGTTGGTGAACAGCAGCAGCTGGGTGGCGGGGAACCAGGGCCTGCGGTGGTACTTTGAGCGCTTCCAGGTGCAGTCCATGCGCATCAACGTCACGCTCGTCATGAACCCCATCAAGAGCGATGCACCGCCGCCCTCCGGAAGCAGCTCCGAGTGGCACCTCCGGACCACCGCGTCCTCTGCGGGGTTCCCGCTCATCTCGCTCACCCGAGCCCCGCTGAGACTCAACAGGTGTGTAATCCGCGCTGCCGTCCTCAGGGAGGGAGCAGCTCCGGTGGCACTTCAGCCGGAAGCCCCCCCACCCCTGTCAAATCCCCCCTTCCTCTTCATCCTATTCCCTTTGAACCCCTCTGTCCCGTTAACCCCCCCCCCCCCCCCCCCCTGCGTGTGGGCCACTCTGGTGCTGGACAACGCGTTTCAGAACCAGACCACGCTGCTGACATACATGCTGCCTTCTGTGAATCCCTCTCCGTCTTGAACCCCGTTCCTCTCCCCTTCCCCCCCTGTCTCCCCCTCCCCCTCCCACACCCCTCTCTTCTCCCCCTCCCCGCCCGAAACCCCCCTCTCCGTGCGTGCGTGCCAGTCTGGTGCTGGACAATGCGTTTCAGAATCAGAGCACGCTGCAGACGTACGTGCTGCGCCACTACGGGGTGCAGCTGCTGCTTGAACCCCGCTTCTCCCCCCTTCCTTCCCCCCGCGCCCCTTCCCCCCCTCATGCGCGCCAGTCTGGTGCTGGACAATGCGTTTCAGAATCAGAGCACGCTGCAGACGTACGTGCGGCGCCACTACGGGGTGCAGCTGCTGCTTGAACCCCGCTTCTCCCCCCTTCCTTCCCCCCGCGCCCCTTCCCCCCCTCATGCGCACCAGTCTGGTGCTGGACAATGCGTTTCAGAATCAGAGCACGCTGCAGACGTACGTGCTGCGCCACTACGGTGTGCAGCTGCTGCAGGGGCTCCACAAGATCCTCGGCTCCGTTGAGCTGCTCGGCGCCCCGGTACGCCCCTCCTACTTTTCATTCATGCCCCAATACGACTTTTGAGGCGCCTTTAAGGGGCTCCACAAGATCCTCGTCTCTGTCGAGCTGCTCGGCGCCCCCGTATGCTCCTCCTGCACCCTGCTTCCTTCCTCCATTGGCTGCTTGCACATATCTCCGCTGCTTTCTGACTCTTCCGTCCCCCCTGCCTTCTTTCATCCGAACACCATATTATCTGTGTCAAATGAACCCCTGTCCACCATACACCACCCCTGTGCCCCGAATGCGACCCTCCCCAGCTATCCCTGGTGGACAACCTTGCCACAGGAGTCATGGACTTCTTTGTTGAGCCTGCCTCCGCCACCACGTGAGTGACTGACTGCCCTACCTCTCGCCCTCTTGAACCTTTCATATCACATCTCTTCTCTCTCCCATTCTCGTCCCATTCTCCCCTCTGGTAGTGCTGGCCCCCATGTTTTTCTGCATGGACAGCCCATCCGTCCCCCGTCGTATCCTCCCAAACCCTTCCAGTTGAGTGGGCTTCGTCAACAGGGTGCTCAAGGACAGTGCGTCTGTCTTCAAGTCCAGAGGTTTCGAAACATTCGCCCTCTGCCCCTGATCTTATCCCTCTCCCCCCTGAACCTCTCTCCCCCGTCCTCCTCTCCCCTTTAACCCCCCCTTGGTCCCCCTCGTTCCATTCCCCTCCTCCCCACCACCCCACTGGCTGGCAGGCCGGAGGAGTTCCTGAATGGCGCAGTGAAGGGCACGGTGAGTCTGATGAAGCACTCGTCGTACGGCGTGCTTCACTCCATCAGCTCCCTCGCTGGCGGCATCGGCTCCGGATTTGCCAAGCTCACCTTCGACGACTCCTTCATCCAGAGGTACATTTTAGAGTCGCCTCCTTGCCACCGGCTTTGCCAAGCTCACCTTCGATGACTCCTTCATCCAGAGGTACATTTTAGAGTCGCCTCCTTGCCACCGGCTTTGCCAAGCTCACCTTCGACGACTCCTTCATCCAGAGGTACATTTTAGAGTCGCCTCCTTGCCACCGGCTTTGCCAAGCTCACCTTCGACGACTCCTTCATCCAGAGGTACATTTTAGAGTCGCCTCCTTGCCACCGGCTTTGCCAAGCTCACCTTCGACGACTCCTTCCATCCAGAGGTACATTTTAGAGTCGCCTCCTTGCCACCGGCTTTGCGAAGCTCACCTTCGACGACTCCTTCATCCAGAGGTACATTTTAGAGTCGCCTCCTTGCCACCGGCTTTGCCAAGCTCACCTTCGACGACTCCTTCATCCAGAGGTACATTTTAGAGTCGCCTCCTTGCCACCGGCTTTGCCAAGCTCACCTTCGACGACTCCTTCATCCAGAGGTACATTTTAGAGTCGCCTCCTTGCCACCGGCTTTGCCAAGCTCACCTTCGACGACTCCTTCATCCAGAGGTACATTTTAGAGTCGCCTCCTTGCCACCGGCTTTGCCAAGCTCACCTTTGGCGACCCCTTCATTCAGAGGTACACTGGCGGGCGCGCTGATAGATTTAGTAATGAACAAAGATGACCTCTTGCAAAGAGTTCATGGAAGGTGTTTGCAGAGAGTTCGGAAAACTCGAGGGCGCCTTTACTGCACACACATGAATACGTCTCTTCTGCCAAACCCAAGCCCTCCACCCAATCCCCCTCCCCTCTCGCCCACCGCCAACCCCTCCCGCAAACAACCACCCCCCCACCCCCCCCCCCCCCTTCAGGTTCAGCCAGCGGCCGGAGGGAACATCGCAGCAGGTGCTGCGAGGAGCACAGGACGTGGGGCTGGGCTTCGTGGGGGCCGTCACAGGACTGGTGCTGCAGCCGCTGGAGGGTGCACGCAGGGAGGGGGCCGTGGGTGCAGTCAAGGGCATGGGCAAAGGGGTGGTTGGGCTGGTGACCAAGCCGCTGTCGGGGCTGCTGGGGTTTGCGTCGACGCTGACTGAGAGCGCCGGCACGGGGATCAGGGCGATTGGGGGGGATGTGACAAGGCGGAGTGTGCCGCGGATTCGACTGCCCAGCACTTTTGGGCGAAATGATGCGATCTCGGTGAGTCGAGGCTGTGGTGAATGAGGATGTGAGTGTGTGTTGTTGTTGTTGTTGTTTTTTTGTTTTTTGTTTTTTTTTTGTCATTCACCTTTTCTTCTCTTGTTACCCATGATTTTTGCTGCTCTACTTCCTTCACTCCCTCCTTTACCTCTGAATCCTCATAACCTCTGCCTTCCCCTTCCCCCCAGCTGGAGACAGAGACACTCCTTTCCACTCCCCAACCCCCCTGCCACCCCTCCCCCCTCCCCGCAGCTGGAGCCAGAGAAGCTAGTGTGGATCTGAAGCTAGTCGTGGCCATTGTGGAGTTCAGGCGGTACCCCAGCGAGCACCACTTGCAACCCTGTCCACTCCCATCTAATCCCTACATCCCTCCAACTCCCCTCCAGCTGGAGCCAGAGGACAGTGTGGAGCTGAAGCTAGTCTTGGCCATCCTGGAATTTTGGGCGCTACCACAACGAGCACCTGTTGACCCCTTTCCACCCCCCCCAACTCCCTACATCCCTCCAACTCTTCCCCCCCCAGCTGGAGCCAGAGGACAGTGTGGAGCTGAAGCTGGTGCTGGCCATACTGGACTTTGGGCGGTACCGTGACGAGCACCTGTTGGACCATCTGCAGACGTCAGGGCGCATGGCGGTGCTATTCACCGTTGCGCGCCTCATCTTCTACGACTGCCAGCGCAACGTCTTCTACTGGCAGATCCCTCTTAAAGGTACGGCCATGCTGTGATGGATGTACAATGCTTGTCTCTTTTTCATAGTGTTGAGGCGTCTCAGAGAGCGCAAGGCGGTGCTCTTCACTGTTGTGCGTTTGCTCTGCCAGCGCAACATCTTTTTCTGGCAGATCCCCCCTCAGGGGTAGGTTCAAGAAATGCTAGTGATTTTTTTCACTCACCATGCGTGTGTTTTGCGTCTGTTCTGTTCTGTTCTGTTCTGTTCTGTTCTGTTCTGTTCTGTTCTGTTCTGTTCTGTTCTGTTTGTTTGTTTATTTCGCTTGTTTTGTTTCTTTTCCATTTCATTTCGTTGCTTACCTGGATTGGAACCATCCGCCATCAAATTTCTCGTCTCCCCCTCCCCCTTCTCCACTCGGGCTGCAGACATAACCTCAGTGATGGGAATGGAGGGGCGGCTGGAGAGCATAATTCTGTACGATGCAGATGTGGTGATCGCAGGCAAGAAGCTCCCTCTGCGCATGCCCGCCCGCAAGGTCATCAAGACCACCACCCGCGAACTCCACATGGCGCTCTTAGTTAAGCTCAACCGACACTTAGCCCGCATCCGCGCCGCACTCCCCTCCTCCTCTGCCACCTCCCCCCACCGCGGGTCCCGTGATTCAGTTGCTGCCAGCACTGCTGATGATGCGTCACACTCCTCCTCTCGCCCCCTCTCTGCTGGCTCGTCTCCTGTTCTCTCTCCCTCCCCCTCCCTCCCTTCCCCTCTCCGCCTTGCTCAATCCCCTGGGAACGTCTCTGAGGCGAGTGCTGTTGGCGGCAAGGTAGCAGGGAGGTCTGGAGGAGCAGCCGGTGCTGGTGTTGGCAGGAGCAGCAGTGGTGGTGGTGCCGCTGATCGTACGGCTGGGAGAGTCTTTGCCGGCAGCCAGTTCCCGCTCACAAAGAATTTATCTGCGCAGAGAGAGCAGGAGGAGGAGGGGGAGAAGGAGGAGAAAGAGGAGGAAGAGGCTTCTGAATCTGCTCGCGGGGTGAGTGTGGCGGGAGGAGTTGCTGCGGCAACGGGAGCGACACGGTGGAGGAAGCAAACCAGTGGGAGAGGTGCTGCAGGCGCTGCAGCTGACAAGGGCAAGTCTCCTGTAGACCAGACTCACAGCGGCCCAGCTCCGGTCAGAGCTAAGAAAAGCAGCTTCCGCAGGGGCAAATCAGGAGGATTCGGGGGAGGTGACAAGTTGGGGAAACAGGGTGTGATATGGGAAGATGCGGATGTGGAGGCAGCACAAGTGGACCAGGGCGACAGTGACGAGGATGATTATCGCGAGGATGCAAATGGTGGGGCGGCAAGGGTGGCTCAGTTGGATAGGGAGGAGCGGCAGGAGGTGCGGCGGAATCTGGATGCTATACTGACGACTTGCCAAGTGGCGAGTGCAAGAGCTGGCGGTCGAGCAGACCCTGCTTCGGCTCTGGTTTCTGTGAGATTCCTTGCACTTGCTGCGTATTCCCGCGTACAGGCACATAGGGCTGAACAGGCCACGCTAGGAGCGACAGCGTTGCAAGGGGTGCGGAGGGGTGATGATTCGCAATGGGAGGAAGATGTGTCGGCATTGCTGTGCACAATGGTGGCTCTGACTGAAGGTGGTGAGACTGGTTCGTCGAGAGACCAGTCTCAGATCATGGGAACGCTCGAGGCAATCTGCCACCAGGCCATTGACCGTGTCTCTGGCCGTTGATGGTATGTATACATTTTTTTTAATCCCATTAGCGACATTATGTTTAGTCCTCTATGTTCAGGCGATGACATGATTTGCTTTAAATCATGCCCTAAAAGTACGTAGGTAGGTAGGTAGGTAGGGCAGTCATAGGCCTGTATATAGGCTAATAAAATTTATTACCCAGTTATTGAGCTTAGTTGTGTAGCATCAAAAGAAACACTTCTGACACGTCAGCGTCGATGACATCCAGCCCAGATTTTGTCACGCGGCTCCTCCGCCTGCACACTTGTTTTCCCGCCTTCGTGTCCCGCTAAACCACAACAGGCCAACCACAACAGGCCAACCCCATTTGGGAATGGCAGTCGAGGGCTCGGTGCTCGAGTAGAATCCAGGCCAGCGACGAAAGGTGATCTTGTGTAGTTTCTTGTTATCAGGACAATCTATGGTCGTGCAGTGGGTATAGCTCCAGGTGCTGTCTCGCGCGAAATTGAGCACTCTGCGAGCTTACTGCGTCGCATCCCGCAACTTTCGCCAATAAACGAGCCAGACTGTCACCCCTCTCACCGCGGGGGATCGTTGCTCTTTAGTGCTGTTTATCGTTCAGCCATTGCTGTTCTCGCGAGAGTCTAATCAGCTCTCGTCTCCTCTTTAGCGACCATCGTCGTTTCTCTCCGCGGTGCCATGACCGCGTGTGCCTGCCTCTCGCGAGTCGCGATCCGTGGAACGACGTCGCTTCCTTCCGTCGCCTGCTGCCCTCGCCGAAAGCAACAACAATCGCTCTCGCTTCGAAAACACAACGAGCATGCGTTACTAAGCGTCGCGTGCGAAAAACAATGTCGGTCTCAATACACAAACGTCGGGGTGTTGGGGTCGTCGAGACGACGGTGTTGCGGTGCAGTGCGGTGCTCCGCCGCGTCAGCAGATGATCCAAGGGCCACGCTTCCTTCCGTTGCTATCGTATCTGGCGATAATGGATCTCTCAAGGTTTGCAAATCAACTCTGCCATCCTGACTTCCTGCCTTCTTGCCTTCCTCCGTCTCCTCTACCTTCTGCTCTCATCCCCCCTCTGCGTACATCCGCCTCACCCTAAAAAATGCCACACCGTTCTCGGACCGTCCCCCTCGCCTCATCATGTCTGTTATCACCCACCATCCAAGCGCGATTCAAGCTGCCAGACAAAAACCAGCTTTTGAGGCGCCTCAAGAATGATCACTCTTCGCTCCACCATTCCTTCTACCCCATTTTCGACTTACACAGAGCGCGAGTCAGGCTGGCGCGCAGAGGGCAGCGCAGGAGGCGAGTGACGACGACGTGCTGATAGAGCTCAAGGACGTGTACAAGTCGTTCGGCAGCAAGCACATCCTCAGAGGCGCGTCGCTCAAGGTGCGGTTCCTACCGCCTGTCCGCCCCTCTCTACGCGTCCAAACGTGCCTTTACCTGTCACTGCTTTTATCTATGTGCCATTCCATGCAGCCATTCCTTGCAGCCATTCCATGCAGCCATTCCATGCAGCCATTCCATGCAGCCATTCCTTGCAGCCATTCCATGCAGCCATTCCATGCAGCCATTCCATGCAGCCATTCCTTGCAGCCATTCCATGCAGCCATTCCATGCAGCCATTCCATGCAGCCATTCCATGCAGCCATTCCATGCAGCCATTCCATGCAGCCATTCCATGCAGCCATTCCATGCAGCCATTCCATGCAGCCATTCCTTGCAGCCATTCCTTGCAGCCATTCCATGCAGCCATTCCATGCAGCCATTCCATGCAGCCATTCCTTGCAGCCATTCCTTGCAGCCATTCCTTGCAGCCATTCCATGCAGCCATTCCATGCAGCCATTCCATGCAGCCATTCCATGCAGCCATTCCATGCAGCCATTCCATGCAGCCATTCCATGCAGCCATTCCATGCAGCCATTCCTTGCAGCCATTCCATGCAGCCATTCCATGCAGCCATTCCATGCAGCCATTCCATGCAGCCATTCCATGCAGCCATTCCATGCAGCCATTCCATGCAGCCATTCCATGCAGCCATTCCATGCAGCCATTCCTTGCAGCCATTCCTTGCAGCCATTCCATGCAGCCATTCCATGCAGCCATTCCATGCAGCCATTCCTTGCAGCCATTCCTTGCAGCCATTCCTTGCAGCCATTCCATGCAGCCATTCCATGCAGCCATTCCATGCAGCCATTCCATGCAGCCATTCCATGCAGCCATTCCATGCAGCCATTCCTTGCAGCCATTCCTTGCAGCCATTCCATGCAGCCATTCCATGCAGCCATTCCATGCAGCCATTCCTTGCAGCCATTCCTTGCAGCCATTCCTTGCAGCCATTCCATGCAGCCATTCCATGCAGCCATTCCATGCAGCCATTCCTTGCAGCCATTCCTTGCAGCCATTCCATGCAGCCATTCCATGCAGCCATTCCATGCAGCCATTCCATGCAGCCATTCCATGCAGCCATTCCATGCAGCCATTCCATGCAGCCATTCCATGCAGCCATTCCATGCAGCCATTCCATGCAGCCATTCCATGCAGCCATTCCATGCAGCCATTCCTTGCAGCCATTCCATGCAGCCATTCCTTGCAGCCATTCCATGCAGCCATTCCATGCAGCCATTCCATGCAGCCATTCCATTGCAGCCATTCCATGCAGCCATTCCATGCAGCCATTCCATGCAGCCATTCCATGCAGCCATTCCTTGCAGCCATTCCTTGCAGCCATTCCATGCAGCCATTCCATGCAGCCATTCCATGCAGCCATTCCATGCAGCCATTCCATGCAGCCATTCCATGCAGCCATTCCATGCAGCCATTCCATGCAGCCATTCCATGCAGCCATTCCTTGCAGCCATTCCTTGCAGCCATTCCATGCAGCCATTCCATGCAGCCATTCCATGCAGCCATTCCTTGCAGCCATTCCTTGCAGCCATTCCATTGCAGCCATTCCATGCAGCCATTCCATGCAGCCATTCCATGCAGCCATTCCATGCAGCCATTCCATGCAGCCATTCCATGCAGCCATTCCATGCAGCCATTCCATGCAGCCATTCCTTGCAGCCATTCCTTGCAGCCATTCCATGCAGCCATTCCTTGCAGCCATTCCATGCAGCCATTCCATGCAGCCATTCCATGCAGCCATTCCATGCAGCCATTCCTTGCAGCCATTCCATGCAGCCATTCCATGCAGCCATTCCTTGCAGCCATTCCATGCAGCCATTCCATGCAGCCATTCCTTGCAGCCATTCCTTGCAGCCATTCCATGCAGCCATTCCATGCAGCCATTCCATGCAGCCATTCCTTGCAGCCATTCCATGCAGCCATTCCTTGCAGCCATTCCATGCAGCCATTCCATGCAGCCATTCCATGCAGCCATTCCATGCAGCCATTCCATGCAGCCATTCCATGCAGCCATTCCATGCAGCCATTCCATGCAGCCATTCCATGCAGCCATTCCATGCAGCCATTCCATGCAGCCATTCCATGCAGCCATTCCATGCAGCCATTCCATGCAGCCATTCCATGCAGCCATTCCATGCAGCCATTCCATGCAGCCATTCCTTGCAGCCATTCCATGCAGCCATTCCATGCAGCCATTCCATGCAGCCATTCCATGCAGCCATTCCATGCAGCCATTCCATGCAGCCATTCCATGCAGCCATTCCATGCAGCCATTCCATGCAGCCATTCCATTGCAGCCATTCCATGCAGCCATTCCATGCAGCCATTCCATGCAGCCATTCCATGCAGCCATTCCATGCAGCCATTCCATGCAGCCATTCCATGCAGCCATTCCATGCAGCCATTCCATGCAGCCATTCCATGCAGCCATTCCATGCAGCCATTCCATGCAGCCATTCCATGCAGCCATTCCATGCAGCCATTCCATGCAGCCATTCCATGCAGCCATTCCATGCAGCCATTCCATGCAGCCATTCCATGCAGCCATTCCATGCAGCCATTCCATGCAGCCATTCCATGCAGCCATTCCATGCAGCCATTCCTTGCAGCCATTCCATGCAGCCATTCCATGCAGCCATTCCTTGCAGCCATTCCATTGCAGCCATTCCATGCAGCCATTCCTTGCAGCCATTCCATGCAGCCATTCCATGCAGCCATTCCATGCAGCCATTCCATGCAGCCATTCCATGCAGCCATTCCATTGCAGCCATTCCATGCAGCCATTCCATGCAGCCATTCCATGCAGCCATTCCATGCAGCCATTCCATGCAGCCATTCCATGCAGCCATTCCATGCAGCCATTCCATGCAGCCATTCCTTGCAGCCATTCCATGCAGCCATTCCATGCAGCCATTCCATGCAGCCATTCCATTGCAGCCATTCCATGCAGCCATTCCATGCAGCCATTCCATGCAGCCATTCCATGCAGCCATTCCTTGCAGCCATTCCTTGCAGCATTGCAGCCATTCCATGCAGCCATTCCATGCAGCCATTCCATGCAGCCATTCCTTGCAGCCATTCCTTGCAGCCATTCCTTGCAGCCATTCCATGCAGCCATTCCATGCAGCCATTCCATGCAGCCATTCCATGCAGCCATTCCATGCAGCCATTCCATGCAGCCATTCCATGCAGCCATTCCATGCAGCCATTCCATGCAGCCATTCCATGCAGCCATTCCTTGCAGCCATTCCATGCAGCCATTCCATGCAGCCATTCCATGCAGCCATTCCATGCAGCCATTCCATGCAGCCATTCCATGCAGCCATTCCTTGCAGCCATTCCTTGCAGCCATTCCTTGCAGCCATTCCATGCAGCCATTCCATGCAGCCATTCCATGCAGCCATTCCATGCAGCCATTCCATGCAGCCATTCCATGCAGCCATTCCATGCAGCCATTCCTTGCAGCCATTCCATGCAGCCATTCCATGCAGCCATTCCATGCAGCCATTCCATGCAGCCATTCCATGCAGCCATTCCATGCAGCCATTCCTTGCAGCCATTCCATGCAGCCATTCCATGCAGCCATTCCATGCAGCCATTCCATGCAGCCATTCCATGCAGCCATTCCATGCAGCCATTCCATGCAGCCATTCCATGCAGCCATTCCATGCAGCCATTCCATGCAGCCATTCCATGCAGCCATTCCATGCAGCCATTCCATGCAGCCATTCCATGCAGCCATTCCATGCAGCCATTCCATTGCAGCCATTCCATGCAGCCATTCCATGCAGCCATTCCATGCAGCCATTCCATGCAGCCATTCCTTGCAGCCATTCCATGCAGCCATTCCATGCAGCCATTCCATGCAGCCATTCCATGCAGCCATTCCATGCAGCCATTCCATGCAGCCATTCCATGCAGCCATTCCATGCAGCCATTCCATGCAGCCATTCCTTGCAGCCATTCCTTGCAGCCATTCCATGCAGCCATTCCATGCAGCCATTCCATGCAGCCATTCCATGCAGCCATTCCATGCAGCCATTCCATGCAGCCATTCCATGCAGCCATTCCTTGCAGCCATTCCATGCAGCCATTCCATGCAGCCATTCCATGCAGCCATTCCATGCAGCCATTCCTTGCAGCCATTCCATGCAGCCATTCCATGCAGCCATTCCATGCAGCCATTCCTTGCAGCCATTCCTTGCAGCCATTCCATGCAGCCATTCCATGCAGCCATTCCTTGCAGCCATTCCATGCAGCCATTCCATGCAGCCATTCCATGCAGCCATTCCATGCAGCCATTCCATGCAGCCATTCCTTGCAGCCATTCCTTGCAGCCATTCCATGCAGCCATTCCTTGCAGCCATTCCATGCAGCCATTCCATGCAGCCATTCCTTGCAGCCATTCCTTGCAGCCATTCCATGCAGCCATTCCATGCAGCCATTCCATGCAGCCATTCCATGCAGCCATTCCATGCAGCCATTCCTTGCAGCCATTCCATGCAGCCATTCCATGCAGCCATTCCATGCAGCCATTCCTTGCAGCCATTCCATGCAGCCATTCCATGCAGCCATTCCATGCAGCCATTCCTTGCAGCCATTCCATGCAGCCATTCCATGCAGCCATTCCTTGCAGCCATTCCATGCAGCCATTCCTTGCAGCCATTCCATGCAGCCATTCCATGCAGCCATTCCATGCAGCCATTCCTTGCAGCCATTCCATGCAGCCATTCCATGCAGCCATTCCATGCAGCCATTCCATGCAGCCATTCCTTGCAGCCATTCCTTGCAGCCATTCCTTGCAGCCATTCCATGCAGCCATTCCATGCAGCCATTCCATGCAGCCATTCCTTGCAGCCATTCCATGCAGCCATTCCATGCAGCCATTCCATGCAGCCATTCCATGCAGCCATTCCATGCAGCCATTCCATGCAGCCATTCCATGCAGCCATTCCATGCAGCCATTCCATGCAGCCATTCCATGCAGCCATTCCATGCAGCCATTCCATGCAGCCATTCCATGCAGCCATTCCATGCAGCCATTCCATGCAGCCATTCCATGCAGCCATTCCATGCAGCCATTCCATGCAGCCATTCCTTGCAGCCATTCCATGCAGCCATTCCTTGCAGCCATTCCATGCAGCCATTCCATGCAGCCATTCCATGCAGCCATTCCATGCAGCCATTCCATGCAGCCATTCCATTGCAGCCATTCCATGCAGCCATTCCATGCAGCCATTCCATGCAGCCATTCCATGCAGCCATTCCATGCAGCCATTCCATGCAGCCATTCCATGCAGCCATTCCTTGCAGCCATTCCATGCAGCCATTCCATGCAGCCATTCCATGCAGCCATTCCATGCAGCCATTCCATGCAGCCATTCCATGCAGCCATTCCATGCAGCCATTCCATGCAGCCATTCCTTGCAGCCATTCCATGCAGCCATTCCTTGCAGCCATTCCATGCAGCCATTCCTTGCAGCCATTCCTTGCAGCCATTCCATGCAGCCATTCCTTGCAGCCATTCCATGCAGCCATTCCATGCAGCCATTCCATGCAGCCATTCCATGCAGCCATTCCATGCAGCCATTCCATGCAGCCATTCCATGCAGCCATTCCTTGCAGCCATTCCATGCAGCCATTCCATGCAGCCATTCCATGCAGCCATTCCATGCAGCCATTCCATGCAGCCATTCCATGCAGCCATTCCATGCAGCCATTCCATGCAGCCATTCCATGCAGCCATTCCATGCAGCCATTCCTTGCAGCCATTCCATGCAGCCATTCCATGCAGCCATTCCATGCAGCCATTCCTTGCAGCCATTCCATGCAGCCATTCCATGCAGCCATTCCATGCAGCCATTCCATGCAGCCATTCCATGCAGCCATTCCATGCAGCCATTCCATGCAGCCATTCCTTGCAGCCATTCCATGCAGCCATTCCATGCAGCCATTCCATGCAGCCATTCCATGCAGCCATTCCATGCAGCCATTCCTTGCAGCCATTCCTTGCAGCCATTCCATGCAGCCATTCCATGCAGCCATTCCATGCAGCCATTCCATGCAGCCATTCCTTGCAGCCATTCCATGCAGCCATTCCATGCAGCCATTCCATGCAGCCATTCCATGCAGCCATTCCTTGCAGCCATTCCATGCAGCCATTCCATGCAGCCATTCCATGCAGCCATTCCATGCAGCCATTCCATGCAGCCATTCCATGCAGCCATTCCATGCAGCCATTCCATGCAGCCATTCCATGCAGCCATTCCATGCAGCCATTCCATGCAGCCATTCCTTGCAGCCATTCCATGCAGCCATTCCATGCAGCCATTCCATGCAGCCATTCCATGCAGCCATTCCTTGCAGCCATTCCTTGCAGCCATTCCATGCAGCCATTCCATGCAGCCATTCCATGCAGCCATTCCATGCAGCCATTCCTTGCAGCCATTCCATGCAGCCATTCCATGCAGCCATTCCATGCAGCCATTCCTTGCAGCCATTCCTTGCAGCCATTCCATGCAGCCATTCCATGCAGCCATTCCTTGCAGCCATTCCATGCAGCCATTCCATGCAGCCATTCCATGCAGCCATTCCATGCAGCCATTCCTTGCAGCCATTCCATGCAGCCATTCCATGCAGCCATTCCTTGCAGCCATTCCATGCAGCCATTCCATGCAGCCATTCCTTGCAGCCATTCCATGCAGCCATTCCATGCAGCCATTCCATGCAGCCATTCCATGCAGCCATTCCTTGCAGCCATTCCATGCAGCCATTCCATGCAGCCATTCCTTGCAGCCATTCCATGCAGCCATTCCATGCAGCCATTCCATGCAGCCATTCCATGCAGCCATTCCTTGCAGCCATTCCATGCAGCCATTCCTTGCAGCCATTCCATGCAGCCATTCCATGCAGCCATTCCATTGCAGCCATTCCATGCAGCCATTCCATGCAGCCATTCCTTGCAGCCATTCCATGCAGCCATTCCATGCAGCCATTCCATGCAGCCATTCCATGCAGCCATTCCATGCAGCCATTCCTTGCAGCCATTCCATGCAGCCATTCCTTGCAGCCATTCCATGCAGCCATTCCATGCAGCCATTCCATGCAGCCATTCCATGCAGCCATTCCATGCAGCCATTCCATGCAGCCATTCCATGCAGCCATTCCATGCAGCCATTCCATGCAGCCATTCCATGCAGCCATTCCATGCAGCCATTCCATGCAGCCATTCCATGCAGCCATTCCATGCAGCCATTCCATGCAGCCATTCCATGCAGCCATTCCATGCAGCCATTCCATGCAGCCATTCCATGCAGCCATTCCATGCAGCCATTCCATGCAGCCATTCCATGCAGCCATTCCATGCAGCCATTCCATGCAGCCATTCCATGCAGCCATTCCATGCAGCCATTCCATGCAGCCATTCCATTGCAGCCATTCCATGCAGCCATTCCATGCAGCCATTCCATGCAGCCATTCCATGCAGCCATTCCATGCAGCCATTCCATGCAGCCATTCCATGCAGCCATTCCATGCAGCCATTCCATTGCAGCCATTCCATGCAGCCATTCCATGCAGCCATTCCATGCAGCCATTCCATGCAGCCATTCCTTGCAGCCATTCCTTGCAGCCATTCCATGCAGCCATTCCATGCAGCCATTCCTTGCAGCCATTCCTTGCAGCCATTCCATGCAGCCATTCCATGCAGCCATTCCATGCAGCCATTCCATGCAGCCATTCCTTGCAGCCATTCCTTGCAGCCATTCCATGCAGCCATTCCATGCAGCCATTCCATGCAGCCATTCCATGCAGCCATTCCATGCAGTCATTCCATGCAGCCATTCCTTGCAGCCATTCCATGCAGCCATTCCTTGCAGCCATTCCATGCAGCCATTCCATGCAGCCATTCCTTGCAGCCATTCCTTGCAGCCATTCCATGCAGCCATTCCATGCAGCCATTCCATGCAGCCATTCCATGCAGCCATTCCTTGCAGCCATTCCTTGCAGCCATTCCATGCAGCCATTCCATGCAGCCATTCCATGCAGCCATTCCATGCAGTCATTCCATGCAGCCATTCCTTGCAGCCATTCCATGCAGCCATTCCTTGCAGCCATTCCATGCAGCCATTCCTTGCAGCCATTCCATGCAGCCATTCCATGCAGCCATTCCATGCAGCCATTCCTTGCAGCCATTCCATGCAGCCATTCCATGCAGCCATTCCATGCAGCCATTCCATGCAGCCATTCCTTGCAGCCATTCCTTGCAGCCATTCCATGCAGCCATTCCATGCAGCCATTCCATGCAGCCATTCCATGCAGCCATTCCATGCAGCCATTCCATGCAGCCATTCCATGCAGCCATTCCATGCAGCCATTCCATGCAGCCATTCCTTGCAGCCATTCCATGCAGCCATTCCATGCAGCCATTCCATGCAGTCATTCCATGCAGCCATTCCATGCAGCCATTCCATGCAGCCATTCCTTGCAGCCATTCCATGCAGCCATTCCATGCAGCCATTCCATGCAGCCATTCCTTGCAGCCATTCCATGCAGCCATTCCATGCAGCCATTCCATGCAGCCATTCCTTGCAGCCATTCCTTGCAGCCATTCCATGCAGCCATTCCATGCAGCCATTCCATGCAGCCATTCCATTGCAGCCATTCCTTGCAGCCATTCCATGCAGCCATTCCATGCAGCCATTCCATGCAGCCATTCCATGCAGTCATTCCATGCAGCCATTCCTTGCAGCCATTCCATGCAGCCATTCCTTGCAGCCATTCCATGCAGCCATTCCTTGCAGCCATTCCATGCAGCCATTCCATGCAGCCATTCCATGCAGCCATTCCTTGCAGCCATTCCATGCAGCCATTCCATGCAGCCATTCCATGCAGCCATTCCATGCAGCCATTCCATGCAGCCATTCCATGCAGCCATTCCATGCAGCCATTCCATGCAGCCATTCCATGCAGCCATTCCATGCAGCCATTCCATGCAGCCATTCCATGCAGCCATTCCATGCAGCCATTCCATGCAGCCATTCCATGCAGCCATTCCATGCAGCCATTCCATGCAGCCATTCCATGCAGCCATTCCATGCAGCCATTCCATGCAGCCATTCCATGCAGCCATTCCATGCAGCCATTCCATGCAGCCATTCCATGCAGCCATTCCATGCAGCCATTCCATGCAGCCATTCCATGCAGCCATTCCATGCAGCCATTCCATGCAGCCATTCCATGCTCCACCGCACCACCCTCCTGCATTTCTGACCCGTCCCGTCCGTCTTCCCTTCCCTTTGCTCCCACCCACTGCCTTGAATGCACAATTGCATGGGTCAGATCCGGAGGGGCGAGGCGGTGGGGGTGATAGGGCCGTCTGGCACGGGCAAGTCAACGATTCTGAAAATCATGGCGGGTCTGCTGGCACCTGACAAGGTAGAGCAAGAGCCCATGCCCGTTCCTTGCATGCATCCAGCCAATTTTTTAGGCGCCTCAAAAAAAGATTTTGAAGATAATGGATGGACTGCTGGCGCCTGACAAGGTAGGGCAAGAGCCCATGTCCGTTCCCATTGCATGCATCCCGTCTATCATTTAGGTGCCTAATAGATTCTGAAGATCGTGGCTGGACTGCTGGCGCCTGACAAGGTAGATTAAGACATTGTGCTCCTTGGCATCATGTGCATCCCATCGTGTGCATCCCATCATGTGCATCCCATCATGTGCATCCCATTATGTGCATCCCATCATGTACATCCCATCATGTGCATCCCATCATGTGCATCCCATCATGTGCATCCCATCATGTGCATCCCATCATGCGCATCCCATCATGTGCATCCCATCATGTGCATCCCATCATGTGCAGTGCATCCCATCGTGTGCATCCCATCGTGTGCATCCCATCATGTGCATCCCATCATGTGCATCCCATCATGTGCATCCCATCATGTGCATCCCATCATGCGCATCCCATCATGTGCATCCCATCATGTGCATCCCATCATGTGCATCCCGTCATGTGCATCCCATCATGCGCATCCCATCATTTGCATCCCATCATGTGCATCCCATCATGTGCACCCTATTGTGTGCATCCAGCCACATGCAGCCCATCGCATGCATGCCATCGTGTTCATCCCATCGTGTGCCCCATCACATACATCCCATTCCTTTTCGCCTTCCCACTTGCCCCCAACCACCCTCTTCTCCCTGTCGCTCCCTGCCAGGGCGAGGTGTGGATATGCGGCAAGAAGCGAGAGGGGTTGATCAGCGATCAGGAGAACGTGGGCTTGCGGATTGGCCTGGTAAGGTGTTCAAAGGACTGTGGAGTTGCATTGTTTCTTCATCAGCCTGATTTTTCTTGTGGATGTAAGCTGAGGGACGTGAAACGTTTTCTATGCCCTTGCATCTTTTAGGAAGGAAGTTACATATTGTAGTGCGAATTGGTAGTTATGTTTCTGTTTTTTTTTGTTTTTTTTCATGTTTTTTGTTTTTTTTTTTTTCATTTTTTTCATTTTTGTGGCTCTTTTTTATTCATGTGTGTTTGAGTCAACCTAGAGCACACCTGTTTGTACCCCTATTTTTCATCAACTTGCAGGTGTTTCAAAGCGCAGCTCTGTTCGACTCATTGACCGTGCGTGAGAATGTGGGCTTCCTGCTGTGAGTCTCCCGCCTCCCTAGCCTATCCCGTAACTGTGTCATATGATTGCCCTCGCCTATATTTTATGCCCCCTAGGACCCCCGTTTTTTCTGCCCTGAGCAGTATATTTTTTCCTGATCTCGTGCAACTGTATTGGCATCATTGGATCTGCTCGTGCCAGCTGTCAAACCTTGAAAATCCCCTCACCTCGTTTGTGTTACGTCAGATACGAGCACTCGCGGCTGTCTGAGGAGGAGATTCGCCTGCGAGTGAAGGACAGCCTCAAGGCAGTGGGGCTCAAGGTGAGCAGCAGTGGGGCTTTAAGAAAGCATCAGAAGACAGAAGCAGGGAGGCTTTAAGATAGCAGCAGTGGGGCTTTAAGAGAGCAGCAGTGGGGCTTTAAGACAGCAGCAGTGGGACTCGAAGTGAGCAGAAGGAGGGCTCAAAAGTGAACAGCAGTAGGGCTCGAAGTGAACAGCAAGTTTATCTCTTCCTTTCCACCCCACCTCACTCCTCCTGCAATTTCCTTCTTTCTCCTACCATCCTTTCACTTCCTCCCCCTCCATCCCCTCATCTGATCCTCTTGCGCTGTCTGCCCTCCATCCGGCAGAATGTGGAGGAGCGATTCCCCTCGGAGCTCTCAGGCGGCATGAAGAAGCGAGTAGCACTGGCACGGGCGATCGTGTCGGACAGCGATGCTCCGCAGCTGGAGGAGGAGGTGGTGATGTACGATGAGCCGACCGCAGGGCTAGATCCGATTGCGTCCACCGTGGTCGAAGATTTGATTCGCTCGCTGCACGTGGGGTCATCGGTTCCGGTGCCGGTGACTGCGGAGATAGCAGCTGGGTTGGAGTCGGATTTTGAAACAGAGTCTGAGGATTCGGAGGATGAGATGGGCGGCGGGAGAGGGGCGGGTGGTGCTGTGGGTGGGGGCAGCAGGGATGGTAGCGGCAGCGGCAGCGGTGGTGGCTCCAAGGCTCGCAAAATGGCATCGGTATCGTCGTACATTGTCGTGACACATCAGCACAGCACGATTCGGCGAGCTGTTGACAGGTCAGCATGCTGCCTTGTGTTGACAGGTCTTCTCTGTCTCCCTGCCTCGCTTTTGTCATACCTCTTCTCTTGCAGCGAACCTAGCTTGTGGTTGGCCCGGCCAGGCCATGACAGGTCCTGCACCTGTGGTGGGATGGGTGCGAATCAAGATCGCAGAACCTGAGAGTTTCATGGTGTCTTTTGAGAGTTTATTTAAGGCATCCCAAATAATATTTTTCAGATGTATTTTGAATTCACCTGCCTGTTCTGAGTGTTGACGTCCGCGGTGCTTGCAGGCTGCTGTTCCTGTACGGAGGGGAGGTGGTGTGGGAGGGCCCCACAGAGGAGTTTGACACGACTGACAACCCCATAGTGAGACAGGTGAGTAGATGCACCTGGCGATGCCTGTCAGATGGAGTCCCTTTTATCACATGTGCCTGGTTCTGCTGCATGTGCGCGTGCTGCTGCATGTGCATGTGATGGTGCATGTGCGTGTGCTGCTGCATGTGCATGTGACGGTGCATGTGCGTGTGCTGCTGCATGTGCGTGTGATGGTGCATGTGCGTGTGCTGCTGCATGTTCATGTGCTGCTGCATGTGCGTGTCCTGCTACACTGGATGCTCTTATTGCTAGCATGACCAGTTCCCTTTCCTCTTCTGTTCTTGCGTGTGCTTGCAGTTTGCTGTTGGCAGTCTCGACGGCCCTATTCGCTACTAGTCTGTGCTGTCACATTCTGAGAGCCAAGCGAGAGCTAGCGCCAGGCACCTATCATACAACTCAGCAGTTTACACCATAACTTCCATGTACACCATCCAACGGGCATACATATTGTATTGCGCACTGCATCAGATGCAGCTGCCGCTGCTACCACCTCTAGGCATTCCATGCAATGCTTCTCTGGCAGTCTGAAAAAAAAGCAATGCAAGCCCTCATGCATTATATTACATACAGGTAAAAGGGAGACCAGACAGGGCTGCCTACAAGATTGAAACTATTGTACGTTTCAACATGGCAGCCTAAGGTACCGTATCTATTCAGATTCTCAACCTAGGCTACAGAGAGTCCACATTCCTCTAGTTGTCCATGCCTTGACACACCACATATTCCAAAAGGTCGAACCCATGAGTCCACGCATCCTCCACCACTCCGCGCCACCTGCTCCCCATCGCCTTCCCCATCGTTTTCAAAAATGCTGTTCTGAAAATCGGCGTATCGTCAGCAGCTACACCGTAATTTAGATGTCTACACCCCAGCGACATGAATCTCGGCGTGACCTTTTTCTCGACCGCATCCGCGTCGTCCATCTGCATGATCGCTTCGCACATGAGCCCGAAGGCGTGCGTCGCGTGCTCCTGCAGCCGCTTGTTCAGCGGCGCGGGTTCCGACGAGTTGCGCACGTATGAAAAGAGGTTGCGGCCGTCCGGGGAAATGTCGAAAACACTGGTGAGAGGAGATGGGGGAGAGGGGGGGGGGGGGGGGGGGAAGGGGAAACAGGACAGGCGGAATGCGCGAGAGGGGAGAACAGAGAAGGGAGAGAGAGAGGGGACGGAGTAAGTGGGTGAGGGCTGTGTTATGGGCATGGCTGGTTGAGCGAAGTGTTGCAAAAAGCGCATCACACTTCGTTACAAATGGGTATGAGGGGGTTCGTACATGAGGAAGAGAATGATGGCGTGCTGATCGACGTTTGGCTGCACGAACTCGGCGAATGTCTCCCGCACGATCTGACCCTGCTCTGCTGTCAGCAACGACGGCCTCTCGCCCGTGGAACTGCTGCTTATCGGTGGCCCCGATATAGAGGGATCCGCTAACGACGCTCGCATTACAAAGTCCATTCTGAATGTCTGCCTCTCGGTTGGAGATACCCCAGTGCGTGCAAGGTGCGCGAAGTCGTCAAAGGACGCTGCGTTTCTCGGAGGATCTACGAAACAGCTCGCGGAGGCTTGTGTGACTGCGCTGTGATGAGGAACAAAAAGAGCAGGAGGAACGCGGGAAGGGACGAGACGTTCGAGCGAACTGGGAACTAGGTCGAAAGCGCAAGGGGGCGAGCGGTAGAGATCGTTCAGGCTGACTACTGTGGTTGTGAACTCTAGTCACACCGAAAGTCCTCGCGAGTGAGTTATGTACACACTACAAGTTTGAGATCTAGGGCCAGAGCATGAGAAGAACCACCGTTGATTGTCAACAACACTCGTTGATGATGGCATGACATGATCCGTCCATCACACCCGGGCCGGGGCGGATGTGTTCCCCGGTCGCAACTCATCACCATCTGATCTCACCAGATGAGTCACCTCACCACCAACCAAACCCAATTCTGCTCTGCTTGTCCCTTCAAATTTCCCGTCTCGCGTGTGAATGTTTGCACGACTGGCGATTCGGCAAACAGCCATCAGCGACGATGTTTGTCGGGGCTTGGGCGGACGTCAGCATCCCGCTGGCGTAAACTGCAAGTGACGCAGATTGTGCGCGGGGATCCCGTGGCGGGGAAGACCGCAACTTCGTTTGTGCTGTGCTGTGATGCCAGCATTGCGAAGGGGAGGGGGGGTGCGGCGGAGAAACGCACAGCGCAGGAATCCAGCACGCGCAAAAATCAGCATCCAGGATTGCCCCACCCCCCTTCGCTTGCCCTTTCGCTGCGAGAAGTGACTTCGGCCCCTCAGCAAGCAAAAGGCCTGGAATCCCCATAACTAATTTAACATTTTTTTGCATATTTCGCCTGCTTGGTGACGAGTGTTTGTAGAATGTGCAAGCTCATTTGTTCTAAGCTTTAGCGAGACACAGTTTCGGAGTACATTTGCGGAACTGTTTCGCGAACATGACGAGGAGAGGAGAACCCACGTTCTATGAACAAAAGTCGCAAGCATCGCATCGCAACGGCAGTTTCGAGCGAGCAGCTGCGAGTGGGTTACTAGCGTCGCCTAGACGTAACTTTTTCTTGCAGATGTTTTGCCTTTTGTCAACCAATAAGATTGCTTCGCGGGCTTCACCTGCTTCTGTCTGTCGACAGGCTTCAACTGGACCGCTTCTGTCAGGCTGTTTCTAGAAAATGGCGGCCATACTTCATCTGTGCCTCCATTGACTTGACTTGCTTGAGAAATCGTGCACTGAAAGAATGCAGCACGGCATTACTCACAGCCTCTTTTCTGTACTCAGGTTCCTTCGTCGCGGCGTGAGATACCAAATCATGGATTCTTGTTTTAGTCAATGAAGCTGTGTCACTTTCGCCGTCAGATACTTTCCACGCTAGGCGAGTCGCGAGTGATCAACCTATCTACCAACACACACGATACCTGTATCAAGTTACGGATCAGTAGTGCTCTTGATTATTCGTATTAGGTAGCTCATAACAATCACGGCATCGAGGGGTTCGATTCGATGTCGTCGTCAGGACACAGAAATGGCGATCTGCACATTGGCACCAACAGAGACAACACACACTTCCTGTCAAGCGGAGCTCAATTCTCTCCCTCCTACTCGCAAGCTACCGGCAGAATGGGAAGCGGAGGCAATCTGGCAGCGAGTCACAAGAAGCAGAGCGAAGCGATAAAGCAGAAGCAGAAGCATAAACCGAAGCAACGCCCGTCCTTCTCTCGCCGACCGCCGCTCATGCTTCCCAGAACGTGGCGAATGCTACGGTTTCTCTTCGTCGCCTTCGTCATCGCGTTAGCTCTATCGTCCTTCTTGATGTCGGGGATCGCTCCGTTCCTAGGAAACCCTAAAGCGATGTGGGCGTTTCTGACCACTCGCCGAGTGCGTAGAATAGCGTTCGGGTCAGGGACAACTCCGGAGAACACGTCGCAGCCAGTGTGGACGCGAGGCGTCATTCCGTCCTCGCCTGACGTGTGGATATGGTGAGCCACGTCACGCCTTGGGGTTGGTTATTCGTGTAACCCTAACCATAGTGAATGAGTGATTCGCGTAGCGACCGTTGATCTCAATTACAATCATTTGCTCGGAAACCCTAAGTTTCAGAAGCTTGTGACTTGCTTCTTCCTGTCCTACGTGGCATCTGATCAGGCTTGGTGACATGGCGTATCTGGATGAGCCCGAGGTGAACTGTACACGGTGGCCGTTACATCCGCAATGTAACTGTACCAGCGACTGGTTTCAACAACGGGGCATTTCATGTGTCAGAGGTGAGCTCTTGAGGTGTTACTTCTCAGAACTCCTCAACTTTGAGCTGAACAATGCCAATTTTTTTCATTCTGCGAAAATTACCACCTTTCCAGGAGTTCAAGCATCCCATCCCAGCCCACATTCGCACCTGACCCCGTCTTAACTCTTGGTCCCAACCTCTTTTGACGCGCCCCCTCCCGAATCTCCAGGAAACAGCAAGTATGCCATCACTCGGATGCAACAGCAGCTACAGAACCCGGATTATATCAAAGTAAGGCCGCATGCTTGCATTGTGTCTCTTGCATTCCTGTTCGTTCCGACATCAGCACTCTTCTCTAATCAAGCTCTGTGCGCTGCTCGTGCCTGTTGCTGCTTTGGTGCTCTGCTCATGCTCTGCTGTGTTCTGCTCTTGGCCTGACTGATGGTGTGCTGATCCCTCTGCGTGCTACCTGAGTAGCAGCAACCCGAGCACCACATTAAACGCACGCATCCATGCTTCGTTGATGTTGTTGTCTGTCACTGGGGGAAAGAAATGAATGGTGGATGTTCCGGGTGGATTGGAATGTTCTGCTTTTAATCGGATTGCATGGGGGCCATGGGTTTGGCTGGATGGATGGGAGGGGATGGAATGATCTGTTGCAGTTTTTGCAGTTCATGTGTCCGCGATACAAGCCCAGCAACGTGACGCCGATCCCTGACGGCTCTGATCCGTCTGCGTGCCCGCGCAGCATCCTGGGCGTGTATGACGACCGGGACTTCGGCTGGTGCGTTGCCCCTTCACGCCCTTCCCCACTCACACTCCTCACTCACACTCCTCACCTGCATTCCTCTCTCACACTCTCTCACTTTCCCTTAGCCGCTAGGTAGCCGTTTCTCACTCTCACTTGTCACCCCCACCCTCACCGTCACCTCTCTGTGTGAGCAGGGCGCACGGGTACAAGCGGCTGATGCACAAGGACCCGCTCAAGACGGTTTTCCTTGACGCCCTGGGCGCGCCCAAAGAGGACCCGCGGCGCGACCGAGGGGATGGCATTCAGGCCGTGGTGAGGGGAGGGGCGGGCAGGAGGAGAAGGGAGGCTGAATGTGTGTTCTTACAGTATTATGTCGGGTGCCGTTTGTAACTTGTGGTTGGATTGATAAGAGGATCCGTCCACCAGCCGTTGCTCTTCATTCAATTGCTCCCTCTAGCTGGTTCTCTGTCTCTGCTGTCTCTCTCTTCCACTTCACCGTTGCACACCCCTTTCTACCATTCGGTACCCTTGCCACCGTTGCCCCCTCACCCTCAGTACCACCTGAACGAGGCGCTGCCAGGTCAGCAGATAGACGTGTTCCTATTGGACGAGAGGTACTACCGGGAGAACCTGCCATGCCACGTGCGCCGCGATTTCTGCTCCTCCGTGATGGACCTTGGCAAGCCACACAGCTGGCGCTCGTGGTGAGTGTGGAGAGGGGGAGTGGTTGAATTAGGGAGAAACCGGAGGGGGGAGGGTGAGAGCTTAGTTGCAAAAGACGCTGGGCGCGCCATGCGTCCTGCGTCTGGACGCAGTGTCCGGACGCAGGGACGCAGGACGCGCGTCAGTCTTTTTTTCGGGCTGACCGAAAAAAAAAATCCGATCGCGAAATTGATATTCGCGATTTCGACGCGAATGTCAATTTCGCGTCATGTCGACCCCCCCTGACCCAAATCGACCGTGAAAAACAGCCACCGCACCAAAACTGTAACCCCTCCATGCAAAATTGGAAAGCCCAACCCTCACAACCCCTCTATATCTACAGCACCCAACCAATGTGGCCCACCACCAAGCCCATTTAGGGTCGCAAACAACTCATTTGTGCTCCCACACTTTACCAACCCAATTCTCCTTAGTAAACCCTAGTGGGTTTAGCACCTTTGATCTTGATTAATGTTGGGGAAAATTTTGCATTGAATGTGTGCAACGTTGCCCCCCCCCTCCTCTTCCCATGCGCTATAACATATTTTTTCGGCTGCCCGAGGTTTTTTTTTGCCCTGCCCGGGCATGCGTCTTTTGTAGTGTCTCCCAGGCCCACATGAAGCGTCCTGCGTCTAAGACGCTGCGTCTGGACGCACTCGTCTTAGACGCAGGATGCGTCTTTTGCAACTAAGGGTGAGAGGAAGGGGAATGGGTAATGGAGTATAGTGATAAACCTTGACAGCCCACCTCGCATGCTACCACCCTCTCAAACCTGTCCTCAAACCTGACGTCAAACCTTACCTCAAACCTGACCTCAAACCTGACGTCAAACCTGACCCCAATCCTGACGTCAAACCTGACCTCAAACCTGACGTCAAACCTGACCCCAAACCTGACGTTAAACCTGACGTCAAACCTGACCTCAAACCTGACGTCAAACCTGGCGTCAAACCTGACGTCAGACCTGACGTCAAACCTGACCCTAAACCTGACCTCAAACCTGACGTCAAACCTGACAGCAAACCTGACGTCAAACCTGACGCTAAACCTCACGTCAAACCTTACCTCAAACCTGACCTCAAACCTGACGTCAAACCTGACCTCAAACCTGACGTCAAACCTGACCTCAAACCCTAAACCCGTTACCATTACGCACCCCCGTTACCATTACGCACCTCCGTTACCAGTACGCACCTCCGTTACCATTACGCACCTCCGTTACCATTACGCACCTCCGTTACCATTACGCACCTCCGTTACCATTACGCACCTCCGTTACCATTACGCACCCCCGTTACCATTACGCACCCCCGTTACCATTACGCACCCCCGTTACCATTACGCACCCCCGTTACCATTACGCACCCCGTTACCATTACGCACCTCCGTTACCATTACGCACCCCGTTACCGTTACGCACCCCCGTTACCGTCACGCACCCCCGTTACCGTTACGCACCCCCGTTACCATTACGCACCTCCGTTACCATTACGCACCTCCGTTACCATTACGCACCCCCGTTACCATTACGCACCCCCGTTACCATTACGCACCCCCGTTACCATTACGCACCCCCGTTACCATTACGCAACCCCGTTACCATTACGCACCCCCGTTACCATTACGCACCCCCGTTACCATTACGCACCTCCGTTACCATTACCCACCTCCGTTACCATTACGCACCCCCGTTACCATTACGCACCCCCGTTACCATTGCGCACCTCCGTTACCATTACGCACCTCCGTTACCATTACGCACCCCCGTTACCATTACGCACCCCCGTTACCATTACGCACCCCCGTTACCATTACGCACCCCCGTTACCATTACGCAACCCCGTTACCATTACGCACCCCCGTTACCATTACGCACCCCCGTTACCATTACGCACCTCCGTTACCATTACGCACCTCCGTTACCATTACGCACCCCCGTTACCATTACGCACCCCCGTTACCATTACGCACCTCCGTTACCATTACGCACCTCCGTTACCATTACGCACCTCCGTTACCATTACGCACCTCCGTTACCATTACGCACCTCCGTTACCATTACCCACCTCCGTTACCATTACGCAACCCCGTTACCATTACGCACCCCCGTTACCATTACCCACCTCCGTTACCATCACGCACCCCCGTTACCATTACGCACCCCCGTTACCATTACGCACCCCCGTTACCATTACGCACCCCCGTTACCATTACGCACCTCCGTTACCATTACGCACCCCCGTTACCATTACGCACCCCCGTTACCATTACGCACCGCACCCCCGTTACCATTATGCGGAACCCATGCATTCAACCCCCCTCGCATTCAACCCCCCTCGCATTCAACCCCCCTCGCATTCAACCCCCCTCGCATTCAACCCCCTCGCATTCAACCCCCCTCGCATTCAACCCCCCTCGCATTCAACCCCCCTCGCATTCAACCCCCCTCGCATTCAACCCCCCTCGCATTCAACCCCCCTCGCATTCAACCCCCCTCGCATTCAACCCCCCTCGCATTCAACCCCCCTCGCATTCAACCCCCCTCGCATTCAACCCCCCTCGCATTCAACCCCCCTCGCATTCAACCCCCCTCGCATGCGACCCCTCTCACATGCGACCCCCTGGTCGTCCAGGTATTGTGTGCCCTCATGCAGCGACAACCCCTTGCTCCTCTGTGCTCTTCTGACCGTCCACGTCTGTAGCTTGAATGGTTTGTTCCATTCCCGTGCCTGCGTGCAGGTGCGGGGACTTTCTAGGCCGGGAGGTGCCTCGGAATCGGTGGTCGTGCTGTGACAAGGACGAGAAACTCTTCCAAGGTGAGGTTGTAACGAGGATGAAAAGCTGTCTCAAATTCTCTTGGTATCGAACAAGGATGTGAAAGCTTCTTGGAAGGCCCTTAAGCCTTAGCCCAAAACCTTAGCGAATGGAATGCAAAGCCTGCAAACACTCGTGCAGCTTGACACCTACCCTCGAGACTAATGCTTTTATAGCAACCTCCGTAGCTCCCCCTGTCTCCCTCTCTCTTCCCTCTCTCCCTCTCCTACCTTCCGCCATGTCCCGGCTTTGCCTCTCCCCTCCCCTCCTCCTCCCCCCTCTGGCACAGAGCAGAGTGGTGCGGGCACGAGGCGCACCGCAACCACTCCCGGAGGGAGGAGACTCTGGTCTCTCAAAGCAACCTCCAAAGCCCTTTCCCCCTCTCCCCCATCCCCCTCCCCCCTCTGGCACAGAGCAGCGTGGTGCGGGCACGAGGTGCACCGCAACCACTCCCTATGGGAGGAGGCGTGCAGTCCAGCGCACGATGCATTCGGGTCGCAAAAGATCAGCGTGCGCAAGAAGGGCAAGGACCCTGCTCTCTGGGACATATACATCGAGGAGCAGCCGGAGCCGCATAATTCCCAGTACTGTGAGGTGCTGGGGCGGCAGCAGCGCCTGTGGCTGCAGGACGAGGTGCATGATTCGAATGCGCCGATCAAGATCATTGTGTCGCCCTCGCCGCTCTTCACGAATCCGATGCCGCAGCCCTGCTCGCCGTTCCCGAAGCAGCTCTCCACTGCTGCCACGCTTACCGGGCCGTATGGGTCCGAGCCTCCTGATGAACCGGATTTTGCAGGCTCGGCAGCAGCAGCAGCAGCACCTTCTGGTGCCAATGGTTTGGTTTCCGAGCCTCCTTCTACGTCCGTTCCGCCTGTGGCGCCGGTTACGGAGGACCCAGTTACCAACGTAACACAGTGCACGTGCTCGGGGGACGACTGGGAGTGTTACAAGCCGGCACAGCTGCACTTTCTGGAGATGCTCTCGCGGGTGGAAAAAGGGTGTGTGGTGCTGCTGACAGGCGACATGGGGTACTCAGACATCAAGGTAGGGCTTTAAACAGATGTGATTGTTTCTGTCGATCCTGATTGGTGTTAGGCACTAGCAGCCGGTGGTTTATTCTGTTGAGGCCGCATGACTCGTTCCTGAGTAATCTTCTTCCCTGCTTGTGTTGTGTGGTGCTTGCATGCCTGCTTACTTGCGTGCATTCCTGCGGGGGGCACCAGGTGTTCCGGCCGGGGCCAGGGCGGGCATACACGGATCTCTACCGCAGCTCACAGCATTATCGCCCCATCTACCAGGTCTGTCAGCCCCGCATGCTTCACCCTTGATTTGACTCGGAACTTTATTGCGCCTTGCAGCATCTACCCCCACGCGCCCCGCCTGTTTTGCATCGCGTATAGTTTCTGTGATGCCAATGCCGTCTTTTTGTTTCTGTCTTGTCTGAATTGGCAGGTCATGGCAAGCGGATTGACAAGGAGGCCACGAATAGACACGTCCTGCAATCCAGGTGAGTCAATATGATGTCAGAGTGAATCAGTTTGGAGTCAAGGCAATCAGTATGCAGTCCAATTAAGTCAATCTTTGGTCAAGCGAGTCAATCTGCCGTCGAACAAGATTCCGATGATCCAGCTGGTTCGGGGTCTCATTCCCGGCATCACCAACCCCATGACTTGGCTTGGGCATCACCAACCGCATGACTTGGCTTGGGCATCACCATCTCTTTGACCCACCCAGGCCCCTCCCATGGTTCCGCTGTTACCCTCTCTAGTCAGACTATCACCTCGGAAACACATCTCTTTTGAGAGCGTATTTCCGAGGTGCCTCAAAAACAGAATCATAGGAGTGGGAGGGAGCATGCAGCTTCTTTGGAGTGCTCATTCCCTATGGCTGTGTGTCTGTGTGTGTGTGCGTGTGTGTGTGTGCGTGTGTGGGTGGGCAGGCAACGCGTGGACGCATGACCCTCTCAAGATGCGGCACCCCTCTGAGTGCTCCATTGCCCCCGCCCCCTCCTTTGGCATGGTGGAGGTGAGTGCTGGTGCGGGGTGGATGTGCTGCTGTGGTGCGACAATTAAGGTAAACGACCATGTACTACACTAAATTTTTCTCTAGCTTCGCGTTGGTGGAGGAGGTGGGTTCTTGTCAAAGATTTAGCTCACATTGTTCTCTCAAGTAATCTCTTGTTTGTCCCGTTTCCCCACCTTGTGCAGGTGGACTGGGATAGAGAAAAGTTGGTGAAGCTACAAGTGAGGGACGGAGATACGAGTCAAGTTAGAATAGAGCTTGTGTTGGAGTTGGCCGAGTGCCTAAACCATTGATGAGTAAAACAGCAGGTCAGATTTGCAAGCCCTTGAAATATAATATTGATATTTCTAGTATATAAAGTATTATTTCATTCCTAGCAATTTCGCCTTCACAGATACTGGACCAGCCTTGGCGCATCTGCGGTTATCACGACTTCTCTGTCGGGTCCTCCTGAAGCGCGTATTCGGGATCTGATCTGACACAGAGCAAAGCCCACTCACCATCTGTCGCCATCAGTCAGACTCGCAATGGAAGGTGACTACTAGACGCGACACCATCAGTTACGGTACTCCCCATCGAGTTCCTTCTCGAGCGTTCGCCGAGCATTCTTCTAACGATCTCGAAGGATTTTTCAAGGGTTTGGAGAATCTTGGAGGACCGTCGAGAACAGCACTGGGATGTTCTTGTAGGCATGCAGCGTCACCTCGTCTCGCGCGCAGCCTCACGCTCCCTTCGCTTTCGACGACAGCAAGGCAGCAGATGGGGCGTTACGATTAGCCGTACGAGCCACGTGGCACGGGATGAACCGGTACATGATACCGCACAGCTGAATACGTGCTTTCCCCCAGCCGGGTACGCAAGCGCTGTTCTTCCGCCTGCATGGCTTCCGCCCAGTGGCGCGCCTACTGGGAGCGGCGGGATTTTCCGCCGAGAGTACAGTTTGCGGGACTTAGAGGTCCGGGGGCGGCGGGGATTGGCGAGTGCTGCGGAAGCTGCGCCAGCGGCGGATGCGAACGAGGTGGCGCGGATGGCGGAAGCTTCCGCGGAACGTGCGCCAGAGGCTGCGGCGGGGGAGAGAGACTTGGAGAAACACGGGGCGCAGACGCGCGCAGAGGGCGGTGGGCGGAAAGGGGGGGGCAAAGGCGGGGGAAGCGGGTGGTGGGAGGCGGAGGAGAGGCGGAGGCAGAAGCGCGTGCCAGCGTGGGTGTTCGGGGAGTTCGAGCATCCCATCCGACGTGGCGGCCTGCCGTTGCACGCGTGGATCGCGTTCAAGGTTCTCAAAGATGCCGGTGCGCGCCCCTACCTCGTCAACTGTCCTATCTCCCTCTTCCTCGTTCTTTTCCACTCCCTCTATTTCCCGCTTCTCATCTGCTCTTTCCTGTCCTTCTCCCTCCTTCGCCTCCCCCTTTTGCCCATTCGTTTATCCAACTCATGAACCCGAAACCTTGCACTCTTAAACCCCGAACCCAGGCCTGGAACCCTACCTGGTGGGCGGCGCAGTGCGCGACCTCTTTTTGGGGCGCATTCCCAAGGACGTGGACATCATAGTGGACGCGTCACCCGCCCACGTGGCACGTGTGTTCCGTGAGCGCAAGTTCCGCCCCGTCGTGATTGGCCGCCGCTTTCCCATCTGCCGAGTCTTCCTAAAAAACGCCGTCGTGGACGTGAGTGGCGGAAGGAGGAGGGGAAGGGGGGTAGGGTGGGGGGGAGGTGGGGAAGGGGAAGTGGGACGTGAGAACGCCGCTTCCCCATCTGCCGCGTGTCCTAAAAAATGCCGTCGTGGACGTGAGTGGAGGAAGGTGGGGGAGGGGGGTGGTGTGTGGGTGCAAGGATCGTTGATGTGACTGAAAAATGGAAGGCGGGTGGTCGTGGACGGGAGTGAGGGGAGGGAGGTGTGAGTGGTGCCGAGGGGAATGGTTTGGGTGTGTGAGTGTGGGTGGGGCAATGGATTTGTAGGCGCGAGTACATGTGAGTTGGGGGTTCTGTGGTTGTGATGTGAGGTGGTGGGATGGGACTTGTGAGTGGGTGTTAACCCACCTCCTAAATTCGTGCACACTCACTCATCTGTACAGTTGCTTCTGCTTCTCATGTGCGCGCATGTATTCATTGTTCATCTTGCATGCATGCGTCCAGTGCATCTGCCCATCCATCCGTTCATCCATGCACAACTGTGATACCACCCCATTTCTCCGTGTTGCTCCTCCTGCGATTCGTACGAGTGCAGATTTCCAGTTTCGACAGTGAGCCAACCGCGGTGATTTCCCCTGCTGTGTCCTCAAAAGACGATGCACTCCTGGCAGCACCGGCCGCTCAGCCCCCCTCTGTTTTAGAACCAGAACAGCTTGCAGCAGCAGCAACAACAGCAGGGGAAGACGGGAGCACAGATGGGAGCACCACCAGGGCTGCAAACGGGGCACAGGAAGCAGGGGGGTTGGAAGGGAGGGAGCGCTGGGAGGAGGTAGATCTAGTGAAGGTTTTATCTGTGGAGTCAGATGGATGGGCAGAAGAGGAAGGGGAGGAGGGGGAAGGGTTGAGGGCAGAAGGGGGTGCAGCAGAAGCAGCGCAGGAGGGGTTGGGCGAGGAGCGGGATCCTGCTGCTGCTGCACGTGCTGCTGCTGATGTTAGGATTGCTGGGGCTGCTGCAGCAGCAGGTATTGATGGTGCCGCTGCGGATCCCGGAACCACCACTGGTGGTGCTGCTGCTGTTGCTGCTGATGAGGGCACTAAAGCTGGCGGCGCTGCAGCAGCGGAGGTGGAGGCTTTGTGTCAAAAGGAGTCGGATGGGGTTCAGGTGGACTGGAGGAGCACGGCAGTGCGGCCAGCGGTGCAGCGGCATGCGTACGTGTGGTCGGAGGGGGACGAGCGGCGGTGGCGTAACTCCATGAAGCGCGACCTCACTGTCAATGCGTGAGCTCTCTCTGCTGCTGGGGTGTTGTGCTGGGGTGGTGGTGCTGCTTCAGTGATGATTGTAAGGCGCAGTGCTGGGGTGACAGTTGTAATTTTTGGAAAAGGCATGGCATGGCAACTGCTTGCTTTGGTCTTGTTGTTGTAGGGCGATGTTGAGAATTCAAAAAAACGACCGACAACAAAATGGAGATGGGATGGCAACAGCACGCTTTGGTGCTGTCCTGCTCAAATCAAATGCAACTCAAATGGTCGTTCCTCCTGCTCCCACCCCCTCCGTGCAGCCTGTTCTTCGACCCGCATCGGCACATGCTCTTTGACTATGTGGGGGGCACCCGTGACCTCTACAAGCAGACCGTGAGTGCCCTTGCCTGCTTCCACGAGGGCTGCGTTCGCTTCTCTCTGCTTTGAATCCTCCCCTTTGCCCTCCCCTCCCGCCTCTCATCTGTACTCCTTTCTAGCATGAGATTCTGATTCCCTTTTTGTCGCTCTGCTGTTGTATGTCTCTCTGCTGTTGCTCATCTGTCTGTTGCCAACGTGCCATCCATCAGGTGCGAGTCATTGGAGACACGCGAGCCAGCTTCCAGGAGGACCCTGGTGAGCTGCTGCAGTCAAGTCAAGTCAAGTCAAGTCAAGTCAAGTCAAGTCAAGTCAAGTCAACCATCCTTGTGCTCTCTCTTGTCTTTTATACCCCGCTTCTGCATTCACTGCTTCGTGGCAACGTTTCCGATGTTGAAGCAGGCAGAGTGAGAAGCGCAAGGAGAGGCACACAGCACAGCGCGCCATGAATGGCCTCCTGAATACCTTGCCTTCCCCGCTCGTCCCCCTCCCTTCACCGCTCCCACCAGCGCGGGCTTTAACACCTTCCCAAACACCCTCTTTCCTTCCCGCCCCCCTCCCCGTCATTGAACCCACCAGCGCGGTGTGTGAGGGCCATTCGCCTGGCAGCACGTCTGGGCTTCCGTCTGAGCACGGGGGCGAGCCGAGCTCTCAAGGCGCCCTCCACCCTGCCCGCTGTCGCCACTCTACCTCAGGTGCTTCCACGCTCAATCAGGTGCTGCCACGTGCCTCCCTGCAATCACTCTCACGCATCGCTTTGTTCGGCCATCTCTCTCCTCTGCCTACTCGCAGTTTCCCTGTCTCTTGCATCTCTATCCCGCTTGCCAGTTTCGTAGTCTCATGTCATCTCCTGTCTCACCATCTTCCCTCCGTTATTCCCCTTGCCTCCATCCTCTCCTGCTCTCTTTCTATTCCCAGTCTCGCCTGCAAATGGAGCTGGTGCAGTTGATGTCCCACGGCGCATCTGAGCCGTCCATTCGCTTGCTCTGGCAGTTCAACCTGCTCCCTCTGCTGCTGCCGTTACAGGTAAGTGCTGCCTGCTACTGCCTGGTACTTGCTGCTACTGCCTGCACCAGAGACTACCTCCACTGGTGGCAGTCCCTTCCCTCTCCTGCTCCCAACCCAACCCCTCTTTTTCGGTGCCCCTCCCTCCCGCCCGTCTCTCCCCACCAGGCGCAGTACCTGCGGGCAAAGAAGTTCTCTCAGAAGGCAATGACAGACCGACCCGACCTCATGTTTGTAAGCCCCTCAACAACGACATTCCCGTGTGCCTGTGTGTGCCTGAGTTCCCGTGTGCCCAACTCGACAGTCAGCTGTTTTTCAGCTCGCACCCCTCTCAAGTACCATCATGATCATCTGCTCTCAGCAAGATCCTTGCACTCTTCCCTCACCCTCCCGCCTCCCGTTCTCTCCCATTCCTCACCCTCCTAGCTCCCATTCCTCATCCTCCGAATTTCCTTCCCCTGCTGGCCTGTGCTGCCCTGCCTGCTTCCTTGGCGTTCCTGCAGGACTTGTTACACGAGCTGGACGCACTAGTGCAACCAGACAACCCATGCCACCCATCCACGTGGCTCTCCCTCCTCGCGCTCCACCTGGCGGCCTCTGAGTTGCCGAACCACCTCCGTCCTCTCGCCCTCCTGACAGCTGTCCTTGCCGCCCACCCCTCCTGTCCGTCCGCTCGGATTGCGGCACGTGTCGCCATCTCCTTTGCCCAGTCCTCCCATCCAAACCTGTGCCAGAGGCTCGGTATTCAGGGTCTGACCTGGTCGGCTGGGGAGACGCCGAGCCTGACTGGTGAAGGCTTGAGGGAGAAAGAAGGTAGGATTGGGCCAAAGCAACAGGACGGACAGATAGGAGAAAGCATTTATGATGGAAGCATTGGAGGAGAAGAGGAAGCGGGAGGAGGGCAGTGGGCAACAGAGGGAAGCAAGGGGATGGAAGAAGAAGGTTGGGAGGGATTTAGGGAGGTGGAGTGGGGAGGAGAGGAGGGGATGGAGGGGGTGGGGAGAGGGGATGTGGCGAGGGTGGTGAGGGGGGCTGTGGGGGCTCTGAGGGCGAGGAGGGAGGCGGTACTGCAGGAGCTGGCAGTGGTGGAGGGGCAGCTGGGGGAGGTGGTATCTGAGATGATGCTCCGAGGGGGGGGGATTGGCAGGTTCGCTGCTAGACTTGAGGGGGCAGGAGAGGGGGGAGGGGAGGGGAAATGGGAGGGGGATGGGGAGAAGGGGGAGACACAGGAGCGTAGGCAATCGATTGAAAATCTGAGGTTACTTCTTTCAAAAGAGGGAGGTAGAGGAGAGGCAGAGGGGGGAGGCGGGGCAGCAGGGCAGGTGTTAACGCCTGACTTGGCATCAGCAGTGGCTGAGAGCCTGGGAAGAGTGCGGGCGTGGGGGCAGCAGTGGAGAGAGGAGCAGCAGATGCTGAGTGATGTGGGCCAGTTGCTGGTCGCACTGGAGGGCACGGGAGGGATGAGCGGAATGGGGGAAGTGAGGACGGATTGGGGGAGAGGAGGAGGTATGGGAGAGGATGGATGCGAGGGGGATGAGGGGAAGGCGGGGGAGGGTAGGGGGGGTGAATCTGTGGTGGTAGGAACAAAGGAAGGCTCTAGTGGTGATGGTGTGAGTGATGGTGGTGAGTGTGACAGTAGCGAAGGGGAAGAAGGGGTGGTGTCTGCTTCTGATGCTGCGGCTGAAGCGCATGGCAGTGGCAGGCAGCAGATAGCAAGAAAGAAGAAGCAGGCGTGGAGGCCTACCACAGAGGAAGATATTATCCGGGCGGCATCTCTTGTAAGCAAGTGTGATCCCATGCTCCCCTCTTACAATTTCTTGGCAACATCTCCCTCCCAGTCCCATCCTCTCGTGTTTGTTGCTCGTGCAAGTCTGCTCGTGCAAGTCTGCTCGTGCAAGTCTGCTCGTGCAAGTCTGCTCGTGCAAGTCTGACTCCGAAATGTTTATATCCACCCCCTCCTGTCTGTGTGTCCCCAGCTAGCAGTGAGGGCGTCACAGCATGTGCACCACATGGTGGATGACAGGCTGCTCACATGCATGTGTCTCCCCCTCTTTTCGTGTTCATCCTCTGCCCTTATATGTCTTTGACCAACCCCTCCTCCCCGTGTGCAGCTAGCAGTGAGGGCGTCACAGCACGTGCACCACATGGTGGATGACAGGCTGCTCACATGCATGTGTGTCTGTGCCCCCCTCCTCATGTTCTTTCCTCTGCCCTTCCATCCCTGCCCCTCCCCGTGACTGTGTGTTGGCAGCTAGCAGTGAGGGCATCACAGCATGTGCACCACATGGTGGATGACAGGCTGCTCTCAGCAACACTGCACGACCTCACTGGCTTGGAGCGCCATGACAATGTACGAATGTGTGTGATGTGCTGTGCTCTTTCACTGCCATTTCTGTCTAGCTTTTCATTCTTATGTTTTGCTGAGCCTATGCATGCACTGCTTTTCCATGGGCTTTGCTGGTCGATTTTCTTGCTGAAACATCGTCAGGGAGCTTGGTATTTTCCTCTTAGCTTCCATCCCTCCTCTTATTTGCATTGCTGCTCTTGGATCAATCAGGTGTTCATACAGTACAAGGTGGCGCAATCCACTCATCAGCTTTTCCACGAGATCATATGCAAGTCGGAGGTCAATGAGGACGACCACGCGCTATTGCACTTGAAGTCCAAGTCACTCCAAGTCCTTTCGGACGGTCTTGGAGGCAGTGGAGATGATCCCCGTGATGTAGAGCAAGTGAAGGAGCTGCTTTCTCCGTTGAAGCCGGAGCAGTTTAGTAGCATCAAGTTTGATTTGAATGAGGTGGCCTCCATTCTGGTGCATGTGGTGTCAAGCGCTGCTTTTTTAGAACGTAAAGAGACAAACAAGCTCGCCCGTAAGTGAGTAGCTTTGTGTTTAGATGCTTTTTAGTGCAAAAAGTGTTTAAAAATCAGCATAGAAAATGCATGTTACGTATGCTGGCGAAAGTAAGGTTTCTCTTCAATCTTCGCAAAAGTTTCGCGCCAGTCGTCAAAGCGAAACTTCTGACAACGGGGTTGTTTCAGTGCTGGTGCTAGTCCTTCGTTTCCCGCTTCTGCGTCTCAAGTTTTTCACAAGCTCGTGGTGTGACACTCCAGAAAAGCAAGCCGTTGCGTGGTAGTTTTGCGAAACGGGTGGTGCGGTGCGGGCGGATGTTCCGAAATCAACGTTTGTCGTCCGTTTGATCCGTCCATGGAGATCGACTTGCAGCAGCCGCTTGCTGCCGGCAATTCTGCCGGTAGCGCTGACGTCGTCCGTCTGGTTGCGGCGGAGCATCAACGGATTCTGGTACGCAGATTTCCGGCCGTCTTCGAGTCGACTCGAAAGACTAGGACCCCTGTTCCCAAGTGGAACGGTTATATTTCTCTGGTAGACAGAGCGACGGCGACTTTGCGAACGTTAGCGTCAGTCTGTTCGTGCAGGCGAGCCAGTGGATCCTATAGCTTGACATCGATGCTGCGAATGTAGCGAAATTTGCGAAGCTCGCGAAGGGTGCGAAGGCTGACAGCCGTTCGGTGGTGATATGGGGCTCAAGAACGCGATCGCGGAATGTCGAGAGCCTACGAAGCGGTCTTCGTTGATCATCCTCACGTCCGTCGTCGAACTAGCAAGGTCCTTGAGGCGTCGTACGAGGCGAGATTCTTACCCGTCCCCACCCCCCTCCCCTTCCCCTCCCCCAGGACGCCTTCCGCAAGGCCTTGGATTCCCCGCTCCCCCCCAGTCATCTGGCGCTGCCAACCCTAGCGGAAGCGCTGCAGCTGGGGGGGAGTGGGGGGAGCGGTGCGGGAACCGGCAGCGCAGCCGCGGGGACGACCTTGCCGGTAACCACACGCCCCTCTGTTGTAACCATCCTGTGGCTCCTGAATGTATCAGGTCCTGGTATTACTCCATTATTGCTGCTCCACCCTCCTTTTCCTTGTGGAATATTGTTGGTATTTTTTCAGTGCTAGTTGTATGCCTTCTCTTTGGTTCATATTTTTGTTGACCCCGTCGTCCTCGTTATTGAATGCATCGTTATCGTCCGCATCTTTCTTGTGTGTGCTACTGGGCAGAAGGAAGGCAAGCTGACAGCGGAGCAGAACCAGCTGCTGGAGATCGGCCTGCGGTCGCTGCTGCAGAGCCTCGTGGTGAGAAGGGCTGCTGTGAGATGCTGTGTGCTGTGCGGTGAAAAGGGTTGTCGCGAGGCTCTGAGAAGCGAAATGCTGCGAGTCAAAATGTCAGAAAATGTCCCCCCTCCCCCCAGAAAAAAGGTCTATCCGTTGTTTCCCACCCCATGTTATCCACCCCACTACTGCTGCCCCGTTTCACCCCGTCCGTTCCATACCCTCACCCCCACCCTCCTGTCACCTTCCGGCACCACTGCTGTTGTGAAAGCAGGAGAGTGCGGCAGCACAGGGCGTGTCAGTGCTGAGTTACAGCCCCACAGGCCCGCCTGGTGTGCCAGGCAGCTCAGCCGCCGTCATTCGCCTTCTCGGTGAGTTGGATGGCTGCTCCCTGTGTGAAGCGTCTCTCCTCTTATACTCTGCGTCTGCCAGACCCAGGTCACGATTTGCCATTCTTCCGCGTGTCAACTCCACTCTCGTCACACGCCGCTTTTTGTCCTCTTTACCATCCCATCCTTGCTTCCCCACCCCAACCCATCCCGCCCCACCCCACCCCACATTCACCAGACGTGGTGCTGCATCTGTGCGAGGCGGGGCGCATGGAGGGAGGGGTGGTGTTCCAGCTGTTGGAGGACCTCATGGACCAGTCGCCCATCGCCCACTGCCACCTCGTCTTCTCCTACATCGAGTCAAAGCAGCACGTGCTCGCCAAGGTGACAAGGTCTCGTCGGCTCACAAACATCTGTGTCTGGTCTCGTCTCGTCTTCACTAGGCACGATTTCATGTCGCCCATTGCGGAGTCACCTCGTCTTTTCCTACATTGAGTCCAAACAGCACGTCCTGGCCAAGGTCTCGTGTTGTCTCTAGGCGCCTCTAATAGCTGGGGGAATCATGGTTCCTACAACCATGGACGAGTGTCACCTCGTCTTCTCCTAAATCGAGTCCTCGCCAAGGTCTGATCCATTTTTTCGGGCCTTCGAGAACACTCTCTTTCATTCGATACGAATAGCAAATCCTTGCTAAGGTCTCGCCTTGCTGTCCTGTCTCGTCCCCATACATTGCGCCACACACACACTTCCGCTGCTCGCTCTTCCTACTACCCGCCACAGGAGCACATCCTGCAGCGAGGCAAGCTGGTGCTGCTGCACGCGTGCAACCAGCTCGTGTGGCAAGGTGACTGGTAACTTACTCAGTGCAATCCTTCACCTCTCTCTGCTGCTCTCTCCCCCAACCCCCCTCATCCCCCACAGGAGCACATCTTACAGAGAGGCAAGCTGGTGCTGCTGCGAGCGTGCAACCAGCTCGTGCGACGGCTGTCTAAGGTGAGGGCAGGACAGAACAGCGCAGGGAGGCGAGTGAGGGGCGTGTAAGGTGAGGGTGAGTGAACGGAGGTGACAGAGGGAGGGCTTGCGCTGTGGGTGAGGGCAAGTTGGTCTAACTGGAACCCATTCCCACCTTGCTTCTCCATGTGTGGATGTGCGTGCGTGCGTGCGTGTGTGTGTGTGTGTATGTATGTATGTATGTATGTATGTATGTATGTATGTATGTATGTATGTATGTATGTATGTATGTATGTATGTATGTATGTATGTATGTATGTATGTATGTATGTATGTATGTATGTATGTATGTATGTATGTATGTATGTATGTGCGTGCATCTGCTGTATGCGTGCATATTCTGTGCGTGCATGCATGCATGCGTGTGTGTGTGTGTGTGCGACCCTGCAGGCGAACGATCTGGTGTTCTGTGGGCGGGTGCTCATGTTCCTCGCTTACTTCTTCCCCATCGCTGAGAAATCAGGTCTGACTTACTGCAGCACTGCTCTTCAAACCTCTCTGCATTCGTCCATTAGTGCCCCCTCTCACCTTTCTTCTCAATTTACTTCATTCTCTCGAATGGCCCTTTCATTGATTATCATAGGACTTACAGGCATGCAAGGTGGTAGCTTTTGTGAGTCTGGTGCATAAAGCCTCTTACTACTCTCTCTCACGGTGCCACGTTCTCTCCTGTATATATTCTCATGCTCCCTCAATCTCCTCACTCACCTGCCCCTCTCCCCCCACCAGCGGTGAACATCAAGGGCGCGTTCAACACGTCGAATAAGACCGACTACGCTCGAGAGCCCCCCCAAGATGGTGAGATCACAGGCCTGAACCCGGGAGTCTGGAGATGGTGGGATGGTGAGATCATAAGCCTGAGCCCGGAAGTCTGAAGATGGTGGGATGGTGGGATGGTGGGATGGTGGGACGTGAATAGCATTCTCCGAGTTCTAGTAGACCGAGGCGCTGGTCTTGTGCAGATCCATTCAAGTGAGGCTGTACTGCCAGTGCTGTCTCTACTGTTGCTGTGCTGTGCTGTGCTGTGCGCCCAACGCTCTTTCCTAAGTTGTGTTCTTGGCTCCTTTTCTCTCTCTCTCTCATCCCTCTCGTTCTCGTGCTCCCTCTGCGTGCGCAGGAGGCCCTCTCCTGGAATTCACGTTCTACACCACCTTCTGGAGCTTGCAGGTGCGTGCGCTCACCCGTGCGCTCACCCGTGCGCTCACCCGTGCGCTCACCCGTGATTTGCGCAGGACCTTTTTCGTGGAAATCTTTCTACGTGCAAGCTTACAAACAGCGTATTGTTTTTTCAGTAGCTTTGTGGGCAGCGACCAACTAGGCTGTCTACCAACTGCCCTCTCCACCTTCCCCAATTCCCTCCCTCCTGTCGTCCCTCCCCACCTCCCTTTCTCCTTCCTCTCCGGAAATGCTTCCCCAACCTGAGTGGCATAGATTTAGTCCACTCTCGCTGCTCCCTCCCTCTCTTTGCTGCCTCCCCCACCCTTTCCCCCCACCCTTTCTCCCCCACCCTTTCCCCCCACCCTTTCCCCCCGCACCAGGAGTATTTCAGCATCCCGGCTGTAGCACTACCCAAGTGGGCCGTATTCTCGTCACACCTGCGCACCGTTCTTGACACCTTCGAAGCCCAGCCCCTGGGCACTGACGCTGATCCAGGGGCAGAGGCAGGGACGGGCGCAGGGGATGAGGCAGGCGCAGGGGCAGGCGAGGAAGGAGGAGCAGACGGAGCAGGTTTAGGGGCAGGAGGGGCCAGGGAGGGAGGAGAGCGGGGAGCAGGGGGAGCAGGGGGAGCAGGGGGAGCAGGGGGGGTGGGGGAGGCGGTGGGGGAGATGCTAGGGGCGTACAGCATGAAGTATCTGACGAGCACAAGCCTGCTGCAGTTGGAGCTAAGGGATGGCAGCTTCCGACGCCAGTTCCTTGTGCAGTGCCTCATCCTGCTAGAGTATCTTATGGTGAGTTTGGCCCGGTGTTGTCCGGTGTTGTGTGGTGCTGTTCCCTGCTGCGCAGTGCTCTGCGCTGTAGAGTGTGAAGGGGCCACCAACTCACATTTCTATCCTCTCTGACTGTGCTGCTGTGCATGTGCGAGGTGCAGATTCCAGGGAAGGCAGAGAAGGATGAGAAGCGAGAAGCCATGGTAAGTGTTTCCTGTGTGAGCCCTCTTCCTCCCAGTCATGCACTCCGTTCCGTTGTCTCTCAACCAACCACACTCTCTTCCATCTCAGACGTTGTTCCCACTCCCCTGCGTTGCCTGCTGGTTGCTCAGAGGGCGGAGGCCAGGGAGTTTGAGGCACGAGTGAAGAAGCTTTTGAGAAGGTTACCGCCGGGCGGCGAGGACTTTCTGACGTCTGTGGAGCATGTGATGCGGCGGGAGAAGCACTGGGTGCGTGCGGGGAGGTTGAGAGGGGGGAGTAAGAGGGGTGTTGTGAAAAAAAACAAGTGTGGGAAGAGGGGGGTACAGGTGGAGGTTGAAGGGGGTGGGGTTTGGAGGGGAAGGGGAGGAGATATGAAAGTTTATAAATTCATAAAACTTATCGTTTTTGTTCGCTGAATAGCTTTATTTTTTATTGATTTCTTTGTGCACAAACCCGTACCATGGTCGTCTTAGACTGCATTCACATCTCCAAATCTACTCTGAACCGCATTGCACCCCTGCCAGGTGGCGTGGAAGAAGGAGGTGTGTCCGCCGTTCGACCGGCCCCCAGCTGACCTCACTCCCCGCCGGGACCCAACCCCCAAAAGGTATCTCCCCCTTGCCTAGTATGACCCGTTTGCCCTGAGACTCTGAGCACTGCCATCCCCTGGAGATCCTCGCTCGCTTTCCTGATGGGTCCGCTTCACAAGGCTTTCTCTCCTTCTTCTCACCCCCCCAGGCCGCGCTACCTGATGGGAAACAAGGAGCTGGACCGGCTCTTTCGATGGGCTGACAAGCACCCTGTGAGCCCTTCTCCCTCCTGCCCCTCCATACCCAGCAATGGTTTCTTTTTCCTACCCTGGTCCTCATTTTCGACGAGCTCTGCTCTCTGTTCAATCTGCCTGCACCCAGCGCCCTCTAGTCTCTCATTCCGGAACCGTCGCAAACCCCTCTTTGCATCATCCATCGCTCGCCCCTCACCACCTCTCCCTTTGCCCATGGCCCCCCTAATTTCCCACTGCTGCCCCTCGTCCCAGGACGCCTTGCCAGACCCAGAGCAGGTGGCAGTGCCGGCGTTTCGAGACTTTATTCAACCGCTAGCTGATGATGTGAGTCATGTGAGAGAGCGGCTGATGATGTGAGTGTGGCTGGCAATGGTGTTTGCTGCATTCGGCAAGTATTCTTGGGCTTCCACGCAGTGTGCTTGGACAGTGGGAGCCCAGCCCAGCCTAGCTATTTCGTTTGCTCTATCAACGCCCTTGTCTCCATTCGCCTTCGTGCTGGAAATTTCTGGGATTGGGTTGCCTCTCGCTGCGATTCTGTTGTGTCGTTGCCATGCCACAAGCCCCTTTCTCTCTGCCCGCGTGCTGCTTGTGTGGCGTGTGTGAGCGAGCAGATGGACCCCGAGAATTGCATAGAGGCGGAGTACCACCGGACGAATGACAAGGTGAGAGGCAGCACGGGCAGCACGGGTAGTGGGAAAAGCAGCAGCAGCAGCAGCAACAGAGGCTGGAGTGGTAGAAGGGTTATGAGGGGCGGAGTGGGTGGTGGCTGTGTGGGAACGTGCATCGTTCAATCTCTTGTCTTCCTTGACCTGTTTCCACCCTCTTCCCCATGTGTATGCACCTCTCTCCATCTCCACCTTGTGTCTCACTTGCCCCCTCTCTCCCAATATGCACCCCTCCCTCCCATGTGCCTCTCTCCTACCCCATACCCCGCTCCGTACCATCACGCCGTGCAGGTCTTCTGCTGGAGGGCCTTGCGCCTCGCTGCACGGTCCGACATCGAGGCCTTCAACAGGGTGAGCTGCCTTGCCCGTGCCCTTATTGGGGTGCACTGTTGGTGCGCACAGAACCGAGTTCAAAGTCTAGGGTTCAGAGCTTAGGGTTTCAGGTTTTGGGTTGTCGTGCTTGCCCCGCTCCTTTTCCTTTTTCTCTCTCCAGTTGGCGATCTGGGCAAGGAGGGAGTGGTGCCACCACACATGTGTAGGTTGCACAAAAGCACAGCTCCCCACCCTCTGCTCCCACGCCCCCTTTCCTTTCTCACACTCTCTTTCCTTTCCCACGCCCCCTTTGTTTTCCCACGCCCCCTTTCCTCTCCCTCGCTCCAGTTTGGCGATCTGGGCATGGAGGGGGTGGTACCACCAGACATGCTACCAGATGAGGTGCGGGTGAGGCTGCACAAGAGCAAGCCCAAGAAGGACTCCCACGGCGATAGAGACGCGGCCAAAGATGCCAGTAAAGGGTCTGCTAATAAAGAGGCTGCGGCCGATGCAGGGAAGGAGTCTGTAGCTGGTAGCGCCCTGCCTGCTGCACCAAATGCAGCTACTCCTGCCACTCCTCCGCAAGCCCCCCCTGCTGCTGCTGCTGCTGCTGCTGCTGCTGCTGCTGCTGCTGCTGCTGCTGTGGGTGCTACAGCTGCCGCCGATGCTCCGTCCACGCCTGTAACGCCTGCTACAGCCACTGGGACTCCACTTGCTGCTGCTAAGGGCCTGAGTGGTTCGGCTGGCAAGAAGACTGGTCCGGCTGTAGCGGCAGGTGGGGGGGATGGGAAGGGGGAGGGAGGGGGCGATGGGGAAGGCACACCCAGCGCAAAGGGGTTTGTGTTTGATCTCAACATGGACGCTCCAGATGGCTCCCCTGCTGCCGCTGCTGCTGCGGGCGCGAGATCAACGCCTGGGAGTGCTGGTGGTGGTGGGTCGGGGAGAAAAGGGCGTGGAGGGGAGGTGAGTGCAATGGAGGTGGAAGGGGAGAGGAAAGTGGATGGGGAGGGAGACGGGAGAGTCTCGGCTTCTAAGAAGCGGTCGCGAGTAGATGAGTGAAATGGCAGTCTGGTTAAGGTGTGCTGATACCCCACTTACTACACCCCACCCTCATTCCCTGCATTTTGAATGCATGGTGGTTGTAAAGTTATGCATCAATAACGCATGTCTAATGCGTGCTCTCCAAAATGTTAAATAACCACCACATGCACATGGTTAGGAAACCACAAGCACATGAGGGTGCACACACTCACCCCTCCCACTCCCACACCTTCCCTCCCCACCTTCGCATGTAAAATGCCAGAAACATAACATTCTGATATCTATCAAGCCATACATAGGTAGCGTTGCGATTCCATAGGTGAATGAGGGCAAGAGGAAATCACCTTGAGAAAGACCATCTACAAGAATATCTATTAGCTGAAAGTTAGCCAGTGATCATTTCGACTCACAGTGGCGGAAAGCAGCGCAGCTTGTAAAGAACAGCACTGATGCGCGAATGGATTTAACGTGGTTCGCGAGTCACGAGTCTCTAAACTTTTCGCGAGCAAAAACCACAACCAAGAGCAGACCCGATTGGTGGTTAGCCACCGTTGCCATATATCCTGCTCTGCTCCTTCTGAAAGGTTCCTTCTTTTGAGCATAAATGCTCAGTCACCATACTCTCTGAAATCTGCTCAGCTTTGAGATCGAGACGTGGGCATTTGCCGTTTCTCGCCTCAGGATCATGCTACCAGGATGTGCAGCTGTAATCCTGCGCGTGACGCACTCGATACTATGTGCCGCGACAGATCTTTCAAGAGTCTACGGAGGTGAGCTTTTCTCTTCCTTCGTCGTGTCGTTGTACTCACAGTCTTACTTTTCGATCTCTCATGCGGTGAATCCTCGTCTCCCGCGCGATGCTACTTATTTCCGCCGTTTCCGATGGACCCGCGCTGCACTCGCTGCAGTCAGTCGGTGCGCCGATGACGATGGATTATTCCTGATGGGAGCCGTGCACTCGCCCTTCCTGCCTCTAATTTCTTCCTTTACATCTTATGACCTTGTGATACCCTTTTTCACATCTTATGTTTCACATCTTCTATCTGTGGAGTATTAGTGCTCTCCACGCAGTTATGTCTTTGTGCAACTGGTCACGCCCGTGTGATGAATGCTATATCTGTCCTTGTTGAAGTCTGACTGCCGCTCTAACGGGTTGGCTCTGGCGACAAGAATGCTCCCAACTGATGGCCGTGACTTGTTTCTGCACTTGACTCTTTTTCCATTTCTTTGGTTTTTGGTTCGTCATGCCTTCGTTGTGTGCGGGTCATTCCTAGCCTTGCCTGTGATGAAAGAAACTTGAGTGGTAGGAGCAGCGGTTGCGGGGGTTGCTGCGAAAGCAGCTGAACCTACCCCTGCGCATGCCGTTGTCTCCGATGCCGCATCCTCCGACTGAGGCATCGCTCGTTGTCCCTCATACTGCGTCGCTCTTTGTATCGCAAGTTGATCAGACTACCGTCACTAGGTTTTTATTTGCTCTGTATTTCGATGGCCGCGTACCAGCCTCTCTTGCTTAAGCTACCAGGCTCCGTCGCCAAGAGGGTCCTCATTACAGCTGCGGCCATATCGCACCCCAGTGACTGCTGCATACCCGTTTCGCGCCAGCCTTCCCTGCTGGATGCGAAAGAGCGTTTCACACATTCGCGACACTGACCATGGCGTCACACTCAATAAGCTTGTCTGCGCTCTTCCTTTCCGTTTGTTACTTCGCAGGCGTTTGTTCTCCGATTTCCACGTACCCTCACCTGCTGAATTGCTGGCGCCAAGGGTTTCGGACTACTCCACCTGGGCTTTCGCTGTAGGGAATCGGAATCGGGAATATTGAAACCACTCTCCACTCTCCGATGGAGATGCGTATTCTTTGACCTGACTGTACATTTTGTGAAAATACTATTATAATTCTGTTGCACAATCATACATTTGTTTAGCCATTAGAACGCCCTACTTCTCCTGAACCTCCAAAAGAAAAAGTCAAAACATGTTCTCCTGACAATGCTTGCAAAACCTGAATGAAGTAACTAGGATAACTAGGGAAAGCCCATAGGTCAGTAATAATCAGACATTCGACGACCCCACCCCAGTACAGGTGATGCTGAACTATATATTGCACAGCAATGAAACCGCATGAGCATAAAATCACCTGCAGATGTACAATCGTGGGATGGGTGACAACTGTTAGATCTACCCCTGGCCGCAGGCAGATGAGCTGCATGCAGCAACAAGAGACAGGCCCAGGAGAAGGCGGCAAAACCCCGAGGCCTGTTCCAAGGTGTATGTCCCCAATTATGGTACATTCATTCATCCACTGCACAATTACCTCCCTGTTCATGGCTTTCTTAGGTCGTATCCCTGGCTGGTGGCAAGAAGTTGGTGGCAAGAAGTTTCCGCACGCGATTGGTCCAAAACAGACGGCCGGCCAATGCGATTGGTCAAGCGTTGTTTTTAACCAATCGCGTGCGCAAACTTCTTGCCACCAACTTCTTGCCACCAGCCAGGGATACGACCTTAGTCTAGTATGCCTCCCTCAGTTCACACCTTGCTCATTTCACGCCTCCCTCAGTTGATGCCTTGTCCAGGTATTGCCTGAGAACCCGTTCCAGAGCGGCCTTGCTGACAGGCTTGGACATGTAGTCTGCAGGGAGTGGGGGGGGTGGGGAGGAGAGTAACAAGGGCAAGGGAGGAGCCATGGGGAGAGATGCCAGAAAAAGGGAGCAGGGACATGCCTGCAGCCATAAGCTCACAATGTACATCCCACTCCCCCACACACCTGACAACACCATGCCCTCACTTGTCATGCTCTCACCTCTCACACTCTCACCTTTCACACCCTCACCTGTCATTCTCTCACCTCTCACACCCTCACCTCTCACACCCTCACCTCACACCCTCACCTCTCACACCCTCACCTCACACCCTCACCTCTCACACCCTCACCTCACACCCTCACCTCTCACACCCTCACCTGTCATGCCGGCAGCGAGGCACTGCTCCCTGTCGCCCTTGAGTGCGTTGGCCGTCTGGCATGGGTGCACATGTGCAGGGCAGGAGAGGTGGGGCGAGGGGAGGTGAGTGCACGGTGTGATGGCAATGTTGCGAGGGCGTGCAAGGGGAGGATGAAGGATGCGGGCACACAGAGAGAGGAAGGGCGAGTGGTGGTTGTAGTGGGGAGATGAGTTACAAGGAAAACAATGGCAGAAGGATAGGGAAGACGGATGTATGGCCTAGACGAGGGGCATACAGAACAAGGAGAAGCGCAAACACAGAGAAGGAAGGGCTTGTGATTTGAGGGGGTGAGGGATGGGAGAGGGAGGAGGCGGGGGAGGGGGAGAAAGGAAGCACGGGGAGGGAGGTGGGGAGCAGGAGCAGGGTGGGGGGAGGGGAGGGGCTTACAAGGGCGACAATGGTGACGGATGGCTGTGCCTGCTGTGCCTCCAGCTCCCTGATCCTGCGACTGGCTGCCCACCCGTCCATCTCCGGCATCTGCTCATTGCACATGTGCACATGTTTGGGACACACAAGCTTCAATACATGGGCTACTCAAAGCAAGTGCCTCACATGGGCGAGTGCCTCACATGGGCGAGTGGCTCACATGGGCGAGTGCCTCACATGGGCGAGTGCCTCACATGGGCGAGTGCCTCACATGGGCGAGTGCCTCGCATGGGCGAGTGCCTCGCATGGGCGAGTGCCTCGCATGGGCGAGTGCCTCGCATGGGCGAGTGCCTCGCATGGGCGAGTGCCTCGCATGGGCGAGTGCCTCACATGGGCGAGTGCCTCACATGGGCGAGTGGCTCACATGGGCGAGTGCCTCACATGGGCGAGTGCCTCACAATGAAGAATCACAACACCAGAGTACCAGTCGTGCCAACCAATGTGCAAATCGCATGTGTTTGTGAATGATAGATGCTGACCTGGCAGTCCGTGGTGATGAGGTTGCGGACCTGGCATTTTATGAGATGAGGCAGTCCATGCAGATAAGGTGCTGACCTGGCAGTCCATGAGGATAAGGTGCTGACCTGGCAGTCCATGAGGATGAGGTTGTATTTGTTCTTCTGGAAGAGGCTGACAGCCTCCACGCCATTGTTGGCAATGTCTATGGTCACGCCCAGCTGTGCCAGCATCGACTTTGCCACCTTCTGGTTTATCTGCGAGCGATAGGCACGCAGTGGGGACAGGGGAAGGAGCGAGAGCAGAGAGGAGGAGACTTGTGAGTTGACTCAATGCTCACGCCCAGCTGTGCAAGCATCGACTTTGCCACCTTCTGGTTTATCTGTGAGTGCCAGCGGCGCACGGGGGAAGAAGAGGGAGAGGAGAGGAGGATGAGAGGTGATGAGAGCATGTCGGTGGCAAGGCTTGCACTCACTCGGTGAGAGGCGCTTGGGGCTAGGGAGCCATGCAGCAAAGCGTGTGAGGCGGTTCGGCTCTTGTGTGCCGGGACTGCACTCTAGTCTAGAGTGCCCCTGTACTCACTCACTAACAGCACCCTGTCTGTCACCCTGTCACCCTGCCATCCTGCCTCTCCAATAGCCACTCCCATACCGCCCTCCAACCCACCAGGTTATCTTCTGCCAGCAGGATGCGTCCACTCAGCTTGGGCCCCCCATGCTCCTAGCTGCAGGGCGCGGCTGCCGCCTGCCAGGAGTGCAGACCTTGCCCTTGTACTCACTCAACAGCACAGCCCTGCCACCCTGTCTCTCTGCCTTCCACCCTCTCGCCAACCTGTCACCATACCGCCCTGCCACCCACCAGGTTGTCTTCTGCTAGCAGGATGCGTCCACTCAGTTTCGGTCCCATGCTCCTCGCAGCGGGCCGCGGCTGCTGCCTGCTGGGAGTGCAGAACGTTTTCCCATACTTCCTCACTAACTGCGCCCTGCACTCACTCAACTCACAACACCCTGCCACCCTAAATGCCACTCCCATACCGCCCTGCCACCCACCAGGTTATCTTCTGCGAGCAGGATGCGGCCACTCAGCTTCGGCCCCATGCTCCTCGTAGTGGGTCGTGGTTGCGACCTGTAAGGAGTGCAGAGAGTGCCCTCACACTCACATCATACCCCCTGCGTGCCACCCACCAGGTTGTCTTCAGCCAGCAGGATGCGGCCACTCAGCTTCGGCCCCATGCTCCTCGCAGCGGGCCGCGGCTGCTGCCTGCGCCGCCCCGACGACAGGAACAGGCCCTCGCCGCCGGGGGTGCTCTGCATGGCCGATTCCATCGCCTCCAGCAGTGCCTTGGGGCGCACCTGGTGGCACAGGTGCGGAGGGGAGGTGTGACGTGTCAAGGAGGGGAAACGGGAGGAGCGGGAAGTGAGTCTGGAGTCGTGAACAAGGGATGCAACCTAAGGGCGGAGAAAAGGAAACGCATTGCTGCTATGAGTGAGCTACATGCCATGCCGCATGGCGCCCTGCAGTTCTGAAAACACCATTGATCACCCAATTCTCTACTGCATTACCCATGTGCTACCCTGCATGCATACCATGGGCTTATTGAGCATGGCGGGGCAGCGGTCGCGCCAGTAGCGCACGGCCTTGAGCTCGCCCTCTGTCCTCTCCGTCACCTGCGACCGCTTCAGCAGCACCACCACCCCCACGCGCTCCCTCCCCAACAGCTCCAACACCGCCTGTGGGGGGGGAAGAGGGCAAAGGAGGGAGCAAAGAAGCATGAGCCTGAGTGGACACCATGTGCACGCACTCCCTGGGCGATAGACGGAGTGATGGATTACTGGACAGCAGTATTTACGAAGAATGGAAAAACATGACAGCTGATGCCAAACATGACAGCAGCCCATTACAGCCACTCACAGACGACATGGGGTCGATGAGCTGCGGCTTGTTAGAGCAGTCAATCACAATCAAATCATAGTCCTCCGCCAGCCCCTTGCGCGCCGACCCGTCGCGCCACGTGGCGGGCGCCGGTTGGCCGGCTGGCAGGGGCGGCGCGGGCGGCAGAGAGCCGGCAGGGAGCCTCTTGAGGAAGGCCTCTTCTGGCGTGCAGGTGAGGCACGCGTGCGGCACCTTCCATGCCTCCAGCTGCTTCTGCATTGCACACACTGTCACCTGGGAGAGGAGGGGACATTGGGGGGGAAGAGGGACTGTGAGGCAGGGCAGTGGAATGCAAAGGCGGTGGAACGAAGAGGAGTAGCAAGCACAGGGGAAGGTGCGACGGCAAGGCAGCCAATGTTGACTCACCTCGAGTGGGCTGACGAGCAGCACACGAATGGACTGGAACTCCGGAGGCACCGCCAACGGCACTGGCAGCGGGCCCGACGACGACTTTTGAGGCGCCTCGAAAGTCGCAACAACAGAGCACCCCGGGTTTACTCACCTCCAGCGGGCTGACGAGCAGCACACGGATGGACTGGAACTCTGGCGGCACCACCAGCGGCACGGATGGGCAGCAGCTTGCGGGGAATGCAAATGGCCTTTGAGGCGCCTCAAGCACAGGCCCACCTTGCACTCACCTCGAGCGGGCTCACGAGCAGCACGCGGATGGATTGGAACTCAGGCGGCACAACCAGCGGCACGGGCAGCGGACCCGACGACGCATAGGAAGATGTGCCGGCCGCAGCAGGCGACTCGGGGGAGAGCACAGAAGCCGAGTGGCCGGAGTGGGCGGAGGGCGTGGAGGGCGTGGGGAGCGGCGGGTTGAGAGCGGCGACGGCGGCGTAGGCGGGGTGGTGGGTGTTGACGGGCAGGCGCACGGTGAAGGTGGAGCCGCGGCGGAACTCGCTGTGCACTGATATGCGGCCGCCCATCAGCTCCACCAGCTGCTTTGAGATTGCCAGCCCGAGCCCTGTTCCTCCGAACCTTCTCGTTGTTGAGGCGTCCACCTGAGGGAGTGGAGGAGGTGGTTGGGTGAGGCACAGATGGCAGGGAATATAAGAGTCGACTCGCTGTGCACTGAGATGCAGGCCCCCATCAGCTCCACCAGCTGCTTCGAGATTGCGAGGCCGAGTCATGTTTATTTAACCTCCTTGTTGTGGACGCGTCAACCTGGGCAAGGGGGTGTGGCACGGCGTGGGACACGGGGCACAAGGCCCACGGCAGGTCACAGATGGCAGAGCAGGAACAGCATGCATTGTGAGGCAGAATGGCAAGAAGGCCAGGGCCGAGAGTTTGGCTGAGAGAGGGGCTGAAACTTTGCCAGATGAGGTGAGTGAGACCCACCTGGGAGAACTTGGTGAAGAGGCGGCCGATGCGCTCCTTGGGAATGCCAATCCCCGTGTCGCTGACGTGGCACACCCAGTACAGCACGCCCGCCTCCTGTGCCGCTGCCGCCTCCTGCGCCCGTGCCCGTGCGGCCCTCGCCTCCTGCTGCGCGGCCAGCATGGCGGCTCCTATGCTCCCCGATGCCCCATGTGCAGGACTGTTAGTGCCACTGGCATTAGGAGAGTCCCTGAAAGGCGACCCAGCCGCACCACGAGCTGCAGCGGAACCAGAAGCAGCAGCAGCGGCAGCGGAAGAGGTGGAGGTGGAGGAGGGGAGTTGCAGCAGGCACGGCGCGCCAATCTCCGCCTCCAACCGGAACTTCACATACCCCTTCTCCGTAAACTTAATAGCGTTCGACACGAGATTAATCAGCACCTGCAGCGTGCGCCCGGCGTCCCCCACCAGGAACACGGGCGTCTCCGGCTCGATCTCGATCACGATGTCGAGCCCCTTGGACTCGGCGTTGTGGATGAGCAGCTCCGCCACGCGCTCTACCGCCTGCACGACGTTGAAGAGCGTCTGCTCCATGTCCAGCTTGCCGGACTCGATCTTGGAGTAGTCGAGGATGTCGTTGATGATCTGCAGCAGCATGTCGCCCGAGTCTCTGATGGTGAGCACGCGGTCCCGTTGCTCGGGGGTCAAGTGGGTGTCGAGCAGGAGGGCCGTCATTCCCACGACGCCGTTCATGGGGGTGCGGATCTCATGGCTCATTGTGGCCAGGAAATCTGCAGGTGAGAGGGATGGAGGGCGGGGTGTGTTTGATTCGACACAGAGTGCACCTCGCACACATTGGTGGCGTGTGAGTATAAGGCCTGCAACCCCGTTCATGGGCGCATGTGTGGGTCTCGTGGCAAAGGGAGGAAGTGGGGGAGATGAGGGTAAAGGTCGAAGGGCAACACTCCGGGGGGCATCACGAACCTGCTTTGGCGCGCGACACCCTCTCAGCCTCGTCCTTAGCGTCCATCATCGCCTGCTCCGCCACCTTGCGGTCAGTGATGTCAGTGTGCGTGCCCACGAAACGCAGCGGTTCGCCATCGTCCGTCTTGGAGAGCAGCTTGCCGCGGTGCAGGAACCAGCGCCACGACCCGTCCTTGCACCGCAGGCGCTGCTCGTTCACAAACTGCGCCGTCACGCCGTCCAGGTGCTCCTTGAGGTCTGCATACGCGCGGTCCTTGTCCTCCGGGTGGAGCAGCCGCTCCCAGTCGTCTAGCGTTGACCCAATGTCGCCAGGCTCGTAGCTGGGGGGACGTTGTGGAAGGGAGTTGGAAACGGGTTGGAGAGAGGGTGTGTGGGGGATGAGTCTGAGTCCAGGTGCTCCTTGAGGTCTGCGTACGCGCGGTCCTTGTCCTCTGGGTGCAAAAGGCTTTCCCAGTCGTCCAGGGAAAGAGGGTAGCGGGGGAAGGGAAGAGAGTTGGAGAGAGGGGTGGGGAAGGGGGGGTGTGTGGGGGATGAGCTTAAGTCAAGGTGCTCCTTGATATCCAGATGCCGCCCAGCATCCCACCATGTGCCGCCCGACACTCATCCCATGCACTCTCCACTCCACTCACCCCAGCATCTGCTTCCAGCGGTCGGAGAAGAACATGGTGTTGTCTCGCACGTTCCACAATCTAACCCATGCCCATCCACGCGCCCATGCATGCACCTGTACATGTGCTTATGCACCCTCCACGGCACTCACCCCAGCATCTGCTTCCAGCGATCGGAGAAGAACATGGTGTTGTCTCGCACGTTCCAGTCCCACACTGTTGCTGCACCACCACCATGCTCTAGCCCATGCCCATGCATGTGCCCAAATGTGCTCATACATGCACCCATATATGCGCCTATTCAAGGGCACAAACCACTCACCCGAGCATCTGCTTCCAGCGATCAGAGAAGAACATGGTGTTGTCGCGCACGTTCCAGTCCCACACTCCGTCATCACTGCCCGACAGCGCATACAGCCACCGCTCCTCGCTCTCCTGCTCACATGCACCGCGTGGGCAACAGTGGGGCATGTGGGAATGGTGAGTGACACACAGAGAAGCGGTGCGGGGATGAGGATCTAGGAGGTCCAGTCCAGTCCCACGCGTCACTGCCTGATACTGTGTTCTCTAACGGTCCCCTTTCTCACCTTGACCTTTTTCTCGGCCTCAAGCCTCCCGGAGATGTCATGTTGTCGCGCAGCACGGCGACATAGGAGACCGTGGCATAGGTGCCCTTGGAGAGGGAGATACTCATACTGTGCCCTCTAACAACCCATTCTTCCTACCTTTCCTTCGTCCCACCCACACACCCGGTACCAGACAGCACCACACAGCGAGCTCTCTGCTGCACTCTTGCTCTCACCTTGAGCTTCTTCTCACCTTGAGCTTCTTCTCCGCCTCGAGCCGTTCTGAGATGTCTCTGAGCACGGCGACATAGAAGACGGTGTCGTAGTTGCCCTTGGACAGGGATACTGTGTGCTCTCTGACAACCCCTTCTCCCTGCCTCAACCTTGCTCTCACCTTGAGCTTCTTCTCCGCCTCGAGCCGTTCTGAGATGTCTCTGAGCACGGCGACATAGAAGACGGTGTCGTAGTTGCCCTTGGAGAGGGAGATCTCGAGGGGGAACGTGCTGCCGTCCGTGCGGAACCCCGTGCCCTTGTGCACCTGCCCTGACGCGTGGTCCAGCCCTGGTGCAGGGAGGATGGGATGGGAGAGAGGGACGGTGAGAAAGTGAGGAGCAACGGGTCAAAGGGCATGACAAGGTCCCAAGCAACGCCACGCCGCTCACCCCTGCAATCACCAAGACATTCCCCCCCCACCCCAACAGTAAGCCCCACTCTTCCCCACAATGAGTAAATCCCAGCAGCAACCTCCCACTCCACCCCACCCCAGCACAACAAAGACACACCTCCAGCAGTGAGCATGTCCCGGTGACCGTCTATCTCCACGAGCAGGTCCTTGAGCTGCAGGTTGGCGGGCGCCGCCACGCCACGCCCTTCCCCACCATGAGTGAACTTAGCAGCACACACCGCCCTCAAGTGTGAGCCTAGTCCCACCCACCAACACATACCCCCAGCCGTGAGCATGTCGCGGTGGCCATCAATCTCCACGAGCAGGTCCTTGAGCTGCAGGTTGGCGGGCGCCGCCACGCCCTCGCGCATGCTGCCCGGCAGGGGCGCGTCCCCCGGCTGTGCAAAGCCAAACATCTGGCGCGCTGACAGGTTCATGGAGGTCACATGCCCGCTGTGCGCCAGGGACATTATGCCCTCCTTCGCAACCTGTGGGGGGAAAGGGGGAGGGTTGCGCAGTGCGGCAAGAGAGAGAATGAGAGAGGGGGGGGGGGGGGGGGGGGGGGGGATGGGGAGAGAGGGGGGGGAAGGGGGGGGGGGGGGGGATGGGGAGGGAGGGAGCGAGAGCAGCGAGTTAGCAAGAGAGAGAGAATGAAGACAGCGCAGAACAGGAGCACTGTGCAGTGCAGGCACAGAGAGGGGCAGGCAGTGGAGGGTGAGAGAGAGCTGACTCCAAGACAGAGCTATGCAATGCAGACAAAACAGCGCTCAGTCAGCACATGTGCCACTGCCTGCCAGTCTCACCTGCACCACACTGGAGAGATGCAGCTCCGCCTCCTTCCTCCTCTTCCGCTCATTCACAGCATAGATCATCTGGGCAATGGTCATGGTGAGCGGCTCAATCTCCCTTTCTCCTCTCCCTATCCCTCACTGTCTCCTATGACTCACCTGCACCACACTCGACAAATGCAGCTCCGCCTCCTTCCTCCGCTTGCGCTCATTCACAGCATAGATCATCTGGGCAATGGTCATGGTGAGCGGCTCGATCTCCTTCACCAGCTGCTCATCGTACCCCGCCGCCCGGTTGGCCACGGCAAAAAAACACATTGCACGGCCAGCACATGTGCTACTGCCTGTCTCACCTGCACAACACTCGACAAGTGCAGCTCCGCCTCCTTGCGCCTCTTCCGCTCATTCACAGCATAGATCATCTGGGCAATGGTCATGGTGAGCGGCTCAATCTCCTTCACCAGCTGCTCATCGTACCCCGCCGCCCGGTTGGCCACGGCAAAGACGCCGATGAGCTCGGTGCCGGTGTAGAGGGGGATGCCCATGAACTTGTCGATCGGGGGGTGGCCTGGAGGGACTCCTCTCGACCTGGGGTCGTTGCGAGCATCGTTAGTGAGCACCTGGGGGCAGGGCAGGGCAGGGCAGGGCAGGGCACAGAATGGGCGGTTTGGAGAGAAAGTAGCCTGCCTTGTGAGCACCACAACTCACCAAAAGCCCAAAGAAGAAAGAAAGAAAAGAGCATGCGTGCCACCTGCTGTCCCCCTATCATGCACCTGTTAGCACCACGGTAACGACGAGCCCCTTGTGGCTGTTCGCCCTTGGCTCCTTGGCTGCTCATATGGTGAACAGCTGCTGCCTTGTCAGCACCACGTGCACCTGCTGCCCTTTTTCACCCACCTGTTGCCCTGTGAGCACCACGGTGCCGTGGAGGGTGTTGAGGTTGGTGAAGACGAGCCCCTTGTGGCTGTTGGCCGCGTACCACGCCCTCAGCTCCTTGCTCCACGCCACGTTCGTCATTGCATGGGTCTGTAGGGGGGTTCGGAAGAGACATTGTGAGTGAACACAGGAACAGAAGAGACGGCAGCATGGACAGCCTGGTGACAGCCTGGTGACAGCCTGGTGACAGCCTGGTGACAGCCTGGTGACAGCCATGACTCGCACCTTGAGGTTGGGTGTGCCGTCGGCCTTGAGCAGAGCGGAGGAGATGAACCCAAACATGGACTCGGTAACCTCCAGCAGTGCGGACAGCATGCAGGCGAGGCACGCACACCCCACACCAGCCCAGCACACACACACCACCCAGCCAGACCTTGAGGCACGGCATGCCAGCACACACACCTTGAGGTAGGGCGTGCCATCGGCCTTGAGCAGCGCGGACGAGATGAACCCGAACATGGACTCGGTCACCTCCAGCAGTGCGGACAGCAGGTAGTCAAACACCAGGCTGCCGTTCGGCTCCTTGTCGATGAAATACACCTGGTGCGCGCGCGTGATGGCCGCCAGCAGCTTCCTCTGCAGCACCTCCGTGTTGCTCATCGTCCGCGCCAGCCCGCCCCCGCCTCTTCCCCCCCCTCCCCCTCCGCCCACCCCCCCCATTTCCAGCCGCGCCCGCACCTCCTGCAGGGCGCTTTCGTCGAAGTTTCTGTTCCCCTGCCCCTGGTAGTCCCCGCCTGGGGCGAGCCTACCGCTGTTCTCCCCACTGCCCTCCCCGTCCCCGCTGCTGCCTCGCAGGTGCGGGCACGCGTCCGGACCTAGCCCGGCGGTGAAGGTGCTGGTGGTGGTGGTGGAGGCAAGAGGGGAGGCGTCAAAGGAGTGGCGCTTGGAGGAGGGGTTCAGGGGGGACCCGCCCCCATGACTGCGCGCATCCACCGCCCCCCTCTGCACATCCCCTCCGCCCCCGCCCCCCACCCCCTGCTGCCGCTGCCAGGAAGGTGCGGAGAACCTTCCACTGCCGTCAGAGTGGAGAGGGGAGGAGGCGGGTTGGCCGGCGCTGCTGGGGGGGCTGATACCGCAGCGCTGCAGCAGGGCCATGGCTACAGGGTGGTCGGTGAAATCGTCCCTGGGGCTGCCACAGCGGCGGCAGCGCCACGTGGACTCCACCCACCCCTTGAACGCCGCCCACTCCTCCTCCTTCATCCCCCCCAGCACCTCCCACGGCCGTACCGCCGAGCCTGCCTCGCTGGCTTGGCGCCAGGGTTCCGAAGCTGCGCCCGAGGCTGTGCCGTGCGGCGTGGGGACGCCCTGCGAGGGGTAGTAGTCGCGGGAGGCGGGGTACGCGCCTCGCCCCATGCCGTCGTCCTGCTGCGCCTTCGCCTGCGCTCCCCCCGCGCCCGCGGCAGGCACCCGCGCGTCCCTGGGCGGCGTTGCTCCCCCGACTGCCCCAATCATCGCCCCCCCAACCAATGCGCTCACGTTAACCCCCCCCATTGGGCTCGTTCCCCCCGGGCCCGCTCCGCCCATGCCCTCCTGCGCTCTGCCCCGCTCCCCGCTTCTCCGCCCTGTGGCGGACGCGGCGAAGCCTCCGCCCGTCCAATGGGGAGCCTGCATGAGCGGCTGAGAGAACGGCGCCTGCTGCTGCGGAGGCGGCGACGGCTGCGCTTGCGGTCGCTGCGCAAACTGCTGCTGCTGCCGCTGTTGCTGCTCCTCGCGCGCTCCCCCCTGCACCTCCCCCTGCTGCACCCCCGCGCCCATCGGCTTCGGGGAAAGTTGCGCGGGCGACGCCAGCGACTGCTGCAACGCCTGCGGCGATCGTTGCGCCGCTTCCAGCGGCTCCCGCTCCCGCCGCCCGTCCCACGACGCGGGCTCTGCTCCTGCTCCCGGATGTGCCTCCGCCGCTTGCGCTCCCCCCGGAGAGGACGACTCCGCCTCTCCGCCTTTTTGCCGCCGCGCCTTGCTGAGATTGCGCTGGGAGTTGGATTGAGTCAGCGAGTCGCCTTTTTTGCCGAATAGGTTGTTCCAACCCATGATGCCCAGGAGTGAAGGTGGTTACAGAGTCGGTTCGGAGAGATGCTGTGGGGGGTGTGGTGTGTGACGGCCGGTATACGATGGCTGCTGAGACGACACGAGACGGAGACGAGAAGGCGAGTCGGAAAACAAAATGGCAAGTGCAGTTGCGTTAGGTGTGAGTTAAGGTAGCCATTCTATCAAAAGACCAGTTTTACTGTAAGGATATACGCGAGAATAAACACTTATGTTTGTTTTGCCGAAGCGTTAACCTACATCATGCGCTAAGCCGCAGGGTGTTTTGGCAGAATGCGACACGAGGACGGAAAGCCCTGAGCAATGCAGCATGGAGCGTCGTGGAATTAAGTAAACGACGTTCAGACGATTCGAAGACCGAGTTTCGACACTCCAATATTAGAAACATTTAACCTAAGCGGCGCGCTAGGCCAATAAATGGAACAACCTAGCCCAAGCACCCGCCGCGTACGGAGCAAATGAATCGACCAGCATCCACTGCCAAATGATTGGCTTGTGGTGGCGGACAGGACGACAGCTCTCACGCGCGACAATACCTCAGCAGGCGCAGCCGCCGAGTGGGTAAAGGAGCAGTTGGTTGGTAGCCTTGGCTTCAGGTGCCTCTGTTCTGTTGCCTTGGCTGTTTGGTGGGTCGAGTCGACGAAAGATTTGCGAAAACGGATGTAACGCGACAGTGCCCGCGAAAGGAGAAAGTGGGGTTGTGTCAGGCGTGCGCTGTGGCGGTCACGTGGGCGGCATAGTTTGGTTTGGACTCCATACCAGACTGCCACGACAGTCTGACAAATATCTACCCAACATCTAGGTTTTCCAATCAGAGGTACAGTGCGGTACGGAGGTTTCTACCAGCTCTAGAACTAAAACCAGATACGGTACTAAACCAGCCTATTTCGTGCTTACTCTTCTGAAAGGCTCAAGCTGAACCAGACAACTACGGTTTAAAATGCATATTTATCAATACTGTTTCAAGCACAGCCATGCAGCTTGACTGACGCCACTCATCCAACCTCCAATAACCACATCATTGCTCACTGCCCCCTTTTCTTGCAGTCATCAAGATCCGGTGCAGCTCCTTGGCCTCTGCAAGAGCCCCTTTCTTGCAAGCCAGCTTCGCAATCGGAAACAGCGCCCCATCATTCAGCAGCACCGCAGGCGCCACAACCCCTGTGGTAACCAGATGGTGCAGCGTCCACAGCGCCTCCTCCCGCGCCCTCTCAGACTCACTCTCCAGCACATCCGATATCACAAGGGTCCCTTCCACTGCCAACAGCGCCTCTTGCCCGCCACGTGTCCTCGCAAGATTGGCCAGCACAGCCATGGCTTTCTCCTCAACCCCTGGCCTCTTATCCCCCAGAAGATCCACTAGAATGCTCACAGCGCCTTCCCTCACGATCTCATTCGCACACGACAGGTCCTGCGAGAGGGAGAAGAGGGCAAGCCCTGCGTCTTTTCTGCACCTTGCGGTCTCATTCGTGAGCAAGCGGACAAGCGAGGGGATGGCTCCTGCAGCTTGGATCTTAGTCTTGTGAATGTTCCTACTCGGGCCAGCACCGTTCCCATTCCTGCTGGCATTCGCAGATTCGTCCATCACGTCGTCCCACGAGGAAAGCGCAAACAGCGCCGCGGCTGCATTCCCCTTCACCATGCTCGAAATGCCTGACGTCCCCCCTGCTGACGCTCCTGCTCCTGCCCCCGCTCCTGCCGTGCCGGCTGGCCCGGTGTGAGAGAGCACATCCACAAGGGACGGCACGCCACCCACATCGATGAACTCGGCTGCGCCATCGCGTGACTGGCACAGCTGCAGCACCACGGCCACTGCACAGTCCACCACCAGCGCAGGATCCATCACTCCCCGCCCCCGCCCCTCCCGCCCTGCCGCCCTCCCTCCCCCTCCGCCCAGAGCAGCAACGGCCTCATCGAGAAAGTCGAGAAGGATGGGCACCCCGTCTTCTCGCTCCAGCAGCCGCTGCCTGTTCTCACAGCTCTCCTTCACTGCTGCTCTCAGCTGCACCACCGCTTCCACCCGCTGCTCTGCTGTCCCTCGATCCATCGCCTCAACCATCCCATCAACGGTTGTCATTGCATGAGGCGGAGGTACCTGCGATCCCTGCTGCTGCCCTGCATGTCCGTGCTGTTGCTGCATCACCTGCTGAACCTGAGGGGACAGGGGGGGGAGGGCGGCGCCTGTGCTACTGCCCCCACTGCTTCCTCTAGAGAGCCTGTGCCTAGGTGAGCTCGCAGTTATCGACGATCCCCTAGGAATTCCAGCTCCTGCCAGCATTTCAGCTGCTCCCGCCGCCCCTGCCGCCGCCCCGCCACTGCCCCCCCTGCCATGGCCCCCGCTTGCCTGCTCCTGCGGCGACCACAGTCCACCGCCCGCCCCTTCCCGCGCGGAAACCCTAACTCCTCCCGCCCCTGACGTCCCCCCGCCTGCGCGCGGTGGCAGCTGCGGGGAGGCCACGGCTTCAGGATTGACAAGCGGACCCGTGAGCTGCCCTGAGGCTTGTAACGGGGACAGTCTGCGCTGTCTGCGTGCTGCTAACGAGCCAGCCCCGCTGGAGGACGGGCGCGGCTCTCTGCCCGGATGCGGGCCTGCTCCCGCCACCGGGGACGCTGCTCGGTCGTACACCACCGCTCCAGCCAAGACAGACGGGTCTAGCCGGCCGGCAGCCAGAGGGTCATTGCTGCCGTCCCAGCTCATAGTGCGCCGGCGGTCAGGCCGCAAATGGGGCGCCGCAACGGGCCCTTTCTTCCGCTCCAGCGAATGCGCTCCCCCTACCGGCGCAGTTCCCGCTCGTGACATGCATGGGGCTCCTGAGTCCATACCTGCTGTTCGTACGCCTGCTGCACTTAAACCCAACCCTGCAGCCCTTCCCCCCGAGGAAGCAAATCCATCCGATACCGAAGCAGCCCCCCCGCCGGGACGGGATGCGCCTGAACCCTCGTGTGCGCCGTCCCTCGAGCCGGCGACGGTCATTCTCGACGGCGGCTGGTGTTCGTGACTGCGCCGCCGCTGCGCGTCTGTTTCTCGACCGCCAGGAGCCTCGCGCTCCCGCGCGGACAGTGTCGAAAGGGCATGCCTCCGGCTGCGCACGGCCATCTCGCTTCCGCTGCTCCCCGCGCCATCATCGCTGTTCCGCGGCCCCTCGCGCGCACCAGAGGAGCGGAGCGCACTGGCGGAATTGAGGCTCCCGAAGAACGCGGAATCTGCTGCGGAGCGAGTTCTGCGATGGCCTTTCGCGTGACCTGATTGGTCGGCTTGCTCCTGCGGTAGTGATAACATATGTCGGACGTCTTGATTGGTTGCCGCCTGCCGACTGACGGCCCGTTTCTGGCCGGCCGATAACTTAACGTTGTGCTTGGCGCACCACTCCATAATCAACGCCTTGAGAGCGACATTTGGAAAGTACTCGGTGTGGCGGACTTTTTCTCCTGACCGCGGGCAGGTCATGTGACCGGCGTCGAACCAGGCTTGAATGTACTCGCGCTCGTACGTCAATCCCGAGGCAATAATAACGGGCTCCGCCATAACACGATCCGATAAAGGGCAGATGAACTCGAGAGGGACCTCCAAGTCGGCATCTTCTCCTCGCGACATCGCGATGGGATTAACCTGAACCGGTCTGTCAAAGAGAGATAGCGAGTGAGGTCTCAACGACAGCGACAGTCTCTAGTAAACCATCCATATATGAGATTACAGGTTATAAAATTTCCAGCATTGGACGACAGAACTACTTCATTGACTAAACGGAGTCTGATGCGCTGAGAGTGGGCTGGGAGGAGGCGAAGTGTGGAGAGGAGACTAGGGCGAAGGTGGGCCGTTGAGGAAGGGCGGCGGTGAATGCCGTGTCAAGGTAATCCCGAGGCGAGTTCACTTGTGTCGTGACAAAGCAGGACACAGGGCTCAAAGTTGGCGACATGAAGTGTTCAGCTAACCGCGCCCTGGACAGATGCCAGGATCTTCCCGATTTTTTTATCTCCCGAAATCAGAAAGGGTTGGGGCGATTGGGAAACATGCCGAGAGAGCACAAGAAAACGAATTTTGCCGAGTGTTTCGCCCATGCTTGGCGATATTTAGCTGGCATGGCAACCAGAGGTTCGCGTGACGACGAGCCTAAGGGTTGGGTCAGGCTGTAGGTCAGCCACGGCCCTCATAAATTCGCGGGAGGTCCGACAAGCCTGGGGTTTCGGGCAACCTGCAAGCCCGCGTTTTCATTCATCGAGGGGTTGGGGGGGAGGGGAGGGATCCCTCCCCCCTTCCCCCTGCAGCAGATGGCGGTGCAATCCGCCAGCTGTTCTGCTCAGTGCCAGCCTCGTTAAAGGGAAACACTAATTACATTAGTGTACTGAACACCAAATATACTCCCGCTACATACACAACTGGCTGCCCGCCATCCACTAGTCATTTCCGCATCATCGTTCTAGAACAGAGGGTGGATGTGATGGTGGAAGAATCTTACCAAGGATCATGTATGTGCAGTGCAGGACACCAGCATTCACGAACATGCACGCGCACTAGCAATGTGTTTCGACGATGTCTCGTTGCTTCCGACCTGACCTGGTCTCCTCAAGTAGCCTAGCAGCTCTTCCCAAGGCAGCTCGTATCGAAGCAGCGTCTTATCCTTGAGTAAATTCGTTAAGTTATACCATCCGTAAAAAACGCCACGTCAGCAGTTATGTACAAGCCACGTGTCAAAGCGCACAAGTCCAAACATCTCCATCACTCCGACGGCGCGAGGGGATGGCCCCCGGAAGAGGCCGAGATGTCCGCCGCCACCCACTCCAGCGGAGAATGGAGCGGAACTGCGGAGGCCGTCGGCGCTGGAGAAGCTGTAGGCGGAATGGCGGCGGGCGGAATGGGCGCGGGCGGAATGCCGGTGAGCAGCCCGGACATTCTGGGGAAAGGGTGCTTCAGCTGGCGCGGCGTGTTTCACAAGGACCACGGCGCGCGCGTGCTTAAATTAGAAGGCGGCGGTGTAGCGGAGGTGCTTGTAGTGGATCCTGGGCGTAGAGACGACGAGGTGAGAACGCATCATGGGTATGCTATGGCGGGTTTCAGTGGAGCGGGAGAGCATGCGGGGATGGCGGGCGCGCACGGACAGGGGGAGGACGTGGGGGCATACGAGCGTGGCAGTGATAGGGTTGGGGGGAGAGGTGAGTTAATGGCAGGGGCGGGGAGGGAGCAGGAGAGGGCGTTAGGGGTGGAGGAGCGAGGTTGTGTCGGTATCGTGTCTTCTGCTGCGGCTGTCGTGGCGACTGATGAAACGCATGACCTCTCAGTGCGTACGGACGACACGGTTTCATCCGACGTAGCGACGGTCGGCAGCGTTTCATCTGCACGCCTGAACGCTGACGGCGTTTCATCCAGGCGTGCGGCCGCAGCGGACGGAGCAGGCGCGTGGGACCCAGCTTTAGGTTCAATGCGAGGCGATCCCACAAGTGCATCACATGGGATCAATGCGAATGAGGGAGGTGTGGGCGAGGGGGGCAGGGGCGAAGCAGCGCGTGGGAGTGTGGAGAGTGACTCGCTAGCCAATGGGGATGTAGCGGCAGGGAGCACTGGTGTTGTCACTGGCATCAGTGGGTATTCTGCTCTCGCCACCACTGCGCGCACTCAGGTGCTCCCTGTCCCTGTGGATCCCTCCCTCACTTGCCCTCCCTACCCTCCCTCACTGCCTACTCACCCTGACGCAACCGCCTCTTCCCCTTCCGCCCTCACCTCCCCTCCCCTCCCCTCTTCGCCACCCCTCTCCGCTGCTCCTCCCACGGACGCCACCCCCTTGGGCCCTCTCCCCACCATCACTCCCTCCGCCACCGCCCTTTCCCTCCCCACCCTTTCCGCCCCCAAACCATCCGCGGCCCCCCCTCGCCCCCACACCGCCGCAGCATCCTCCCTCCCCCGCCCGCCCCACGCCCTCCCCCCCACCCCCGCCAGCAGGGAAGGGGGGCACCAGAGGGGAGCGAGAGGGGGGGTGAGCAGGGAGGGGCGGGGGGGGACGGCGGGGGCGGGCAGCGGGCGCAGTGGGGGGTCGAGCGGGGGGAGGTGGAGTGGGGGAGGCGGGGGAGCGGGGGGAGCGGGGTTCCATGCGCGCAAGCTGTCAACAGACGACAGCTTCCTGGGTCTTTCCTCCCGCAGCCCCCTCGACACCTCCGCCTGCACTGCTAGAACGCCCCGCCTCTCCCCCCACCCACCCGCTGCTGTTACTGCTGCTGCCACCGCCGCTGCCGCCGCTGTTGCTGCTGCTGCTGTCGGTGGTGGTGGTGCAGCAGATGGTACTGGCAGCATTACAGCCCCATCTGCTCCAACATTCAACCCCAGCCTGCCCCCAGCCACCCCACCCACCACTGCCTTCCCCCCGCCCCCCTACCCCACCACCCCCCTCACCCTCACCTCCCCCTCGTTCCCCCTCGTCCACTCAGACACTGCCACGTCACCCAGCATCATCCACAAGTCGCCGTCCACGCCGTCCGTCTCCACCGACGATGAGCTGGCGCCGCTGCCCGGCCTTGGGATTGCCGGGGCAGGGACAAGAGCGGGACTGGACGGGGGAGTGATGGGCGGAGTGATGGGAGGGGGGGCAGCGGAGAGGGGAGCTCTGGGGGAAGGGGAGGGGATGGGGGGAGGAGGGGCGGGGATGGGGCAGTACGGGGGCATGCATATCCCCAGGAATGAGAGTGTGGGCAGCAGCAGCGGGTCAGTGGCAGCAGGGGATGGGCTGGTGGGCGTGCCAAGGCCGAGCACGCTCAAGACGTGGAAGTCCATGCACGCCCACCGCCATAAACTCGCCCGTGGCCTGCTCTTCGCTGGTATGCCGCACCGTAAACCGCATCTCTAAAATTGTATACATATGTGCACCACGTGCTGCCTACATGGCTCGCACTGGTGGGCGTACGGATTGCGTTGACTCAAACCAATTGTCTTTCCGACCGAATGACTCAAACCGTTCTCCCGACCTCCGTCGCCCCTCCCAACCCCTGCCGCACCAACCTTCACTCTTCTTTTCCTTTGCTCTCTTCCCCAATGCAACACCTCCCGTCCACCACCCCCTCCTACCTGGGTGACATGGTGGCAGCAGGAGAGAGTGGGGAGGAGGGCGGGATGAGCCCCAGGGGCCTGGCGTTCATGGCAGGCGCCCGGCGCCGAGGGCTGTGGCGCCGCACTGTCACGCCCAAGGAGTGTGAGTGGGGGGGAATGTGATGCGGTTGAGAGGGGTGCACTGTGGTTCCGGATTATGCGCCCAAGGAGTGTGAGTGCTGGGGTTTGTAAAGCGGTTGAGCTGGGACGTGTGGGGAAGGGAGCGAGGGCTGTCTGATCAAGATGAGTGCGCTCTTCTCCGCACCTGCCACCTGCTCACCACATCCCCTGCTTCTCTCGTCTCTCCTCCCCCATTTGCTCATTCTCTTTTCTCCCTCCCTGAGTCTGCGCCCTGCACTCACACTCCCCACCCCCACCTCCCCCCCGTCTGTCCCTCCACCAATCCTGTCCAACACACCTTTTCCTTGCCACGACACCTTCCTGCTCCCCTCCTCAGCTGTCAAGCGCCTGCTCATGTGGCCCCAGGCGGGTTCTCAGGTGTCCCGCTGCGCCCCAGGTGATTCCTCTGCTGAAAACTCCTGGTCGCCCGTGGACCCTGCGTCCTTCGACGTGCGCGGAGAAACTTTTCTATCTGACCGCCGCAAGGTGCCCGCCTGCCCGCCGGCTATTTACGAGCCGTGGGGCGTGGACGTGTTTCACACACCACTCAAAATCCGCCACGTGGCAGAGCATGTGGAGCTGCCTGCTTGCCTCTTTGGGAGGGGCGGTGGGGGGGGGAGTGGGGAGGTGCGGCAGGAGGGGGCGGAAGGGGGGGAGAGAGGGCAAGGGGAGGCGGATGGTTGCTTGGATGGTGTGTGTGCGGAGGTCTATGGGGTGGGAGAAGAGGGAGAAGGGGGAGAGGAAGGAGAAGGAGGAGACGGAGAATGGGCAGAAGGGTGGGTGCTGCCAGAGGTGCTGGTGGTGAACCTGCAGGTACCGCTCTACACCACTCTGCCGCTGCTACAGCAGGAGCAGGACGGCGAGGGAATCAGCCTGGTGCTCTACCTGAAGCTCAGCCCTGCTTATGCGCGTGGTGTTCCACCGTGCCTCGCTGCCATGCTGGAGGTGAGCCAAGTCACTTTGTGAGGCGTCCGTGATTACGTGCCGCCCTGATCCTCCTCATGTGCTATTTGCTGCCGCGTGTCCCCCTTCATGCAGCAATGTTACCTCTCAATTACACCATCGCGTACGCCACCCTCCCATCACTCTTTCCTTGCCCTTCTCCTCTACTCCCCTGCTCCCATCCTCCCCGCCTCCTCTGCTCCCCTGCCCCACGTCTCCCATTCCCCCCACAGCCTCTGTGCCAACCGCCAGCCCCAACTTTCTCTCCCCAGCCAGGGATGGGAAGCAGCATGCATGCGCCCACGGCCACAGAGGGGAGCACTCCAGACTGCACTGCAGCGGTAGCGGCTGTAGCAGGGCCTGGCGGGTACAGTGCTACAGATGCGGGTCATTCACGCTCTGGCAGTAAGGGGAGTGGCACGAGCGGCAGCAGCAGTGGGGGGAGGGGGGGAAAGGCAGTTGGGGGCAGTGAGGCTGGGCGGAAAGAATCTCCAAACGCGTTCAAGTGGGATCGGCCGAAGCTGCTGGCTCGGGTGGTGAACGAGGCTGGCATGGGGCTAGGTTCGGGTACGAAGAAGACGGTGCAGAGCTGGAGTGGACAGCCCATCCTCACTCGCTCGCATCACTCGCTCATTCGAGTGAGTTATTCCTGCTTCTGGTTCCGTCGAATGTTTCCTATCTCCTTTGAACATGTTTGACTGGCTGGTGATGATAAGAGAATGTCCACACAAGTGCGCTTGTTTCGCTTCGAGCATGGCCTGCACTCATCAGTATGTTTCTGTGTGTGTCTGTCACAGGGTGAGAGCAAGCCGTATGTGGAGGTGGACATTGATGTGCATCGCTTCCCCAATCAGGTCAAGAGAGGCCTCCTCCCGCTGCGCCGCCACCTCTCCTCCTGCGTTTTCGACATCGCCATCATCCTTCAAGTATGCTCCATTCCTTTCTTTTGCCCACCGTTCGTGTGCTTCTCTGCTTGGTGTTGCTAATAAGTCTTGCAGTAACAATGTTGTTCCTTATTGTGGATCTTCATTGTGTGTTTTTTGCTCTGTTGTCACACAATTCCTGTCAAGCAGGGTGTCAGCCCGGAGGAATTTCCTGAGCCGATTCTTGCCTGCGTCCGTCTTCATCGCCTTGACCTGTCCCAGTTTGGATCATTAGGCTCGGGATTGTGATAGTCGTCAGTATTATCTGTGCATTTAAATTGTTATGTAGGCTCAAAATTCTGTTAGAGTGCTGTATAATGCTCCCATTCTCCTACGGTAGTTGTCGGCAGTCGAGTCGTTTCTTAGCGCGAACTAAGTGACTCGCTGGGCCACCAACCGCTCTAGCACCCCCGCTTTTCCCCCCTAATCGCACAGCTGCATGGCAAGGCACGCGGCGCAGATCATCGTTGCAGCGAATGTGTTCGCTACAGTATCAGCTCTCAACCCCTCTTCGCCCCGTCTTAGCCGCACGACAACTCGCAGTACCGCACTTGACCCTGGAAAGAAACCCTCACCCTTTTAGCTCGGCACACCACCAGCAAGACATGTCACATGTCCAATCCGTGCCATCCCATCTTGCAGCACCCACCCACCACCATGTCACACCATGTTGAGAGCGGGAGAAACAACAGAAGCTGGTCCTTGCTCGCTTCGCCTCGCCTCTCCTCGCCTCTCCTCGCCTCCTTTTGGCAGTACTCAGCACAGCAGCACTCTCATCCAAATAACCCAACTATGTGGACAAACTGGGACGGACCGGGTCGGGTAAAGGGCGTATTAGAGACGTATTCGAGGCGGAACTGAGCGGATTAACTTAGCGCGTGCTGTAGTCGTTGTATTAGTGAGTGCGCGAGCGTGCTTGTCAGAGATAGCTTTCAGCGCACCTTATTCCTCTCCGGAAATGGCGCTGCTGACAGGGTTCCTGCACCGCCGATTGGCCACGCGGGGTTCTCAAGGAGCGCATAGGGGGTTGCAGGCGCAATATGGGGTAGAAGCGGGGGAAGAGGGGGAAAGGGCGGACGACGATTGGCGGAACAGCGAGTTCGGATTCTCGGGGCTTGCTACTATCGCGGACGTAGTGGATGAACTGGACGGCGAATGGGAGGACGACACGTCAGCGGGAGGAATCGAGGCTGAACACCCAACGCAATCTCCCTTGGCGTTGCCGACAGCGAGTGAAACGCGCATCCCAGGCGGCAGCAGCAGCAGCACCAGATTCCACAATCGACCTCGTCGCAGCACGGCAAAGGCCCGGCGCTGGCACTCGTGCTCCCCCTCGCCGTGTGTCTGCCCGCCCCTCTCCGCCTCCTTCCGCCCCATCTTCTTCCGCGACCTCCGCCTCCCCGCGTACTCCGTCATTTCCACTCCCCCTTCCTCCTTTCCGCCTTCCCCTGCGCCCTCGTACCTCTCCGCCACCTCCTCCGCCACCTCCGCACCTATTCTCCGCCATAGGTCCGCGGATTCCCATTCCCCCTCCTCCTCCTGTAGCACTTCCACCTGCGCCTCCCCCACGTCCTCCGCAGAGCATCCCTCCGACGCGGGCATGCCGCCGCTCCCCCGCCAGGTCGACTGGCGCAAGTTCGACTCCCCCTGGCGTGCCATGCTCTTCCGCATCTGCGGGTTCCAGTCCGCGGTGCTGCAGCGGCGCCAGCACGTATTCGTCCTGCGCCACGCGGAGCGCCTCGACGCCGTCGATCCGCGATGGGCGCAGCGGGAGCCCACCAGCCGGCCGTGGGACCCGCCGCTGTCGGAATGGGGGCGGTACCAGGCGTACCAGGTGGGGGTGCGGCTGCGGCGCGAGGGGTGGGGGGTGACGCGCGTGGTGTGCGCGCCGTACGTGCGCTGCGCGGAGACAGCCGCGGAGCTGATAGCCGCCATGAGCAGCACGCCTGACATGGACTACGCGCCCTCGGGACCTGGGTATGGGTGCTCCTCGTCGCCGTGCCTGCCGCTGCCGCGCGTGGGGCGCGTTGGTGCGGCGGGGTGCAGGACGGTGGGGGTGCAGCGGCACATCCTCCGAGCCATGCAGGTGCACAGGTCTGGGGCTAGGTTGGGGTGTGGTCGGGTGAGGGGTGGGAGACTTGGAGGTGGGGGGTGAGGGGGGAGGAGTTCAAGTAATGTGCCTGTAATTAATGAGGTGGTGTATGCAAGCGGGTATACTTATTGCCAACAATTTCCAAATTAGATGCAACTGCGCCTTGACGCCTGACCCTTTTCTCTCCCATGTTCTGCCCATCGCACCTCCCACATCCCTTGCTGCCACCAACAGCAACCGCTGACGCCCGCGCAGGCACTGCACCACCGCAAGCGAAAGCACGCGAGAGACGTGGCCGGCTCTCTTTCCAGTTCGTACCACGACCCTGCTGATCGGAGGGCTCAGGAAGCCGCATCGGCGGTTGACATGTGGCAGGCTGGCATGCCAGTCCCTCTGCCCCACATCCGTGCCTGCATCGACTACTCCCTCTGTGAGGTGATCCCGCCCGGAACGGCAACGGCCGCGTTTGTCCCATGCGCTGGCGGGTCGGGCGGCGCTGGAGGCATTATTGCCTGCAGAGTGTGTGGAGAGGGTGGTGTGGGCAGTGACAGGAGGGCGCGGACTTGAGGGTCCCAAGGGGACCGGAGGAAGTGGAGCGGGCGGCAATGAGACTGGTGACAGCCATAGACCGAATCGCAGAACAGGTAACGGAAGGGTTGGGGGGCCGAGTCACAACTTTTGATTTGTAACCGTGAATATTCTCTGACATCTATGTTCTTTCGCTGTGCCGTGCTATCTTGTATTCGCGCAGTGGCCTGAAGAGAACATAATCATCATCGGCCATGCGGAGGCATTGCATGCATCTGTGCTCCGATGTCAGGCAAGGGTACGTGCCATGACCCCTTCCTCATTGAGCCGTCTCATCAGTGAAACAGTTTATAAGCTTTTGCCGATAACCCTTGTGCACACATACACTCAAAAGACTTCCGCCTCCACCCTGCTTTTCCCATTGTCCCTGCCCCCCTTTTCAGGCCAACGTATACAATATACTGATGGCGGCATTTGTACACCTACAACGTAATGTATATCAAGATAGGGAGGACGAGGATGAGAGGGGAGTTAGTGAGTGGCAGCTAGCCATAACCTCTGGAATGTCTGGTGTATATTTCATGTAGAATGTGTATCTGTGTTGCTTCACAAAACGATCTCTTGCACCTGCGTTACCAAATGCCCTACATTATCACAAAGATGGTTCAACATGCAGAGACCTGTGCATCTTAAGAGCACACAGAATATTAGTGGTATAGTAACAGGCTGAAGACGCCAGCCTACTTAAGAGACTGGTAGCCGGAAAACAAAGGGGACGGACACAGCAGCTAGGTAAAGGTGGCAAAGGGTTTTTTCCTACAATATCCTAACTCCATGGCTTACAAATCATAAGCAATGCTCCAGTGAACGCGCTTACCAGCAGTCTCCCGTAACTCAGCATTCAAGGTCCAATTGTTCTCACGCAGCTGCAAGTAAGGCTTTCTCGCAACGACGTTGTACCCCAGCTTGACCTTCAGATCTTGATCCTCTGTGAAATTAAACACCTTCTGGCTAAGCTCCACTGAAGCCTTCGGCTTCCCGGACTGGGTGTGAGGCTGGTAATTGTACGCGCCCTTGAGATCGAGACACAGAAGGCCATTATCTGTTAGCTCCCAGGTCTTCTTTCCTTGAATGCTGTAAGTCACTTCTCGCGACTCAACGTCCACTTTAGCACCAACGTCAATGCTTGTCAGAACTTCCGGGAAGAATTTCTTCTTGAGCTGAATCAAGCAGCTAGGCTTGCCTGTCTGCGTGTTCAGCTTCGCATGGACCTGAAGCGCGATGTTGCCGTCACTCACAAAATTCTCCTTTGCGTGCATCACCAGGCTCCTGTCTTCAGCGTTAAGCCGTAGAGAAGTCTCCATGGTTTAAAGTTACTGAACCTGGACTAGAGAGCCTGCGAGCAATCCGCAAAACGAATGCCGGAGAACTCAGAAGGAAGGCTGGCTACCACTATTATTAGACGCACCCAAATGCTATATCAAGGAGATGGAAAAATGCAGCCCTAGAAAAGGTTGCGACTACCCTGACAATTGCGAAAACCAATCTCGATAAAAAAAACTGATGAACAATATGAGATCGAGAGGAACCTAAAGTAATCAACAGAAAACTCACAGAAATAAGAGAACTGGCCGAGCGAAGAGCGTCAGCTACGGCGTGTGGTGGATGGCACAACCAGGTACAGCAGCCAATTGCGTGAGGGGAAGCCCAATGACGATAAGACCAAAAGGCTGATCAGAACGGCTGGCCCAGCTGGTCTGCATGGGAGATTGGCCATCAGGGGTGGGGGGAAGAAGATGCTTGCACAGAACGGGCGATGGCAAAAAAGTTACAGGCTACACAGTTTCGTGCCTCTGCAGGCGAAACTATTGCTCGTCGTGAAGTTTCGCTCACACACTTCTCCGAGTTTCGCTTGCACGAAGCCTTTCGGAGAGTACCCTGTGGTACCCCCCACCACGTAGGCGAGCAGCTGGAAGTCCAGGAGGAGTCAGCTGTCTGACGGGACATTTTGCTTTCGACCTGCAACCACTCGCCAAATCAAGGCTGCTTCTCGCTTCACATCACACCCCCAACCACAGTTATTTCAAATTTCAAATGTTGCTGAAAATGAAATCATGGCACGGTTAGGATGACTTGGTGGCAGATGAGTGACTGATTCTACTTGCATGTGTTCGCAAATCACAGTTCCTAGCTGCTAATGCATTACGTCGGGGTGCAATGCTTACGAGCTGCCACTCACCGCCCCAGTCACTCCACACCCGACCAGCTACGCTCACGCCGAGACAGGATTCCGACACACGTCTCCGTTTCGGGGACGGTTCCTGCGAAATTACGAAGCCGCAGCTTCTGTCAGGCCCGCAATGGCGGGACGCAGTCTAGAAACAGCTGGATTAATTCCTCCCACAGAAACAACAATTCGTTAGATGAAAGACAATCTGGTGACACGTGGAACAAGGAGCCCCTGTTCGCGCGGATATCTGTGACACCGCCAGCACCTGTCTCTCCCCCTTCCCTTTCCGGCATCCACCTCATCGTTCGTGTGGCGACTATAGCTGGCGGAGTCACGTTTTCCCCTCCTCTCTCTGAACACGAGCTTGCTCCACGCACTGTCGTCTCTCCTCTATCGCATTTTATCCCATCGCCAGTCTGCTTCCATCGCCACCACCCTCGCCGTCGCCGTCGTCCCCTGAAAGCGCTCCATCCGTCACTCCCACTTCCGAGAATGGATCCTTCTTTGCGTACACCAAGCAGGTGGGTTCACTTAGAAGCCATTAAACACATGCAAAATCATTGCGTGCGTTGAGATGTCTCATAACTGCGAAGTTTTCGTTATACTCACACGCTATTCAGGGCACCACAATGCATATGACATCGCATTCAACCCACGTCGTTCGCATCCGGTTGTGCTTCTCATCATCTGCTCCATCGTCAGGCGGCACCAGCAGCGCTGGCGACAATGGCGGTGACCTTCCCAAACGCCATGCAGGAGGACACCTTCATCCACGCGCTCGCCCTGGAACTCGCCAATCTTGGCTTTAAGAGGTACAAAC